ATTTTTATTATTATTTTATTAAGGATTTTTTTAAGTTAATGCGGTTTATTATTAAAGTAAATAAAAATAATAAATAAGATTAAAAATAAATTAAAGAAATGGATAAAGTGTTTAAAATTTTTAAATATTATTTTATTTAAGTTTTAATTATAGTATATTTTAATTTTATAAAATAAATATATATAAAAATAAATACCTTTAATTACGTTTTTAACGTAATATTTTCTTAAAAAAACGATAATAAGAAGTTATAACTTATTATTTTTTATTTTTAAAAATTTACATTAATAAAGATAAATTATAAAATCCATAATAAAAAATTTTTAATAATAATAAATGTTTTCGGTAAATAATATTAATATTTAAAGGAAATTAAACACCATATTAAAATTTATTTAAATTATTAAAACTTGTTATATTTTATTATTATAAAGGTTTTAAATTAATATTAAACGCGTTAAATATAAGAACTTTTATTATATTAATTTATTATAAATTATTAACCGAATAAATAAAATAAAAAAGCCGATATTTTATTAAAATTATTATAATATTGTTTTAAAAAAAAAAGAATTAAGGATTAATTTATTAAAGCGGTTTTATAAGAAAAACATTTTTCGTATTTACAAAAATTATTTTTTTTTTTATCCTTTATTATTTTTATAATTTTAATAAAACTTTATAATATATTAACTTTTAAATGATTTAAAGAATTCATTAATTAACTTAAAGAAATAATTTAATAAAATTTAAAATATATTTTATAATTCGAGAAACTTTTTAAAAAAGTGGAAATTATTAATAAAATTTTATATAAAAAAAACCGTTTTTAAATTTTAATAAACCTTTAAAAAAAAATTATTTTTTTAAAATATAATATTTTTATAATTAGGTATATAAGTATGGATAAGATTTTTAAATTAATTATTCGGAACTTTTAATGGTTAAACATTAAATTTATTATTAAAAATTATATATAAAAATATTTAAATTATTAATAAAATAAAATTTAATGTTATATTTTTTTTAAATTATTATAACTTATAAAATTATATTATATTTTTTAATAAACTATAATTATAAATTTTATTATAAATTTATTATTATTAAATAACTATAATTCCATATAAGTAATAATAAATATTTTTATAAAAATAATATATTTTATTTCTTTTAAAAAAAGGGAAAAGAAAATTAAAAACTTAATATAAATTTTTATTAAATAATATTGGAAATTATATAACATTCCCTTTAATATAATTTTTAATTAAAACTTTAAATTTACCGCTCATTTATAAAAAGATTTTTTTAAATTAATAAATATTAAATTTTATATAAATATAACTTTTTACCCGTAAATTAACGGTTAAACCGAATAATTTAATTAAACTTTTAAAGTTTATTTTCAAGTTTTTATTAATTATAAAATAAATAATTAAAAAAATTTATTCGTTATTATTAAGTTCGTTTATAATAATATTTTTTTAATTTCGTTTAATATTATTTTTTTTACGTAAATTACGGCTATTATTTAACGGCTTATAACCCATTAAATAAAATACCTTAAAACTTAAGGAATAAATTATACACTTATTAAATAATTTAAATGTATAAATAAATTAAAAAATAATTAAAAAATAATTATTAACATATAAAAAAATAAGTTAATAAATAACGTTAAAAAGTTTTTATATATAAGTAAAGTTAATTAGTTATATTAAATGTTAAAAATATTAAAATTAAACACCCCGTTAAAAAGTTAAATAAAAAAATGTTCGGTTCTTTTAAAATTTAAAAAATAATTTTTCCTACCATTATTAAACTTATTTTACTTATAAATTAAAAAATTTATAACTTATTCCACGTTTTACTTATTAAACTTTATTACGTTAATAATTAGGAAATATTTAACTTTAATTAAATTTTATAAAAAATAAATTTAATAAAATTTAAAAACTATTAAATAAATAAAATAAAAAATTTTATTAAAATTTAAAATAAAGTAAAATATTTAATTAAATAAGAAAATTAATTAATTAAAAAACATTAAATTTAAGAATTATATAAACATATAATTAATAAAAGTGTACGTAAAACAATTAAAACATTCCATTAATTACATTTTAATAAGCTTTAAAATGAATAATTTATAATTTAACGTTTAAAAATAAATTTTAAAAAAAAAGGAATTAATATTATATAACAATAAATACCACACCTTTAACATACATAAAATATAAAACTATTAAGTTAGAATAAATAATTTATTAATTATTAGGAATAATCACCAGGTTACCACACATATATAGGATTAATTAATAGAATATTTATAAACACTTAAAGCGCTGAAGTTCGGATCTTAGGCATAGTAGATTGAACTTAAATAGTTAGGACAATCCCCCTTCGAAGAAGAGGAAAGGATAAAGGACTTAAGACTCCTAGAGAATTATTACATGAATTGAACCTATGTTCTAAGCCTATTCCGCTTGTCACACACACCCACGGTACGTTCTATATTTGAATAAGTATCTACTTCCGTCGTAAAAACTGATATATGATTATAGAATCTATACCTATTACCTATGTGGTTTGTGGGCATCTGGTGCCACACAGAAGGAACTAGGTCCTTGCGCTCTTCGTAGCTGGAGTCACCAATTGGACAGCCCTCCCCCCAAATCACTCTACCTACATACTACATCATTCTTAACAGACTTACTCTTGATATATGACAAGAGAGCTCTATGGTTGAGGCGCGGGGTAACCGGAGCACATCCATCGTGGATACATCTATCCTCATCATTCCCTCGCCTGTACTTTCTCCTAATCTTAGGCACACAAGGTTCACCCCCTCTCATTGGGGCACTCCTCCTCAATCCCAAGTGGAAATTCCTAAGAATCGCATCGACACCGTGAGACGCATATCAAATAATTCTCACTAAAGCCTTATTGAGCTATGGCTTTGCAAGAAAGCAGTCGTTTGCCCCATTCACTATGATCCTACGTGTACGAGACCACCACTCGTTCTTATTGGAATCAACACACTTGCCCCGTGTTCTCCCCGTTTAAGTGGGGACGCAATCCTGGCTCTACAACCAAAGGCCTTAGGCGAAGGCCCAACAACTGTGGCCAATGTGGCCCGTCGGCCCTTTGAGATGGTTCTAGCAACTTGTGTGTGTCATTGGATAGATGTCTCGATCGTCTTATGAGCCGTTGAAAGACTTTGCGTGTTCAGCTGTTGACTTCTCAAGCCACGGATCTCGCACTAAAGGCTAATCTAGCCATTCCGGACATGTGAATGCAGGACCATCACACAGACGGTATTTCTCCGAACTTACCACTTTAAAGGCCCTACAAAGACGCGGCAAACTCGCCAGGTGCGAGTCAGCTGAATACTGGCTGGGTAGCCATTATTCATGTCCTCGATAAAGTACACCTATTGGATGTATAGTTCGAAGGCGAGGGAGAAGTCGAAGGAGGATGTAGGGATAGGGTCTGTTATTTCCTGGACTCTGCTAGGAATAAGATGTACCTATGGAGAGTTTGGGCTCTCTGAGATATGAGTGTTCCAATCTAGTCTGCTGAAGATCTAACCGCCGAAGGTCTGGGGGATCGGAGTTCGGCCCATCTGAGGCTCGATTTATTAAGAGAAGACCTATCGGTAGGCGGGCTTGGGACCAGTAATTATGATTAGACGAAAAGAGTCCTCTCTACATATACCATGATCCTAGATTAGAGGAGAGTAAAACTCTGCGCGAAACCAAATCAAACTCAAGTATTCGTATTCCACTCGGAGAAGAGTGCTATCCGAATAGATGGAACGCGTGCGGATGACAGTGTCTGAAACTGTACGGAAGCTGTCTGGCTTATCCCTTGGCTGCTAAATGAGGCGATTTATACGTGTCTTGGCTAGCGATAAATTTTGATTAGGTAATTCAAGGGAAAGATAGTACAGTATTTTGCACTTTTGCTATACATACTCCGTTCATTAAGACTCTTGTTTTCTTGGAACCTTGTTGCATTTGAAAATGACCTTAGGTCTGCCCTCGAATGTAGTGTTATCGAATCTCACGGCATCTCCCAATATGTATGTATGTCGAGAAGCACTAGGTAGGTGAAGATGAATTAAACTCGGTATGTGGTGAGTAGCGGGACCCTGTCAGTCCGTATGAACGGTACGGGCATTATCGACCAATGGAAGGATCTGAAAGTGACCAATTTGGGAAAGACTTCGGGTAGCACGTCGCCAACTCCACTCACTAACGAAGACGTTGAGTGCTCTCCGATCTGTATGTCTCATTGGTCAATAACCTGCCCACCCCTGTCTGCCCTGTATCGTTTCCCTGTTTCTGTTCATTGAGAGCGTGCAAGACATCAGTATTTAAGTGGTCATTCATAGTTGCCACAGGTCTTCTAAAGCGCTGTATGATGACATCTGACAAGTGACGTGCGAATGAGACCTGTCTATGTACCTGAAAGCATAAAGTATCGGCAACATTAGAGGCTTGGTAAATAAATGCGGCGAACTTCAGTCTTCAAGATCAAGGTAGATCGTCTATATTTATCACCGTGGGTAATGCCGGAGATAATGAGAGCCGCAATGTAGTGTTTTCCTGCCTGAATGGGAAGTATAGGCCCTCTTAAATATGGCCTAGACGGCGAGGGGTAACGATATTAAGGAGGTGTGGCTCTGCTGTCGCGTCGCTTGGTGGAGAATCCTTGTCGTCGTGGGCCATACGCGAGATCCTATTCGACCTGATCGTCGAGGTACCTGGTGGGAGACCGTTTAAGCTCACAAGGGCCGATTCCCTCCAAGTTCCCTCAGGCACAGATCCAGAAGGTCCCATTCTCCAATTCGGCGCGGCCGCCCACATGCTACAAACACATGCTAGAAAGGAAGTTTGTATGGTGTTTTCTTGAGAGCGGAAAGGGTCTCGAGACCCTGGTCATTTATCCTGGATTCCCATTCCAGTGGCTTGTCCTCATTCAAGAAATGCTATTTAAGCGCTGCGACGCGGATACGCTGCCAAGAAATTGTTGCGATGAATTTCGTTTCTAATCGTGCTCGCCACTCAACATTCTTTTATATCTATAAAATACTTACATTGATAATTCTCATAGGTAATTTAGGGTAGTCTTTGCATCCAGTTTGGACCAACTCCAGAATGCGTCACGGTATCGCCCTTTCGACCCTTGCTCTCGCAGCAGGGTCTCTCGCAGCCAACTGCAATGGCTTCGCCGAGCTCTGCGACCGACGATACAGCAATATTACTTTCGCGGGGGCACACAACTCCCCCTTCGTCGGTATTGGTCCCTCAGACAACCAGTTCACATCTCCGACAGATCAGCTGAACCAAGGCGTGCGATTCCTGCAGGCGCAAACCCAAGATAAGGATGGAAACCCGGAGATGTGCCACACGTCTTGCATCTTGGAAGATGCCGGTAATCTGACGAGCTACTTGGGCGAAATCAAAGCCTGGGTCGACGCCAACCCGAACGAAGTTATCACCTTGCTCATTACGAACCCTGATGCTATCGACATCACCAAATACGGCGATGCATTCACGTCGACCGGTTTGGCTACCTACGTCTTCACACCAAGTGGACAACTCACGTTGGACGAATGGCCCACGCTGGCGGACATGATTTCGAACGGCACCAGAGTCGTAGTATTTATGGGTACGAGCAGTCTCCATATGTAGCAGACGCGCATTCGACTGGGAAAGCTAACATATGTAGACTATAACATGGACACTTCGAAGGTGCCCTACATCCTCGACGAATTCGGTTACTGGTTCGAGACCCCTTTCTCTCCGACGAAGGACAACTTCATCCAGTGCAACATCGACAGACCGGCGGGGGCTTCGGCAGACGGTCGAATGTTCCTAGCAAACCACAACCTAAACATCGAGATTTTGCCCGACGTTCTAATCCCAGACCCGGCGCAAGCGGCTGATACCAACTCGATCGCGTCTATCACTTCGCAGACGGATATCTGTGTCCAGAACTACGGTCGTAACCCCAATGTAGTACTGGTGAGTAGTACCCAGATGCAGCTAGCCATATTTGCGTGGCATGGCATGCGTTCGAACGGGAAATGCTGACGACGCGGTGTAGCTTGACTTCGTGAGTCAAGGAGACACGATAGCGGTCCAGAACCAGCTCAACGGGCTGTCGTAAAGTTATGAAGAAATCGGCGGATATCCAAGGTGTATTTAATGATGATGATGATCTGTTCTTTATTACGCGCTATCCTTGTTCGACTTAGACTTGATCAGATATTCAGTTACAACTTGCTAGGTGGAAAGATCGTGGACGGAGAATTTATGGTTCTACTTACTATGTACCTTACTATTTGATGTATATATTCAATTCTTGCAAAGCTAGCTATTGGAACCGGTGTGCTATTGGTAGTTGTTATGCACAAGCTAAGTGTCAAATAAGGACCCTGTAATTTACATAAGTGCCTAATATGAGGCTAATCGACCCCTCTATTGCAGGGGATCGAACCTTCTACAACCACACTCAGCTGTAATTAATCAGCCTTAAACGCTAGGGATTAACTGTTATACTACCTATAACTGACTCTTAGCGGGAAGACGGAACTTGAAGGTGTAGCTTTGGAACCGGATAGTCCCTCGTAAATTCCTTGAGTAGCCCATCTGGTTAGAGGATAACATGGACATCCCGTATGAGCTGCCATTCAATTTTGGCGGAAAGATTATGAAGGAGAAACTGCAAAGTGTTGCTTTCGATCCACTCCAGGTGAAGACGTTAATGTCAAAGTTCTGTTGCGGAGAATTTTAGGGGTTTATTTTTTCTTACATCATCATGTGTTACACGGTTACTAGATAAATAAAACGTGGGGAGCTATTCACCAAAGCAGTATTATCATATGTCATAGTTGCATATATTAGCAGATATGCGTATGATGACGTGAGGCCATGCTGCTCCCAAGTGAATAAAGATATACTTACTTTATGCATATGACCCGCCCTTCCAATGTCAATTGCTGTCAATTGAACCCCGGCTCTTCCGACCCTTTAACATTTTCACTCAAACGCGAAATCATAAATAACAAGTAGAGAAGAGAGACGAGACGCCAAAAATAGGTAAATTCTTCCTCTTCCTCTTCCTAGCGCGAAGACCTCGTCGCACCTATGGATGTCTCTCAATACAACACGTCTCTTTCATTCACTTGTCATCCCGACTCTTATAGCTTCTTAGCTGAGAAATACATCTGTTTGACATCATCACTGCCCTGCCAAGTCATTCCCTTTTCAACTACGGCACTAGCAGTGGAGTATGGAATGAGCTTAGTCTCAACATCCCACTTTCCTTCCGACGAAGACCCTAACAGCTGGTTGATGGTCTCGGGACTGTGATAATAGATCGACCACCCTATGGCATTGGCATTGAAGATGCCTCCCGTTTGAGCAGTGGCCATGTGGCGCCCAAATATCATAGATCCCTTACGATTTCGAAGCAGCTTCGTCATATGAGCCATGATCTTGACTTGTTGTTCATATGTGAAGAGGTGTAGGAAAGATCCCACGAAGATAATATCGATCTTGCCGCGAAACTCCTCCAAGAAGTCGTCATCGAAGACGTCACCTGTGACCAGACGGGCCTTGAGAGTCTCGCGGTCCTTGAAGAGCTCGTAGCCCAGGTCGTGGAATCTCGGCTCAACATCGACGCCTATAAGGTTGTCGGGAGGAGCTCCATCATAGATGCACTTGCGTATGTCTTGACCAAGGCCGCAGCCCATATCGAGCAATGTCTCACCGGCACGAACACGCTCGAGGACCTCGGGGTACGCGGGCGAAAGAGAGGCTGGGAAGTCGAGGAATCTGAAGCAGCCAACGCAAGCGTACGGTAGGCTGAAGTGGTGAGTTAGGTGGAAATTTACGTAAATAGGCACCGTCTAGGAAAAAAGGGTTCGCTTACATTTCCCAGGCTTCGTCTCGTACTCGATATATGTGATTGAAGATCTCACCGTCGCTAATCTTGGAATAGTTCTGAAAGATCTGCTTTGCTGTCTCTGGGATCTTCTTTAGCTCCGGCTGATACCACGCAACATCCCGTGAAGCCTTATTCTTTCCATTTGTGAAGTTTAAAGTCTCAACGGGCTTGTTTGGTAAAGCTACCGATGTTGCGATTCCGTTAACAACGGCCATCCTAAGAATGGGAAAAGAAGGCAGTGTAATAAGGCAACGGCTTGCAACAGACTACAAGGTTCGTGGCAAATGCGTTCCATACGGTTCTACTGAAGCCAAAGTACGCAGACCTGTGGAGACCCAGACATTTCACGAATGGTGCGGGCTTGCTCCTGAAATCTATAGGATATAGAATATATTATCCCGTATTACGCTTTACGCCAACCCCTCCGCAGCTATCTCCGGGACTCGAATATTTACCGTAGCCGGTTCCGGCGGCCTACTACATATCTTATGCGACGATGAGCCCATTCTTACGGCTTGAGCATATCGAACGGTTACGCTTACTCTTCTGATAAGGCTTTTTTTCATGTATGTTGGTCACCGTCGCAAAAGATGACCGAACTTGGCAATAATTGCCCGCCGCTTTTTTCTAGCAGCATTCATCGCGCTGCTGACACTTGGCCTTCAAGGATTTGAAAACTTCACTCGGAGAGCATCATAATCTCTCAAAGCATGCTTAATAGCACTTGAATATGTCTTCCATATTCTATGCGAGAGCGTTTTACAATGATCCGATTGCCATATAAGGTGACATTACTCAACATGTCTGCTACTATCCAAATAAAAGCGAGACCAAAGAGCTGGGGTTCTCTCTGCGCCAGGGTGTTGACTGGTCCAATTATGTTCTGCATCGGCCTATCTACCAGAATTTCTTCCTCACACGCATATTCGATTACCACTCACGAAAATCAGGGACATGTTAGTTCACCGCCCACGATATCGGGGCCAACCATGAGATAGTCCCAACCCTATCTTTGTGACATTGTTTCCGAAATTTTAATCCCAGATGCCGGGGGGATATGATCGCCAAGTCTAGAACCGAACAGGACTTTGAAGGAATACATACGAAGGATGATGCTATCCCAGAGGCTAACTTGTACCAGTAATTACCTGCGAGGATGGCACCGTACCATAACGTAGGTATGTATTAGTTAGCAAGGTGAGTGGCGAGGAGTCAAGGTGAATGCACGGCAACGAATCACCGAAACACACGTTTTCCAGGGTCTATTACCAGATCTCGTCAGTGATCCCCCTCACCTATCCGATAACTCTATTAAAGCAATAGACATAATCTAACGTGTTTTATATAATTCAAATGAGGTTGGAGGACTCATTTTACGTAGATTGAATACAGTGTGATATTTTGCGTCAAATCATCCTACTTGGATAATAGACCTAAGGAACATTGCGCCAGGCCTGAAGCTGCTTCACGTGGTACGGCTATTCTAGACGCATTGCGCTGTCGGCCAATTAGTACTGATAGGTAAGATGGGTAGGATGCGAGCACAGACGATGGCTTCGTACGAAACGACAGAGAGCCAACTTGCAGTCTTAGGATGACGACTAAGATCGCGCAATATAGGTCCTAAGCTCCGAGTACACCAGCGTCACCGCATTCAGCGAGCGCATCAAGAAGATGTGGACGGGGAATCCGACCATCAAGACATTCCTTTTTGGCATCTCTAGTGCGGCTGGCCCTCACCCAGGCCTTCACCATGATAAAGAGACTAGGTATGTTACTGCGAAGATCGCTAAGTACACGTGTGTACGTCTATCCTCCTATCAATCTTATGATATAGCGCAACGTACAAGACTACGTCGTGGCCTACTGCGGATTCATTATAAGTGTATGCTGTGTAACAAGTATTACTTCTCAATTCGGACAGCAAACGCCAAACCAGCCAATAAGATGGCGAGGTATGATTTCTATCACGAATACCGTAGCAGAACAAAGCCTTTCTTCTGTATATGTAATTTAACGAATTTTGCATTTGTGGTCTATACATTCAACTGACTTCGAGACATAGCCGGCCCAAAACCAAGACGGGCGGTTGCTAGAAATCATGAAGGTCTCGAGTGTCAATCCTCCAGCTTGCCCTTGACATTGCTAGAAGAACACTATCAATGCATTTGACATACGGAGATATATTTCCCTCATTAGGAAGGGATGGGATGGGCAACAAATTAGGATAACTCATCGCGACGTCGCCGGCTGGCAGCGGTACATGGTGGTAACTGCCATCATCATTAAGGATTCCGAGAAGTCGACAAGCTCCCCTCGTTGAACGTCACCTTTCGGCTTCCTCTCCCTGGCCCAATTCGCGGGTATTACTATCGCACTCGCCGTTACTAATGCTGTGTGCCTCGACGAGAGTGGCTTAGACAGAGCTCGCCATGTAGGGTGCAACAGGTGAAGTCCCCAACGACCTTCCCGTCGATAGGAGAGCCGCAACTTTAAATGCCATTACGTCGGTGCGTCACTAATCGCCATTCCTAGTCTGAAGATGAAGAGGTTCTATTAGAATTTGTGAAATTGATTAGGCTCTCCCCAGTCCCCCAGTCCCCACTCCCCCACTCCCCCCCAACTTGAACCCCAAATACCAGTGTTACACGAAGTTACCCCTCATTCTCGATGGTCCTTATGTCAGCAACGGAATGCGTAGGGCGCACCATGCAGAACCTAAATCAATTATAGACTTCTGAGGTATGATACTCCCTCTATAATGGTGGTAGTAATAATTATCAAAATTTTTCAAATTGGCGGCATGATTTCTCACGGAGCTTACCTTTGAAGACTCAAAGCCGAGACCTTTCATAAGCCTCTTGGTTGCGTCACTTCTCGTAAAGGAGAGATAACCTCGGGACCGAACGGTAGATAATTGAATTGATTCAATATTCTGTCGATATTCTCTTTTCTCTTATTATTCTATGTTTCTGCTATTGGTCAACGTTAAGCACAGATTGGGTTAATGATATGCAGTTTCGAAGAGGTTTTCCCTTCCCTTAACCCCTACATCTCTTACTTATCTTTCAATGTTTTGCAATGAACGCCACCTGGGGTCTAAGCGTTCCAACTAGTTGAGCGCAGTACGCTACAGCGCTTGGACATCCATCTCTACACTTCGTTTCAAGGTAAGAGATATCAAACGATCTAATCTTTAAACCGGAATCTACAGGATAAACGCGGGGTCTTTAAGCCTTAATATATTTGATGCACCTATTAACTTAGGGAGCAAACAGTCCAGGTCGGTCAATTCATAAAAGAACCGGAACTTCCCAGTTCAAGTCAACTGAGGTTAGGTCAACTACCTACTGGGTAGCTAACTAGCTGAATTAGTGATGGCTCTGATGCAGGTCCAAATAGCATCTGCGCCACGTCAAAGCAGAGCTAAAGATATTCGCATTCTCTTGAATGTTCGAATAAATCAATACCTCCGCCCCAAAATACCTGCAAAATACCGGCAAAGCTTGCTAGGCAAAACTCGCATTCGGACATCGGCAGCGTGTAAGTCGCACAAGATAACCAATTGAAAAGGGGTAACCAAAAAGACGGCCTTCTTTAGCATCCGCGGGCGGCAGTCCGGCAGTTCAGGTGGGTCGCACAAGGGTCACAGCGGTTGACAAGCTTTAGAGCTAAGCCGCCACGTCCAATCAAGACATCAGCATTACAAGGAACTTCCCGAAATGGCCAATCAGATTCCGCGAAGCTGTACGAAAAGGGACAAAATAGGATTCATCGTTTGGCGCCGACACTCCGTATCGATATGCAGGTACACATATCAAAACTACCAATGGCCAAGCATGTCACAACGCCTTCGAATCTGGAGGCGCAGTGAACGGCCGTGAGTAAGAATGTATTCAAATAGACCACCATCGTCAAAGAATTCGCGAATATATCTGATACTACACATGGACGCGCGTACTTCCCCTTTTCCCTTCTCCCTTCCGCCTATCCCTTAGCCTAACCACCAGCGTTACATTCCTTTTCTTATCCCATTCTCATTCTTGGATTCTCGGAAGAAACCTTGGGTTGCAATTTTCTCTCGTTTTGATATATAACAGCATCATATTTCCCCACTTACTCTCAGCTTGACGCTAGAGGCTATTCAGACACCTACGTAATACATTCATTTCATACCTACACGAATATGAGGTCATTTAATATGCTCCGCCAGCTGGGTCTGGCTCTGTCTTTCTTCGTCGCCTCGTCACAGGCACAAGCACAAGATGCAAATAACACATCTTCAAACGCGACCGCAGGTTCGGTCTTCGTCACGCCAGAACAAAACTTGGCGTTCGCTCTCAACGTTCCGAGCGAATCCACCACGGACTTGTACTTCTCGCTCATGATGACGACGTCAACTAGCTGGGGAGCCATCGGTCTCGGATCTCACATGGCTGGAGCGTTAATGTTCGTGGTATATCCATCCCAGTCAGGGAACAGCTTGACCATATCGCCGCGAATCGCAACCGGTCACACGGAGCCCGTCTACACGCCCGAGATCGATATCGAGATGATGCCGGGGACTGGACGTGACAACAGCACAAATATGTTCACCTTCAATGGGCGATGTACCAACTGTCGATCGTGGTCCGGTGGATCTGGAAAGATTGACGTCACGAGCAAGATCCAAAGCATGATGTATGCCACGGGAGAGGACCGCCCTTATCTTGCGTCCGATGCGCGGGATGGCCCGTTGAAAATGCATTACAACTACGGCACTTTCACTATGGACATGGTACACGCTACGGGGCCGGCAGGCGTTCCGTTGATCGAGAATTCGGTAAACAGCACACTAGTTGGTACGGCACAGCGTCTCTCTACAGAAGGCAAAAAGGACATGGTCGCTATGGCACACGGGGTTATCATGATACTCGTGTTCGTAGGCTTGTTCCCCTTCGGCACCTTTGTTCTACGCTTCGGAAATTGGGTCCGCTGGCACGGCATCAACCAGGCATTCGGTTTCCTTCTTACGTTCATTGCTTCTATTATGGGGTTCGTCATCAGCAAGACTTATAATAGGGTATGTTAGCCATGCGACTTGAGACGGGATAGGAGAGTGTACTAACTCGATGATAGTCTAAGAGTTTCAACACGGCTCACCAGGTCATCGGCCTCTTCGTCTTCATCTTTCTCTTCGCACAATTTACGCTTGGCTTCATGCACCACCGTCAATTCAAGAAGACGAAGGAGCCGACCAAGTTAGCCCCTATTCACAGGTGGTTAGGCCGCCTTATCCTCTCACTAGGAGGTCTTAATGGAGTTCTGTATGCTGTCCCCTTAATCCCATCCTATTCCCTATCCGATTTGCTAATATGCAACCCAGTGGTTTCAAACTCGCCGAGTCAGAAGAATACATCATCGTCCTTACATTCTTGTCACTGGCAATATTACCGACTCTGGTTATCATCCTTCTCGTGAAGAAGTGCCTCCAAAAGCGGTGGGCAAAGCAGAAGCAAGAGACCGGCTACGACATGGAACCATGGCGACGACCGGATGTTCAGCAGATTACATATAACGTCCCTGCAATAACACCTATGACTACGCAAAGACAAATGCCACCAGGGCAGAATGCAAGTATACCTGGCATGAACTCATACATGCCGTATCAACCACATAGTATTAGGACGAATGACCTTGGGCCGCAGCAACATGCTCGGGAATACGTCTAGAGGAGTCAATGTTGTGTACGATTGATGAATTGGTAGTGTAGCATAGTACTAGAGGTCATGTGTGACATGTCAGTTATACCAACTATTCAGGGATATGGAGAAGGGGCTGAGACATCCAACCATAGAATAGATGTAAAAGAACGTTCAAAATAAAAATAAAACAAACCTTTGGGGGCCCTTGAAGCCATTTCCACTTATCCCGGTTTGATTTTGATGACAGTCAGATCACAAATATCACAGCATACGCTACCGCACATAAACGATACCATTTGACGCTCTAAAAGTAGCCTATACAAGATGATCTAAATATCGTATAGGAAAAACCAACCTAGACTCACCAATTAGGTACTACAGGGATAGAAAAATACCAAACGCAGCCATACCTAACCAGGACCAGTGACACTCGTGGTAACCGTACTCATATCTCACTATCATAAGTCACCTAGCCTTTATCTGTAAAAGATTAACATACGCCAATGAAGGGGGCAAGTTAGATGTCTTAGAAACTCGTCACAGGCCGCATAATCTTTCCTTCCCTTGCTTTCGGCGTAGGATCCCTGAGAACAATTGCTTACGCGTATGGACGAATCCATGGATATCCCATAAATGTTCTTTCTTGAAGTTGACTTGAATTATTTTCTCAAGTAAATACCAATATATTTCGATCTAGAGCAACGATTATCTACTAAACAGTAAATATAATGACATAGGTAATACCCAAGTCAACGATAATTTGGCGATTTTCAGGGGTGTATGTTGAAGACCCATAAATTCTAGAGAAACCCAAAAGGGGGGAGGGAGGTCGAAAAGCAAATATTTGGGAAACCAGTAACTTACCAGAAGGCGACACTCAACGATGTATCAGGCCATTGGAGAGACGCATCGAACCAGATTTTACTTGAAGGTAATTATCGCTCGACCCATCCGCGACGAGCGAGCATCGATGGCTCATACTAGCTCTTTGTATTCAACATAGGCGCAGAGATCAGCAAATGGCGGGAACACGCAGTCAGTTCTCATGGCATTTATAAATGAAGAATGTAGATCTTATGAGAGGCCGTATCGGCAAAGGTTTTGATGTGAGACTACAGTGTGCGTAATGTTCAACTTGCCCAAACTTGCACTGTCCTATTTAGCCCTCGTAGGGAATACCCGCCTCATCCTTCATTCCTACGAAATAGTTTAGCAATATATTTGAATATTTAGTACCCCTGATTGGGTACGCAACTACGTCGTAGAGTATATGCATACCTATCTACATAATTTTACTTATGAAAGACATAAGCAAGATATTCGAGGCTTCGGGTAGCGCCTAATGTGCAATTGCACAATGGGTAAACACTCGACACTCCTCAGATAACCTTTCAAACTTACCACGAAATTCGCAGTAATTCGAATGCAACGTGGCTTGATGTAAGGCTTGGGTCGATTGGCATGGGCTAAGTATGGCGGATACATCATCGTAGAATAACCACATCCCACTCTGGGTGAAATGCGGCTCGAGATTTTTGGCAAAATACGTAAAGGGCATGGAGTACCAGCCAGCGGTTACTTCATCTTCCAAGGAAAATGCTAATATTATTATAATTATTATTTTATAAGGAATCTCAGGATCCTAGCACACAGCCAATGGACCAAGTGATCAGGTGCGCAAGATCAATATAAACTGACATAGGTATGCTGGACGAACTGCTTGGGTTGGAGATAGAAATGGACGTACCTCACGAATTTCTATATTCATCAGACCTAAACCTCACCATTCAATATCTATGTGATGTCGTGTGATTTTATCTTTCAGTCGATCCTCTAGCTTACGACTACACGAAGCCTCGTCGGGCCTAGACGGTTTTTCATGGCCTAGAAGCGCTGTATTACCGGCTGAATTGAGGCTATATAAATTTACGATACTTAGGTATGAATGAGCACTAACCGAGTATATCTACTGATGCCTGGTATTTCGTGCTCGCTCTGGCCCGCGAGCGTCCGTTCCACGACAGCCTGCAGCTTCCAGGCGTCATTTTTCGCTATTACTAGAGACCACGAGGTCGTTCGATATTGAATCCTGTCAAATCCCGGAGCCTTAAAAGAAGCCCTTGTCATACTTGATACATGTACAAAAGGACTGGCCGTCAGCAACTGATCCAGGGTGGTTCTCCTGTGCTTCAGAACAGTTCCAAGTTTACGGTGTTTGACTAAGCATCAAAATGACTTTTACAATACGCAGTCTCTGGCTCGTTGTAGGTCTCTTTGCCTTGAAAGTTCTGGCTCAGTGCAGCAGTTATGGTGTTGATTACGTGAATGGTGGATCATATGACATTGATTCATCGTCAAATAAGAATTTCACCTTTACAACTATATTTCAAGGTATGCCAATAGCCTTGTACATGTCTATGATGTCCACAAGCTAACTGCCATTAGGATGTGATCAAGAAACTATAACGCCACTTCTTATAGATCCTAATAACGCTCAGTACCCATGTTCTGCAGTGAATACAACACCAGCTGGGCAGCAGGTCACATCTACATGGTTAGAACCCATTAACTTTAGCTAGATTTTACCATCTCATCGCCTTTTAGTCCAATCACCTTCTCTGCAATGGCTTCTGGCCTATACAAAATTGTTATGCAAGGAGAGAACATTGGCGTCCAGAGGACAATCGCCTTGACAGCTGGCACACCCGCTACAATCACTTTTACTGTAAGATTGCAATTGACCACATATATCAAGGCTGATCGTTTGTTCTAACGATGCTACAGGCCACTCCTACTGTGACAGTTGGTATCACTAGCACCCCTAATGCTACAAGTATATAGTACTCCACGTTCAACTTTATGGTGAGAAGTCTAACTTAAGTGCAGCCGTATATAAAACTATTGTTCAGACCCATACAAGCACTCTGAAACCTGGAACAATTAAGGCGCCTTGCGATGGAATTACACAGACGGTTACTATTACGCCAGTAGCACCGACCGTGACTACCATATACACAATCACCCGAACAATCACAGACAAGAAAACCACGAAGCAGACAACGACAACGCTCACAAAAACGGCATCTTGTCATTACCTACCAACCCCAACCTTGATCCCAGATCCTATACCTACGATCTGTATCGGGCTCGCCTGTATTCCACCTATTCTTCCGCCCGGCCTCATTGGCAATCCCGGCTCACCCATTGGTGATACGGCTTTGGAAACGGGCAAGCCGGATAAAGTAGCAGCACGGTCTTTAGCAGTGACTACTATCACAGTTACAGAGACAACTCTTACGGTTACGAGCACGAGTGTCACTACTGTTCCCGCCAAGACAACTACAGAAGATGGTATGTAAACCAAATGTCAAGCTAGGGGTATATTTATCGCTAACGGAGATGACAGTTTACCGAACCATTACGGCCACGATGTAAGTAGAGTCTTGATTCCCGCTTCTATAAAGGGGTTCATCAAGAAATGGACCCTTGGCCACCAATGAGGGAGCTGTTGCTGACAATCTATCTTCCAGAACACCTGTACCTACCACGGTATGCGACGGTGAGCGACCTCCAGTAACCACGACCGTTACTAGGCCAGTCGGCGTCGTCACGCAAACAGACGTCACTTACGATACTACGCACATAAAAGCGACGGTCTGGGTTGGGTACGTACTCTCCCCCTATTTATCGCAATCGCTTAGTCATCATCTCAATCTATCTCGCATTCTATCCAACGCGCTCGTTCGCCTGTGCCAAGAATGAAGACACTAATAAAAAGCGCAGAGTAACCTCGTACAAAACGTCGACAGACAAGGACGTCGCTACTTCTTGCTTGAGCCACGGAGGTTGGTACGGCGCCGACAACTTCATGCCCACGGCTACGGCTTCGTAGGGTATTTCCTTTTTCCCCTATTAGTTGGGACCCACAGTGAGGGAGAGTGCTAGGTTGCGGTCTAGCGTAAGCGGGGTTGAAGAGAGGTCCAAATTGGTACCTATATATACCAAAATAAAAGTACAATCTTTCACATACGACCATAGGAGCTAGAAAACTCGGGATCCCGTCCGCTCTCCCATAGATAAGCTGGCTACCGCCGGATCAGTAGTTGGGTCGGTGACGACCAGCGAATCCCCGGTGTTGTATGTTTTTGTCTTTTTTGACATCTTATGATTCTATATATTGTCAATCCTGCGTAATTTAGTTGAATCGATGTGTTGTTGTCTTCGCTGTAAATTTTTCCATGCTTTGGACAAGTGGTTTTGTCAGATTGTCAGTAAAAGGGGCTAAAAGTGGGCACCGGAAAGTTAGGGCATACACAATAGCTGAAATCGATACTAACAATACATAACACTAACAACTAGGTGGATATTCATCCGAGGATGGGGTTACACATGTATCTATCTACCTAGTATTAAGAGATGTATCTGATATTTTGAGCGTTCTAGCGATACGAGTAGTATAGACATTGCGACCAAATCTTACATAAAGCGAGCATTATGAGTAAGGGTTATAAGTAAGGGATACTTAGGTATGGAGAAGCATGGATCAGTGTTTCCAATAGGTATATTCTCTTTGAAAATAGGCAAACGTGCTTGCAGGGAAAGCCCCTTTTTGGTTTTAATGATAGTAGTAGACCCCTATTTCTCGCGAGTTACCTAAGCATACCAGGTTGCTGCGCAGGGACCTCTACATCCACGTCTATGGATTAGATATATTAATCATAGGCCGTTCTACACCGATACTTACACCGCTGGTTCTAGTCCACTAGGATAGCCTGCCTAGATAATGAAGGATTACTCGCATCTTGTAGTATAAACATTTCCGTAGTCAGCCAGTCTCCATGATATGAACGTTCAAGTATACAACACTTCTCTTCCTATAATAAGAAAATCTCACGATGTCGGAAAAACAGGGACAGTTGAAGGACAAGTGCAATGGGTGTAAGAAAAGTCAGGATGAGGGCATCACTCTCCTGCGATGCGGTCGGTGCAAGTCTGCCAAGTATTGCAGTACGTCACCAAATATATTTACGTCAAATTCCATAAGTGGCACGAAAGTCCCATCTCACTAACGTGGATCTAATCCCTTAGGTACGACCTGCCAGAAGAATAACTGGTACCTCCACAAGGACGTCTGCCGCGCCAGGGGCGCGCTGGCTGAGGGCAAAAAATGGTACGACCCATTTCGAAAGTGTAGAGATGGGACTTCGCACTTCGGCGACCTAGAGCTCATCACCTGGGGCGATACCACGTATGACGAGGGTGACGATGATCATAAGATGGGCTGGGGAAACTGCTTTATAAATGAATCGCTACAGCTAAAGCGAAAGTACGAGGAGGAATTCGGGTCCGACGATATTTCTATGTACGGATATTGGCCTCAGGGCTTTCGCTGGACATGCTGTGGTATGGTAGGAGACCAGCGTGAAGGGGTGAGTTTATTCCTAGGATCCTTTATGCCCCTTTCAGCATATCTCGAATACCAAGTTCGGGCCACCTCACAAGCTTGTTCGATAGCGATGACTTCTGGATTACCTATATCTCGATTTCATTCCTCCTGCTAGATACTAAAAGATAGGACCACCGTGCTGACTCTCGTTGTGGTATGGTAGTGCGATCATCATGGCTCAGGGCCAGACCCATGCCAATGCGACTTCTGTCACATGGGCCGACCGCTACCTGACGTTATTTATAATATGAACACTCTAGAGCGTCAAGGGTTGAATCTTCCTCGTGGACCTGATCCCCGGTCCTATAACCACAGGAAGGCGAAGTCGGCAAGGATAATGCGGCCTGCCTTTGGAATGCCGGAATAAGCCGGATTTGCATCTCGTTCCTAAGAAGGATGGTCGTGGGAGCAATAAAAATCAAATCTATCAAATAGAAGAAAGCGGGTGAATCCAATCCTTATTAGATGTATCACATATGGGCTGGAAAATAGTATATTATTGATCGTGTTGCTTTGGAGTAGGTAGGTGAAGATCACACAATGGACAATGTGACAATAAGGAAGAAAGAAAGAAGGACTTTCTTTATTTGGTGAACTCTTCAAGGCCCAGCCCGAGGTATTGTTGATCGTCTCCTGGCTACTGCGCCCCCGCTATTGGGTATTTCTTTGCCTCCCCTTTTCAGGGTCCTAAGATTTTTGCAACCTTGAAGAATCGAACCCTAGACTGCCCATTGCAGGGAGTCGTTAATAGAGCAGGATCGATGAGGTGTCTGAGGCACATTACCACTTGACCATTTCAGGTCAGTGATCTAATGCCGGCGATGGAAAATTGTGACTGTATTGTGTTATTTAAGCTTTGCTCCGGTAGGTGCCTGGCGGATTGACCACCTGAGTGACTGACAATAGCCACTGTGACGCATGGAGCGTAACGCGTGACACCTTTGGGCACTTTATAGGACAATGCCATCCATCTCATAAAGCCCATTGTGAAGCATTGACAAAGCCCCGATCCCATTCAAGAACTGAATATCTACTACCCACCGACACATTTTCCAATCATGACGAGAATACCAGAAACTTCACCTTCTAAAGTATACACAAGATTTTTGAGAAAGCGTCAACACCAAATATACAGGTACATGTGCAAGTTCACGATCCCTGCCTTCACCTGCGGCTGCCGCGCCGTAGGTCCCTGCAGATTAGACGAGCAATGCGATCACCCTCGCGCAGGCTGCGAGACCGACCCATCGATTCTGATCTTGCCTCGTCGGTGCGACGACGCTAGGAACCACGCCAACGAGTAAATATCCAAGTAGTAAAATGTAGGGGAGAGTACTCGAGTAGTAAGTGAAATAAAAGGGGTATCTGCAGAGCAGCAGGTCAGCCAATGGAATATCTCTTAACCATCACCAAAACGTCTACAAAGACAAGATATATACTAAATTTAATCCAATTGGTCTCTATCCTCCCAAGTCTATGCAAGTCCATTCCACCGTATATCATGTATCATACCTCATCATGACTCCTAACCCTCTAAGAAACCACTACGTTCATGCCAGTGTAGCGTACCCAAAATAAATCCCTACCAAAAAAAACCAGCCATTTTCCACCCTATTCATCCTCCTCATCCCCCTCAAGCCAAATCTCATGCCCATCCCCCTCCCTCACAAAAACACTAACCACCAACCCCCCAATCGCGACCCCGGCGAGCCCCCAAAACACACCCCCAATCATTCCCCTACTCAACCCAACGCCGTAAAGCCAACCGCACAAAACCGGGCCGACCGTCCTCGCGAAACTACTCACGCTCTGCCCGAGCCCGTGCACGGTGCCCAGCACGCTCGGATGCGGCGTGCAGTTATTAACCAGGATCGTCTGGCCCGGCAGCGCGAACGTGCGGCCCGTGACCTGTATGAACAGGACCCCGGCGATCGCGAGCCAGATCGCGGGGCCGGTCTTCTGGCTCGGCGGCGCCGCGGTCGAGGGGACGACGGACAGGAAGGGGATCAGGGTGTACGCTATGGGAAAGAGGTACAGGCAGGCGCGGTACGAGCGCAGGGTGCCGAAGCGCGAGGACAGGCGCGGGTACAGGAACAGCTGCATGGAGATGCCGATGACGCCGAGGATGGCCATGGCCATGCCCACGGAGCGGGGCGGCAGCCCGAGACCGCCTGTGAATCGGAAGGGGAGTTTGGGTTCGAAGCCTGGCGGGTCTGGGTCCGACGGGTTGAAGACGGGGGTCGAGAGGAAGACGAACCAGAGCGAGTTGAAGGTGCCGACGTGGAAGGCGAGGAAGAAGTGCGCCGCGAGCGTGAACGTCACGTTCGTGGTGAAGATGCGGCGGAAGGTGAGCCGCGTGGTGTACCGACGTTTGGTGGTTGGCTTCTTGGAGGTTTCGCGCTCGTCCTCGTCGGAACCGCGGAGAGAGACGGGGGACATTTCGAGGTCGGTGCTTATGCTGGTGTTTCGTGAGTGTAATGGAGTATATGCTATTGACGTTTGACGTCTCTTGAATATTGAGGTTAACTTATTTCCCAGGATAATTCCGATATCTCGTCTATCCTGCAGAGCATCGTGTGTCTTTGGAATGAGTTAGCAATTGTGATGGGAGTATGTTTGGGGTATGATGGATAGAATACCTCTTCCAAGAATAACCAACACATAACCAAAGCGATGGTCAAAAATCCTGCGCTGACGAGATTTGGTGTAGCATAGGGGAATCTCAGGAGGAATCCTACTTTGCCGAATGTATCTGGGTATGAACCTGCCGGGTCAGATAGAACACCACCAAGGACTGGGCCAATGATGACGCCGATGTTGAAGGTCATAGGCAAAATCAGGAATGCTCGCGATTGGTATCTGCGAATGGTTAGAGCTGATTTACCTCAGTACAATTCATCCGGGGAACATACTTCTTCTCGCGGACAATCTCGCTAATCCTATAATACCATATCAGTACCAGCTATTAGAAGATTGCGTCGAAAGATCTTAGAACATACATAGTCCTCATTACCCCAACGTTGCCATTCGTTGCGCCACCTAGGCATCTAAAGAACAACGCCTGATAGAAAGACGTCGAGAACCCATATCCAATACACGACAAGACTAGTTTGTGTGTCAGTAGTTCCCCATGAATAAACAGTTAGAGTGAGAGCATACGAGTTCCGAGCAATCCGATCAAGATAACCGTCTTACGGCCCGCCCACATCGAGTCCGCGACACGGCCCCACACCATCGCCGTGAAGAACTGCGCCGCGGTGAAGCTGGCGTGCAGGACGCCGGCCTGGCTCGAAATGACCGAGTCCGGCAGGCTCGGATCGAACCATCGCAGCTGGTAGAACATATACGACTATACCGCGTCAGGAACCACAAGTCTTGGCATCACACCACCCATCCATTGGACGAAGTCAATCACATCGAATGAGGTGATTGCTGGGCGCACGTACCTGCAGAGAAGTCTGAACCAATGGCTCGCTGAGCCGGGCCAGCGTGATGACGATAAGTTGTTTTTTCTTGGGCAAATCCTTCCAAGCTACCACTTTCTTGGTGGAAGCGTCGCTTGGCCTCCGGCTCCGTTTCTGTGAATCGGAAATCCCGGCGCTGCTAGTGTCGATGTTCAGGGTGCCGGCGCGAGAAGCCACCAACGGCGTGCCATCCTGGCCGCTCTCATCTCGGACGCCAAGCCCGGGCTCGAGCGCCGCGGATTCCTCGTCGGAATCGAAGTCTAGATCGCTCAAAGGGCCACGGTCTTCTTCGTCGAACACATCGTGCTTACGGTCGTTCATTTACCGTCTCACAGCTCTGGTAAAAACACTTAGTCCGAAGATTCGGAGATGCGTTTATTCTGAAGATAAGACTTTGTTAGTTTCCAACGTTGGGGATCTCCGAATTCGAAGTTTGAAGACTAGGTAATTTTAGCTATGAGCGAAACACTTTTAAGACTTAGAATCTCAGTATGAACAAGACATTCATGAGAAAGTAGATTAGGATACATCGAACCGATCTATCTGCAGGCCCGCCAACAAAGAAAATTATCGCTGTCATGTGCGCCGCAACAGGCCGATGTTCTAAGACCGATCTTGCCGGCCACCCTGCTCTGAGTGGTCGGAGATGGGCGACAAAGTCCCGAAAAGCTTCTTCGAACAAGTTAAAGATCAAGATAGACCAATCAATGGCCGCCACCGGAACCTCCATGTAGCAGTGATAAACTCGCGACCTGCTTTGGTGCAACCCTCCTGCTTACGAAGTTGGATGTTGATTCGCCTGTTTTTAAGACCTAAACTCCAACGATGTGGATCGTGAAACTGGATTGACCAATTGAATAATAGACATAGCAAACCAGGTTTACCTTGGAGCCAGTGCAAAACCAGGTGCACGGACCGGGGCTGTGGGGGTAAAACATCAACTTTTCTCCAACATTCTCGTCCGCCCTCAATATTTCGATCTATCCGACGACTCCTCTTGGCGCGTGAAACTTAAGGAGCCGCAACATATGTTCCAACCCCCTAACTAGTATTACCCAAGAAAAGGGATCTCAAGTGACATCAGCATTTGCCAATGAGTTTCTAATATCCAGGCTGCCAGGTTCCTCATTCTAAGATCCGTTAATAAGGTGTCACGTATGGTATCTTGTCATCCCCCAATGTCTCAACCCCGGAAAATCATCGAGATCGGCTAAAATACGTATATCAATGAGATAATCGTGAGTACATAAGTTCATAAAATCTAGCAAGAAGCCAGACAGATATCAGACGCAGCTATTACTCTACTTATACGAGAGCATATGCGAAGTAAGTAGACGAGACTCAGCTCTTCTCGAGGTCGATAGCAATGGGAGTATCCTAAAATTCGATATTCCAATTCGGATCTCCTAGGAACCCAAATATGAACGGCGTCCAGGACTGGTTTTCGGGGGCCCAAAAGCTGGGGATGCCATTTGTTTGTGGCTCGCTCGCGACCTGGCTGCCTTTCAATAATTGAGCTTCGAACCAATTCTTTATCCACTCAAGTTTCGTGCCGTAGTGGTAGAAACGGTCGTTCAGCTCATCTTCCGCTGTATTTGGCGGCATGCTCACTCCAAATGTGGCCGCTGCCTCTGCAGCCCTCTGGTTTCTCAGGTTGGCAACGTCCTTGAATGTCTCCGCAAGGCTCTCTAAGGTGGATGGCAGATCAACCATCTGCCGCGCCCTGTTAAGATCCCAGCCATCGACCTCGATCAACAAAAGTCTCGAGGCTCCGACAATCACGAACAGTATCTCGGAATATGTAACGTATGATCGGTATAAGAAAGCTTCCGGGCCTATTGAAAGAATTGTCTCAAAGAATTGTTTGGCTGCTTGAAGGGCGTAGAGCATACACTGCCGTTGATGTTGTGCTGCTACCATATCTGATGGTTGAGACACGTTCGAAGCCGGTAGATATAAACGTACTAGGATATAATGATGCGTAGCCCAAAACCTTACTAAGGTAGTAGTAAGCTAATGTTCAATAACGGCGAAGCGCAAATAGTTATGGCTAAATTAAGAACCTGCAGATCTTACCAAACTGTCGGTGTTCCCTAGCTACATTCGCAAATAGCTGATCGAGTTGGTTACGAATAGCCTGCATGGTATTGCTCATGGAAAGAGTGAATACCGCAAGTCCATCACCACAGGAGGTGGGAATAGGTAACATCTGCATTATCTGCTCGACGATTTGCTGGAAGCTGATCATTTTGTATAAGATAAAATCCGCCCCCAGGTCCGTCGGGCGAACGAGGGAGTTGAGGCAGCGATTTACGTAATCACCCTTTAACACTGCATCTCTCCCAAATTGCGAGCCGTTCCTAATTCATCATTAAATTATCCGTCAAAAAAGATTTGATAGCCGCGATACGATTTACTTACAGCGAAAGGAGGTATTGACATCCTAAGAAGGCCCGCTGTTCTTCAGGTGTATGCGACTCTTCGAGCATCGTAGTTAAATGGCTTCCCATGATAGCCTCTTTTGCGTCCTTCGGATTGATGGCCACCATCATCTTCTGCTGCTGCGTGGGCGGTGGTCTCGTGATTGCAAGATTATGAGCATACCCCATTGCTAGGTAAGTTAAGTAAGTTAATCTCTGGTCAAAGTAGAAATCGCCTTCTCCCCTGTGCCTGAAGTTAGCGAGTGTGTTATAAAGAAGCCGTAGCGAGACACCTACCAAGCTATATATATCAGTAGTCCTTGGAGCAACCCCAGATCTCGCTCTCCCATCACCAACATGTGCTGTCCTATGTAAGCGAGCACGCTTTTTTGAATCTCCTTCTGCTTCGCTAGAGTGAGTTGAGCCGCAATAAGCATAATAACTCTAAATAAGAAAGGCTTCTTAGACATGAGTTCCCTTGCGGAGACCTCAGGGTCGATGACGATAAATGGGAAAATGGGCATGAATTTCGTCTTGAAGTGGGATACCGCCTGCTCGGCCTGTCCCCATGTTAACCCAAACCCCGGCTGTGAAGGCCTCGGGGCACGTAAGGTTGCCTGTGGTTGATGCGGCCTGTATGAGGGATTGTCTTGCCCCGGTGGAGCTTGGTAGCCATTTTCAAGGCTACTTGTAGCTGTTGCATTTTGCGAAGGACTTGTCCTTGTTTCCGAAGATATAGATGAAGAAGTGGTACTCTCACTTGAAGTATTGTTATCTTCTTGGAATCCATACGGGCCAACTCCTATCAAGACATGCCCATAGTTAGGACCTCGCATAGGAGGGGTACCACGATCACGTTTCGAAGGCACAGTACTACATATATCCCATATAATTAGTCAAATTTGACGAGATATTTTAGTTACAAGGTATGTAGATATGTTGAGAGCAACATATAGAACTAGACAGGATGAATTCAGATGAGGGCCGTACCTTGCAGGTTTAACCTGTCGGGGTCTCCTTAGGCTCTGAGTCGTCTGGGCAGCACAAGTGATGTTCATTCGCCGACATCTGAGTTCGCATGCAGTTAGATTATTATTCGACTCATCGTGTAGTCAATCAAGGTGTAGTTTCTAACCTATCACATCCGTCCTCGACCTTGTTGTTTTCGAAGTGACAGCGAGCCTTGGCCTTAGTACAAGGCGCACAAGCCCGCTGGCGCCTGATAGGGCTTGTTGGGCGCCCGGCAGTCTTCGGATAATCCTGCATATTGAGGGTCTCGGCTCCTAGTATCGTTCCGAAGTAGTACCCAGGCCCGGAATTCAGGCGATGAAGACAACACGCCGTGTGCTTGTTCTCCTAGTACATGTTAACCCGTAACTCCTGAGGATCGTCATGCCAGCCTCTACGCACTGTCCTCGCTACTGAAGATGAGGCTGAAAAGGGGCTAACGCCAAACTTCGTCTACTAACTAAGAAATCTAGTCGTATGTATATGAAAGTGTAGTAAAGAGTTAGGAATTGGATGTTTCATCAAGATTGAAGGTTAAGAATATCCGGCGCTCTGCGTGTGCCGCGTTAAGACAATCCGTAAGCCGGCTTAGCGGCAATACCCCGGGTTAGAATAATGAAATATGTTACACCATAATTACACTTATCTGGAGTTAAAATTATCCCGGCCAAACCCGGCGAAAAACCACGTAAACCCGCTTAAGACCGGTCAATTCCATACGGATACTGTGCCGCAAGAATTAGATCATACCGGGTTAATCAATCCACCGCTTCGACTCCCTTGAACCATGATCGTCCATGGGAGGAGGGTATTTTACCATGGTTCTATTGACGAGTTTGACAGTCTCTCTTATGTAACATTCGTGAGTTACCGTCTTTTTTCTTGGAGATAACAACGAGTATTTATATTCATTATAAGAGGCTCTGTAAGACTTGGGATTAAACGAGAATACGGACTTATATTCAAGCCGTCAACCAGTCGTATAACATGGAACCGCATTATCTTGTTCCATCTCCCTTTCGTAACGTAACCCTTGATGGTAGAGACAGTTCTCCCAAGACAATATATAGAGCAGAATTTGCACCCCCTCTCCCTCCTATGTTTCTAAAAATCCCCAATCGCGATTTAAGCATCTTCGTGTCCTCGTAGATAGGGGTCTATGTGGACTTATGTGCACCTTCCAAGGCTTGGATTGAGTTATTATAGACAGGTTGAATGTAACAAAGAATAGTAAAGTGTAATATTTTCAATGCTGTTGAAAAAGAGCTTGATCATTCATAATTACCTACCTAGATAAATGACCATAAGCACAAAGGCAATCGATGATTAGTTTAATTCAACATCTTCAGATGTCCCTTATGATTCTAAGAGCCTTTTGGCATGTCAACATCAGTGATTAATTGTGAAGAATACCTATTCAACAGAGTTCAAGGCGCTCCCTTTTATAGGTGATCATGAACAGAACTCACAGAAGCTGACAGTGAATCCGAGATTCAGTCTCTTTATCTCCCAACCCTCAATCCTCCTAGTAAATCACGTCGATATGTTCGGTTAATATCATGGAGACTTGCCTGATCGTACCCATAACGACTGTCTGACTGGAAAAGGGGGCGTTCACTTTGATCATCTCTTCTCGACACCTTCAGCTCCATTCTTGAGTCGGCAACGACACCCTGGGGGGCCAGCATAAGAATCCCGTCGGCTATGTTGCCCATAGGTATCTCGAGCTCTACCGGCGCTCCTTGCTGTCGAGCCTCCCCATCGCCGAGGTCCCTCTCCTATTGACGATGGCTGCGCGCCTGATAAACGCAACGCATATATCCAGCGAGCAAATCCTTTCACGAACACCCATAAACGCATAGAGTTTTCTGTCTAGGGCATTTTTACTCACACTTTCTTCCCTAACTTCTCAATCACCAAAACTTTCCCTCTTTCCTTCATCTCAAACTCTTCCCCATCAACACTTGTGTGGTACCAACATCGGCACAACACACTTCTTCATCCACCCACTGCAACCCAACATCTAAACCATCACCCATTACATCTCATTTCATTTTGTTTCCCTTCACCTTACAAACACCTTTTTGACAAACGCGCTCGCCCATGATGGCGCGTCGCGTGTCAAACGATTCCATCGAGGGAGCGGTCTACCTCGAAAAATATGAGAACGCACGTAAGCCAGACAATGACCAAGAAATGACCAGATTTTTGCAATCCGTCAGTACCCAAGCAGTCGTGGGTAGCCCTAAAGCCAACGCCCCGTCCGGACAATTGGAAGTAGGCTATGCCTATAAGCATCAAGGACGCGTTAACGACAATTCGCTATCGAAGGTGAAGAACATGTTCAGCACCGCCGCGGCAACTGGAAAGGGTAAGGCCGGACTTGGTTATAATGAGCCGACCGACATCGAGGATCCGGAAAAGGCTAGCCGTAAGCTTTCGTCCAAGATGACTAAGATCAAGAAGTTCTTCAGCAAAGATGATAAGGACGCAACAACTTCGATGTCGGCTAGCGCTGAGAAGGTGCTAGCTATGTTGAAGAGCCCAAACGCTCTTCCCGTCAATATCCCCAACCTTCCTGAGTTACCTAAGATGGTACAAAGCGTGAGCAATGCTAATCTCTCACGCAACGTTGCTCCGCGACATGTCGCCTATGACGATGGCCAAAGTGACGACGGTCCACGTAAACTCTATAAGAAGAAGGCGATTGAGGGAGGCAAGTCTGGTTTCGAGGAGAAGACAATGGCGTACGGTTCTGCTGAGGATACCAACCGAAAGAAAGTGGCTGCCTCGGATATATCAGGTAGATCGCGTAATGTCGTCATTGCCCACGAACCTGTCCAGCATAAGGTTGAACAAGAGGCCCAGTCTGCTGAAGTCTCATCACACCGCACTCCCATTATTCATCGTGAACAATCTAAGAAGCCTCTTTATGACGACCAAGGTTTCTGGATCGGGGAGTCCGATAGCGAGGATCCCCACGATCCCCATGTTGGATCTCGCGACGTCCGCTCTCCTCGCCCGCAGTTCGAACATCGGGATGTGAATGACTCCGAAGATGATGACGTTGAAGAGGGTTCGTCTCCGGCTCTTAGACGCATGGCTTCGAACGATACCGTTGTTGTCAACTCGCTTGCTATCGCCCATTACACGCCGTCTATCCAGCAATTCATAGCCAGGCCGGAGCAGGCAACCAGGGACTATGCAAGGGCTATCCAGTTGGCGAAGGCGCAACAGGAAGCAAAAGCCAGACGACTTGCGGAAGCTAAAGCGAAGGAGAAGGCTGACATTGAGGGCGGTCAGGATTCCAGTCCCCAAGGAGCGATACCTAGCGTTCCTTCATTCCAGGAGCTCAAACGCCAAGAAGCCGAGGAAGGCAAGGGCCCAGAGCAACTTCACAAGGACAGACAGGTGGGAGTCAAACACTGGCTGGGCAGTCCTCGATTGGATTCCCGTCCCGAGAGTCCGGACTCGCCACGACAGGTTCATTACGGGCCACGACAACCCCGCACAAAGTTAGAATCCAAGGAGCGCAAGATTTCATCATCTTCAACTAGTCGTGAGAGATCAATCAGTCGTGATGCGCAGCGTGTGCGCCAGCATTTTGGTCTCCCACCCGCTTCCACCGAGTCTGGCGGATCTAAGAGAGTTGAGATTCTGTCGACTATTGAAGAGGATGACTTGGAAGCCAACTTTCAATCTCCCGGTTTCCCTAAGCTCTACCATCCAACTCCTACTCGCACAGTTCGTATAAGACCTTCGGCCTATGAGGGGCTTTCATCCGCTCGCAAGGAGCCCGAGACATCTGCTAGTCCCCAACGTGACACGGCTGAGCCGCCCAGCTCACCATTCGATCGAGACCCTAGAGACCACGTGCAGGAATATTCGCGACCTGTGAAGACTATCTCGCCACCGAGTACCCCTAAAGCTCAGATAGTTCGAAGACAGCTCAGCGCGGCAGAGGAGATCGAGCGCATCAATAAACACATCGTGGACGCCTACGACGGCAAGTGTGAGTATAACGACTATGAAGCCCCTAGCGACATCACAGTTGGCCTTAGTCCAGTCACTCTTCTGCAAATGTTTCCTCGCCCGCTTCACATTATTAAAAATCCTAAGAAGACTCGAGGCAACGCTCACTCGCCCACCCCTGCCTCCAAGGGACCACGAGGAGGTCAAGCACTCGAAGGACTCCAAGGACGACGTCCGCTCCCAGTTGCTCAGCGATACACACAACCCCAGCAACCCCAGCAATCTCAGCAGCCTGGACTATCCGAACTGCAGCCGCCTCAGCACAACGCGACCGGCGAGGGTGCGTGGGATGAACGCTTCCGTGATGACAGTAATGAGGTTTCCTCCGGTCATAAAGCACTGATTATCGAAGGGATGGGAAAAGTCATGACGGAGGTACTAGATCGCATGGAGAAAATGGAAGAACGTATGGAGGGATTGAAAGGTTATGTGGATAATTTGGAAGATCGCACGGAGAGAGTGGAAGACCTACTGGAAGAGGTGGATGGCGGGCTCGTCCGCATGCGACGAACGGTGGCTAAGATGCTTGGGATTGATACTTCGTGGCCCCCTAACGGCCAGAACCTTGAGGGGGATGAAGAGGGTAAGGAGGGTAAGGAGGGTAAGGAGGGTGAGAAGGGTGAAAAGGGTGAGAAGGGTGAGGAGAACGAGGAGGAATAAACGACGCTGAACATCTGCGGATATTACCCTGGCCTGTACATGACGGTGCTTGCACCATTGCAGGTCAGGGGCCTTGCACGAGCTTATGATGAGATGATTACGTTTCCTTCCTCGAATCCCGTCGGCATTCGTATATACGTCTTTATTAAGACGATATATACAAAGTTGACTGGTAGGGAGAGGACATTAAAGGATGATTCAAGCAACAGTTGAAGTTCCGTTACTAGAAACGTGCCGAGGGGTAGCTAGGTAGATTACATAAGCTGTTCGCTCCTAAGGTTTAGCTGGATCGATGCTAATGCACGGACCAATCAATGCATGTGCCCTCTGTGATTGGTGATTGCCAGCTGGCAGCTTCTGCCCACACCAAGTTTATCTTTACACATAAACCGTTACATAACTTTAGAGCCTCTACGTAGAAACGAACCAGCGAGTTTGAGTACACTTCCGGAGAAATCAGCCAATATGGATCCTTATTCGGCAGAAGGCGAGCTTATCAACATCCACAACCACTTCCACCAAGGCCAATACCAAGAAGTAATCGACTTCGATACTTCCGCCCTCTCCCCCGAAAATGAGCTGCCCGCTCGAGTGCTCTCTCTCCGCGCACAAATCGCTTTAGGACAAGCCGAAGACGTGATCGCCGAGGTTCAAGGAGAGTCGGAACCCGAGCTGGCTGCGATAGGCGCTCTGGCGCAATACGTTTCGGGGGAGACGGACGAGGCGGTAAAGACCATAGAAGAGTTAGCCTCGTCAGCCGGCGATAACCAGACCGTCCAAGTTATCGGTGGCACAGTATTGCAGGCTGCTGGCAAGTCGGAGGAGGCGCTTGCACTCTTGTCGCAACATTCCGGCAGCCGTATGTCGAACTTTCAACAAGAAATAGCTTTATGACTTGCGTGATCATATACTAATAGGGTGTTAGTTGACGCCGTCGCCCTAATCACGCAAATACACCTCCAACAAAACCGGACTGATCTAGCCCTCAAGGAAGTCGCAGCAGCACGAAGATGGGCGCAAGATAGTCTACTTGTTAACTTGGCAGAATCATGGGTTGGCCTGCGATTGGTATGTTATACTGAGATACAATAAACAGCCGACCCAATGGCGGGGCTAACGAGTGATCCTCAATTTAGGGAGGAGATAAATACCAACAGGCTTTCTACGTATTTGAAGAGCTCGCGCAAGCCCCCTCGACATCCTCGATCGTCTCTCTCGTCTCCCAAGCCGTATGTGAGCTTCATCTAGGCCGCGTCGAAGAGGCGCAGAGTGCCCTCGAGCAAGCCGTGCAAAAGCAGCCTGACTATGCCGAGGCCATTGCCAATCTACTAGTCCTAACGATCATAGTTGGCAAGGACCCTAAGGAACTTATAAGGTATGCTATGTCCGGACTACCTTTGCAACCTCCTGAATGCTAATATCATTTGCTTTAAAGTTCCCTAAAGAAGACTGCACCTCAACACCCTTACCTAGTCGATCTCGAAGAGAAGAGCGCGTTGTTTGACAAGGCCGCCGCGAAGTACAGTGCCAAGGCGTCGGCTTAATAGGAGAAGGGCAATAAAAAGGGTCGAGGTGGGTGTTTAAACTGTCGTAGACATTGGAGAACGGGTTGTAAAGAAAAGGCGAATACCTTTGGTTATGATAATTCATGAATACAATGAATGTCCTGCATACGATACCTTGCCGTTGGCTCTTACTATGTGTTCTCATTCCTTGGCGAAACGACATCTAGAAAAAACCACGAACAATTGCCCATGGAACGAGGGGCTTAACCGCAACAATCCGGTCGTGGTTATAGGAATTTCCGGATTAGGCATTCCGGGGTCAATTACCATGGAGGCACAACTGGCATCACTCAAGAAAGAGATACTACAGGCCAATTCAACGCGGTTGACATCACTATACTTTGAAGAGTCGGTATATAGGGGATTCGAGACTTTATCAGAATGCACAATGATGCCTAGACTTCTCATATGTGGGTATGACAAGGTGATAAGGTGAGCAGGTGAACAGTTCTATCTGACAACTGCAATAGAGCATTATCGTCACACGGGGACCGACATACAGTATACTAGGTAGGTATATCATCAATATTGATGCAATTGATAAGGAGGTAAGGAAAAGGGGGGAGTGGGGAACAGAAAACACGGGCAGCACGGGACACGATGCCCCTCACTTTACACCCACACGGTATTATGTCTTGACCGCTTGCAAGGCAGCTGCAAGGTCGCATTATGAGGATTTCCATACACTATGTTACGGTGGCCTAAGAGCCTCTGACGATCTCATCGTGCCTCAAACTAGCCATTTTGAGATGTGATAGTTTCCGCAGACTCCCGCTGGGTCTGCCGCGCTAGTCTACCGCACACATCATCGTCAGCCACTGCGCAGTCAGAGCGGCTAGGCAAATAGATAGGAGAAACTTGTCGTGGGAATCGAAGTTGGATCCCGTCCATGACATCACTTCGCTACTCGGCCCTTTTGCAAACGCTCTTTCAGAGCCTACCGTTCTTACACATGTTCCCAGACGCAATCGAACATCGTGACCCGTCAAAATGGATTCATTCTAAAAAAGCTGCAAACTAATGTTGTATGCGTCCGCACGTACTTACACTAGCGTCGAGGGCTATTACGACTTATCGGAGAAAAAGACCCAACAGTTATTCGTCATCCTATCCAGAAACCTCTTTGACTATCACGAACTAGGTAGAATTTACAAAAAATGATTTGACGAGGCATCGACTTTGAAACGAAGATCTTATACTCTTCTGTGAGCTCGCAGTTAGTTTCAGAAGAAATCTAGATTTAGGGAAAAGACCTGAGGCCGATCCGGAATCTCAGAGATTGGGAACACGACGTTAGGGCAGACGAATAAAAGTGGATAGGCCGTATCCGACGCATGTCCAGGCCGCCTTCGATCTGAAGGGATTTCTCGATCCCCTGGCCTATGACTTGGCCAGAAATTTCGAAACTGGTCGGGTGGTCCGAATGGCGCTAAAATAGGTGGGATTGGTCGATTCCAGACTATGTCAGTATGCATCAGTATGCAGGCAGATAGGACGATGGCTTCGTTTTCTGCCGAACTTGAACCCGCACTTTGTATCGGGGGCTTGCATGCAACCCTTGTACCAATCACATAGCCAGGATTAGGCCGTCGCCTGTGATATGACGATGGCTTCCTTTGAGTATGCTAATGTTTGGTCTCGGCATCGTGAAGGGTCCTCCGGGCTGTGTAGCCCGTTCCAATTTTTCACGATGGAAAACTTCTATAAGTTAGCTATCTTGCCACGCTCACGATGTGTTCTAAAACAATTAGCTTCACCAAGCAAATAAAACAACAATCATTCTTATCATTAATAAGATAAACTTACAGCCTTCCTCTTAAAACTTATACCACTTAGACTTTAGACCATATACACTTATAAACATTATCCAAGATGCCTATCGCTCTTACACCACCTCCGGTTCCCGAGGCTAAGACCCTCGGCGATGCTAAGAGTCAGAATGTCAAGAGAAAGATAATATGTTTCTCAGGTACGGTACTTCCACTTACATAACGACTACGTAACCTATATGAACCGTCTCCTAACATAACATCAGACTTTGACGGAACAATCTTCATGCAAGACACCGGCCACGTCCTCTTCGACAACCACGGCTGCGGCTCCAAGCACCGGGAAATCCTAGACGAGCAAATCAAGACCGGCGAGCGATCTTTCCGAGACGTATCGGAGGAGATGTGGGGATCCCTCAACGTGCCCTTCGAAGACGGCTTCGAGGTGATGGAGAAGACGCTCGAGATCGACCCGGATTTCCAGCGCTTCCACCAATTCTGCATCGCGAACAACATCCCCTTCAACGTGATCTCGGCGGGCCTCAAGCCGATCCTGCGCCGCGTGCTCGACACCTTCCTGGGCGAGGAGGAGGCCGCGCACATCGACATCGTGGCCAACGACGCGCACATCTCGGCCGACGGCTCGCAGTGGAAGCCCATCTGGCGCCACGACACGGAGCTGGGCCACGACAAGGCGCTCTCGATCACCGAGGCGCGCGAGCAGGCCCAGCTCGCCTGCGACGACGGCTCCATCCCGCTCATCGTGTTCATCGGCGACGGCGTGTCCGACCTTCCCGCCGCGCGCGAGGCCGACGTGTTGTTCGCGCGGCGCGGACTCAGGCTCGAGGAGTACTGTCTCGAGCACAAGATCCCGTATATCCCCTTCGACACGTTCGCCGACATCCAGCGCGAGATCGAGCGCATCAAGGAGGAGGACGAGCGCAAGACGGGCGGCAAGGGCGTCCCGGCGCGCTTTAACCCGCGCGCTAACATGTGGAGACGGGTTTCGAGCAAGAGCGCCGTGCCGAGATATGTGGTCATGAGCCCGACGAAGGAGGAGAAGATGTTCCTGTGGCCCGAGGCCTTTACCGAACTGAAGACGCCGAGTGTGGAGGTTACGGAGGCGGCTACGGCGATTTAGGGAGCGGATGATTTTTATTTACCTACCTACCTATGTTCAAGGTCGGATTGCATATATCGGCGTTTAATCTCATTTCATCTAGCATTGGGTGGCGATATGGAGTTACAGGATACCATATGGGATAGCACAAGGAAGAATCCCTAAGGCGTTTTGGATTGATATACGATACAGATGATCTAATGAGATATACGTATGCCAAAGATACATTAGCTAGAGATATATTATTTCTAGGATAGTAGAAACAATTAAATATCCGACGAGAATTATAAATACAGTTGTTCAGTTGTTCAGCTGTCCGGCACATGCTCGTGGTGTTATGTTGGTATCAGGGTATGAGTGCGCCATAGCTAAGCGAGTTGGGCATCATCCTTCTTCCTTCTGGGACAATAATTGGAACACCTATTATGTATAACTACAGGTATAATCAACTTATCTATGTAATCTGTCCTTTTGTTCGTTGTTTTATACTTCACTTCGGATACGGTTCTTACATTGATATTTCGTTTTACCACTGGGGCACCGCCAGGTCAGACACATACCTATCCTGCATATCTCGATGTATTACATACTACGCACAAAGAGCATTGCCCGAATCGCAAGATCGAGCCAATGGGAAGCAGAGGAATATCCACTCTGCCTGCAGCAGAATTGGGGATCAGCTCATTTGACGTCTTATGAATCCGATCCCTCCGCATCAAGCCACCCAGCTGCGCTTTGGTTGGGCTGAGGGAGGAGGAACGAAACTCCCACATCGAGACAGAACGAAGAAAGAGCTGAAAGGGTTGGTGATATGCGTCTTATAAGCCATCATGGCAGTTACGTCGCGTATCGTTCACGCGGGTATTCGGCTGATGATTTCTAGGCAGCTATCCATTCATCGCCTTTCTTTACTAAGGAATATGACATGGAGAGAACACAATGTTCGTATGGTCGTAAGACGGAGACGGAGATCTCGGCAAGTAACTGCCTAGAAGAGGCATCTGGCATCGATCGCGGCAGAGACGGCATCTTCGACGACTATGTAGAATGACATAGCGATAGTGTTTTGGGTTTACCCTTGACTCCAGCACTTCCTTCGGTTTGCTGCATGAGATACCTATGGGAAGATGTCCCTTGTCGATTCCAGGTCTCCGTTACATTTACTGGGCGATCATCGATCACCGTTGTCTTGCAGCTAACAGCCAACAAGACCAGCCAAGACGCAGCCCTACCTACTGCCGGACTGCTAAACCCAAAACCGATGCTTTGCTTCAAACCTTCAATCTCCTACTCGGTTTGTTGTTTAATTATCTAATTATAACCCCCCTCACATGATTTTTGTAGATTGATGATATAGACTGGCAGAACTGGCTGATTGATCAATATCGAAAGAACCATCAACTAAATTAATTTGTGTTCCTCCAATATCCCCCAATGCCCCCGATACTTCCCCAGCTCCAATAGAAGCTTCCCCAATGCTTATGTACAGTGTATTGGACCCATTCTAGACCGAGAGAAGTTTCAGCAACTTCCTAAACCAGACCTTAACTTTGATTTTCAACTTTATTCTTCCGTAACTGTCCGTGTATGGAATCTATTTTTATCCAAACTTACGTTCGACTTAGCGATGCCCACATATCGCCTTCTACGTATGCAAACACTGCCATGTTTATTTTTCGGTTTAGGGGATGACAGGAACATCGAATTTACGTGTACTTTTCTAGGTACAATCTTGTTAGTGGAACCCGATTAGAGCCCTGTGGCACCCGCTGTGGTAGATGAGGCGGGGTGACTATTGGCGTCAGCAGGAGCTCTGGACTGCCCTGAAGTCTACTGATGATCCGTAGATGCCCCCAATAAATAAGTACTGGTACATACCTATGTACTTCTAGCAGCTACTAGTGCTGCTCTGTACCAGGCAATGCATGCACAAATTCAATTGGATTGTGGATGTACCAGACTTAACTATTCAACCCGAACTGCCCCAGCTGCCCCTCCAAAGATAATTTAGTTCAGATGTTCCAGCTTCAAAATGGGTCTCAGGTCCAAGACAGCTTCTTTTCCTTAACTTACATCTCCTTTCATTTCATTTTTGGGGGTATTCTGTATACCTGGCCTTGCTATCGAAACATACTACCTTAATATCATCATTATCAATTAATTAAACACCTACAGGAGCTTGACTGAGCTTGAATGTAGTTATTGAATTATTTTCGTTTCTTTTCTTCTTCTTAGTCTTACTACCTAGTAACCTACCTACCTGCATGATACCTATTTACGCCGAGCACGTACTATCCTCCTTTGACATCATACCAAACTCCTAGCGCATTAAATCCGGTCGAGTATCACAAGCACCAAGCACGACGCACCTAAAGCTGAAGAGGGGGTTACTGGTACAGCTGGTACTTCGCCAAAATACCGAGCAACTTCCAAGACGGGACCAAGCAAAACGTCACCCACGTTTGCACTTTCCCGCTCTTGTCCCTTGAATTCGCCCTCCCTAATTATAATTTAATCCTTCTTAGCCTACTTACTCCGAATCTCCTCCTCTTCCACCATGGTCCGTATTATACCTCAAAGACTAAAAACCAAAACCACAAACTCTACCGCCAATTCTACCACCAATAGTCGCAGCAGCAGTCCCATGCCGCCAAAAACCGATACCAATGTCTCGGAGGGTCGAAAGGATACGGGCTTGGTCCTAAAGATAGTTGTGCTTCGAGTAAGGGCAACCAATTGCTTATGCTAGCTCTGGATACGGCCGTGAATTCTAACCTGCTAAATATAGGCGAGAAACCTAGCAGCAAAAGATCGCGGGGGCACATCCGATCCGGTTGGTTGAACCCTGACTCTTGAACTATGTTCATAGCCAAATAATACAAACGATGAACAGTCTAACATATTTCGCTTTTCTAGTATCTCCAACTAACATGCGGTGAAACCAAATTCGTCACTCATCATGTCCCGAAAACGCTGAACCCGGAATGGAACGTTGCCTGCACCGTCCCTGTCACTGGTACCGACAACTTACTTCTTGATTGTATCTGTTGGGACAAGGATAGGTTTGGTAAGGACTACCTCGGCGAGTTCGAGTTGGCTCTCGAGGAGATCTTCTCCAACGAAAAGACCGAACAGGAGCCAAAATGGTATCCCCTCAAGAGCAAGAAACGAGGAAAGAAGTCGAACAATGTGTCCGGGGAGGTTCTGCTTCAGTGCACGATATTTGATTCCACTAACAAGGATGCGACGGATCTTCAAATCTTGGAAAAGCTTCGTTCGCTTGCCACCACTCTACCCGAAACCTCATCCCGCAATCCCACTCCCAATAGGACACCGACACTTGGCCCGACCTCTACACCCAGGTTAGAATCAAACTCATCGACCCAGTCGAGCAGAACCTCCCCGGAGGGATCTCAGGATGACGAGGACGATGACGACGTTCTGGATGAGGATGAAGATGGAGATCCGAACAAACCCGAGAACATAGAGAAGAGGAAGAGGAAGCTTAGGATCAAGGGCTTGAAGCGTAAAAAGAGACAAAACCCTTACGAGTTTATCAACGGAGGCAGTGACGTAGTTGGACTTATCTTCCTCGAAATCTGCAACATTAACGATCTTCCTCCCGAATCTAACTTCACGAAAACTAGCTTCGATATGGATCCTTTCGTTGTTGCGTCCCTAGGGAAAAAGACATATCGTACCCGAGTCGTTCGTCATAATCTAAACCCGGTATTCAATGAGAAGATGCTCTTCCATGTCCTGGGTCGCGAGCGGACATATTCCTTTTCTTTCACGGTCATAGATCGCGACAAGATCTCGGGGAACGACTTCATTGCTTCTACCTCGTTCCCTGTGCAGGAATTGATCGACAGGAGTCCTAAAGCCAATCCTGAGACTGGCCTATATGATTTGAAGGAACCTGCCGAGTACGTTCGGGAAAAGAAATCACGGCTCGCAAGGTTAGGCATGTCGAGATCATCTTCTACTCAGAGTTTGTCCAAGGGCCGTCCCGTGTTGCCAAAGAACTCTAGTGCGATTTCAGCATTGTCTACGGCCGAAGGACAAGTGGATATGAAGGCTGCCCCTACGTCCGCCCCGAACTCCGCGTCACTGACGCCTGATCAAGTGGCCAGCGTGAACAATGGCAACGGAAATTCCAACGGTAACAGCAACGGCAACGGCAACAACGAGAACAATGACTATGCCGACGATCCCGATTTTAACGTGTTCACAATTCCATTGAAGATGAAGAATTTGGAAAAATGGGAAGCCAAACATAGCCCAATGTTGACTTTCCGCGCCAAATATGTTCCGTATACCGCCCTAAGGCAACAGTTCTGGCGCGCAATGTTGCGACAATATGATGCAGATGAAAGTGGCGAGATTAGCAAGGTTGAGTTAACCACTATGCTCGATACACTTGGTTCTACTCTGCATGAGTCTACCATCGATAGTTTCTTCCAAAGATTCCCGCACGAGGCGTCAAACGGCGAGCAGGAGATTACTATGGATGAAGCCGTCATCTGCCTAGAGGATCAGTTAGAAGCTAAGAACAAACCGCCTCTAGTGACCGACAGGTTGAAGAATCTAGTACCTGATACAGATAAGGTGAAGAATCTCCTAACTACGTCAAGTCAAAGCAGCAGTGTCACGCCTTCAGAGGAAGGGACCTTCATTCTTAGTTCAGAAGACTCAAGCGCTCAGGGGACCCCGTCAGCGACTCCAACTATCGCGGTCCCTGATCTTAGTACACCTGGAGAGGAAGGTGAAGCGTTGGAAAAGGACGACCTCAACACCGAACGCGGCGAGGAACATGTGGTTGAAATTCGAGAATGTCCAATCTGCCACCAGCCTCGGCTCAACAAGCGGAAAGATGCAGACATCATCACTCACATCGCTACATGTGCTAGCCAGGACTGGCGCCAGGTTAATTCACTGATGATGGGCGGGTTCGTTACAGCAAGCCAAGCGCAAAGGAAGTGGTATTCGAAAGTCATGACGAAGATCTCATACGGTGGTTATAAGCTTGGCGCCAACTCGGCCAATATCCTCGTGCAGGATCGTCTAACTGGTCAGATCAACGAAGAAAAGATGAGTGTCTATGTGCGGCTAGGAATTCGGTTGCTGTACAAGGGCTTGAAGTCGAAGGATATGGAGAACAAGCGGAGTGAGTACCAGTTTTGGCCCGCGTAACAACAGCTTTACTAACAATTCCACAGTTCGCAAGCTGCTGAAGAGTTTGAGCATCAAGCAGGGCAAGAAATACGATGACCCCGCATCGAAATCTCAGATCTTACCATTCATCGATTTCCACCAGTTGGATATGTCCGAAGTCCTTCGGCCCGTTGAGGAATTTAAGAACTTCAACGAATTCTTCTATCGTGCGCTCAAGCCGAATGCTCGGCCGTGCTCGGCCCCGGATAATCCTCACATCATCGTGTCACCCGCGGACTGTCGGTCTGTTGTCTTCAACACTATCGATTCAGCAACTAGCATTTGGATCAAAGGCCGTGAGTTTTCCGTTAAGCGGCTGCTTGGCGACGCATATCCCGAAGATGCCAAGCGTTACGACAATGGCGGACTGGGTATCTTCCGTTTAGCCCCCCAGGATTATCACCGGTTTCATATCCCCGTCGACGGTATACTACGCGAGCCAAAGCTCATTGCGGGCGAGTATTACACTGTCAACCCAATGGCTATCCGATCGGCGTTAGATGTATATGGGGAAAATGTCCGTGTCCTCTGCCCTATCGATACTGAACTATTCGGTCGGGTAATGGTGATCTGCGTTGGTGCCATGATGGTTGGTAGCACAGTAATCACTCGAAAGGAGGGAGAGCAAGTGAAACGAGCCGAGGAGCTTGGGTACTTCAAATTTGGAGGCAGCACCATCGTCACATTGTTTGAACCTGGAAAGATGGTTTTCGACGCTGACCTGGTCGACAACTCGACCAGTGCGCTGGAAACACTGGTATGTTCTTACACTCAACAAATTCAATGTCTTAAGTCTAGAAGCTCACATATCTATAGATCCGAGCGGGCATGTCGGTCGGTCATTCCCCGCAGGTGCCACAATTTGCGCCAGATATGCGCAAGGATGAGAAAGATGTCACAGAGGCGGAAAAGGCGGAAGCTCACCGTCGCATCCGTGGTGGCGTCGAGACCGCAGATGAGGGGAACCTGCACTAATGAGAAACTGGTGGCGGGGTCAAGAGATACATTCATGAATTGCATTCTAACGGCGTTGTACCATTGAAAGCGACGACTTTTCAAGGAGAATAGGATTCTTGACGAGGTGGATAGATGAGGTTTTTCAAGCATAAGACCAGGAAGTCAATTGCATCTCTATCAACACGATAGATATAGTTATCAAACTAGGGATCTAGGTGAGCAGGCGGTATTAGTGTTTTGACCTTCTTTGACATGGGAGAGGGGTTAAATAGCCTTTCCAATAAAGTGTCACGATGATCCTATATCGGACTCGTTCCCCGTCTCCTGCGTCCGTTTCGAACCTATGGCACTGCGACAATAAATGACGTACAGCTCAGTACTAACGTGCGTAAGGATCTCATCTCTCCTGGACACCGTACGATGTCTTACGGGTGTCTCTAGGACGACGGTATCGGTGTGGATATGAAGGACGTTCGTAACTACATAAGTGACCAAACCAACAGAGATGCAAGTCACACCGACACGACACTTCCAATTATATATATGCGGTCAAGAAATTGGTGTTCAATGAGAAGCTTCCACGTGAGTAGGAAATGGGGGGTCAGACGCAGGTAGGCGCAGCAAGGTGCAGAGGCGCGCAGATTGTGGGGTAGGAATTGAATTGGAACCTTCTCTTACTGGCCACCAATAGGACTGATCCTACCCTAGATCCCTGTCAATTCGGGTAGGTTAACGTTAAAGTTTTTGTTTACTTTACAACCCCGCGTAGCAACGGTCTGAACCTGGACATTTCAAAGAAAAACATTCCAGCGAAAACTGGAACGTCGCCGTAATACTAATAAATCTAACAGGGAATCAACATTCGACAAGGCACCGTCCTCTTGCTTTCATAGGCTCTCTCTTCGCGCGTAGCGAGGATTCAATTGCTTTTTGAAGCTATCGCTACGGCTGTGGAGAGGCCATCGCCGGATTCATCGGAGTGACGAAATTATACATACAGAGATACAGATACAGAATACAGTGTATACATATACACATACATATACATATCTGCAGCAACCCGCACCGCCAATGCGGACAGCATCGATACCAATTGGTAAATTCCTCATTGCTTACTGCCTTCTCGGACGATTGTGAGCGAAGCACGCCAATCTTGAATACGACTGAATCGGAAAAGGGGGGAAATAATAAGAGCAATACGAACACGACACGAAACGACACGACAAAATGGTCGACCCCGACAATCTTCGTACAGCGTCGCTGTACATCAACAACCAGTTGATGTCACGCGGCTTGCTGCGTGATGGCCACAACATCAACTTCGCGGACCCGGAATCTAGTGAGGGAGGACTGCAAGCCACCATGGGGAAGGTCATGAGCGTCATCAACGACCTCATCCTACGACGCGACGTACGTATTTTACTCTCCCCTATACAACTTCACTGGTGTCCATGGTCGGAATGTATATGTAGACACGTATAAAATACGAGATAAGAAAACAAATTTAGCTAACGTAAAATGTGCAAACCAAACAGCGCGACGCAGAAAACCGCGAGTCCCTCTCAACGACCCTGCGCACGCTGCGCGCGGACTCGCAGCGGCAGACGACGGAGCTCGCGCGGCAGGCGGACCGGATGGCGGAGCTGCAGCGCAAGCTCGACGGCGCGGAGGCGGCGGAGCGCGCGCTGCGCGCCCAGCTCAGGGCCGCGGAGCAAGCGGCGCACAAGCTGCGGGACGAGGCGGCCAAGAGCAAGACGCTGCTCGTCCAGGCTCGCGCGTCCTGCGCGACGGAGGTGCGCAAGCGCGACCGCCAGATCGACGGCCTGAAGAAGGCGGTCGCCGACGCGAGCCGCGTGCGTGGTGGTAGCAGGAGCCGCGACGTGCTGAGCATCAGCGTCACGGGCGAGGTCGGCGGCGAGGAGAAGGGCGGCGGGTTGCCCGCGGGCGCGACCGAGGCCGAGGGGTACAGTCTGCGGTTGGAGACGAATTCGTTCCTGACGGAGTTGGCGAGGGGGCTGAGCGAGGAGAACGAGGGCTTGCTGGCGCTGGTCCGGAGGACGGTCGACGGGCTCAGGGATATGAGCGGCCTTGAGCGTGCGGCGAATGGCGCGGAGGCGGGCTCCGGACGCAAGTCGGATGTTGGCGGTGCGGATGTGCTGGTCCTGGCGCCGCAGAAGAGCGCGGAGGAGCTGGCGAGCGAGTTGGAGGGGATCTTGGACCATCTTAGGACGATACTTACGAACCCCTCCTTCGTGCCCATCGAGGAGGTCGAGGTCCGCGAGGAGGCCATCACCCGCTTGCGCGCTGGCCTCGAGACCATGGAGTCCAGGTGGAAGGACGCCGTGCACATGATTGACGGCTGGCGCAAGCGCATGGTTTCGAGCGGCAAGACGGTCGATATCGAGGATCTCCGCATGGGCCTTAGGCTCAGCCCTGTTAGGGTCAGGGATGTTGAGGAGACGGTCAATGTTGTGCCGCTGCAGATGAGGCTTTCGTGCGTTCACGAGGAAGAGGAGGAAGAAAGCGGGTATAAGGGCGAATATGATCACTACGAAAACGGAAACACGCAAAATAGCCCGAGGGGACTGAGCCTCATTAAAGAGGAGAGGGAAGAGTCCCCGCGACAACACAGGTCTCCGAGCCCAGCCGAGTCATTACATTTAGTCCCCGCGCCGGGCTATGAGAACGAAGAAAACGATGATTTGGATTCGGAATCCAGCATCTTCCAGGACGAGGACGATATCGATATAAATGAATTGGAGCAAGAGGAGCCGAACGTCCAAGTCCTTCAGGAATCTACATATGGAGCATCGTTGGATTCACCTCCGCTCCCGATCCCACCGCAATTAAGCCCGCTCAAGGACTCGTACTCGTCGGGGAATAAGGGACCTACCATGCGCGAGCCCGCGCTCCGTAAGCGGCCGGGAGACTTCACGACTATTATCGAAGAGAACACTTGGGATCTAATAGTAGAAGAAGAAGAGGAGAAGGGACCTGTTCCGCCGCCTCACGTTATCAAGCCTCAGTCTCCCCAGCAGAAGAAGGGGACCTCGGCGGGCAAACGCTCTCCGCCGTGGCAGGACACCCGCCCGGGCTCGACTTCCTCGTACGATAGCCCGCTGTTCGGGAAATCGGGTGAAAGGCCCTCGCAGACGGATCCTTCTCGTAAGCTATTCTCGAAGCCTACGGTGAACCTGGTGCAGCAAATACAATCAAAGTCTCAGCCGGAGCCCGGAAGTAGTACGAATGGACAGGGCTCTGCTAAGTCGTCGTCGAGGAGACCGAATTCGTCGAGAGACTCGCCGGACCCATTGACGGCCGAGATTAAGAGAACGTCGTCGGATCCGACAAGTCCTGCCGCGCGACAGGAACCCTCGTCTTCTTCCTCCCGCAAACCTGCTACTACCACTGCTCCCCAATCACCGAGGCCTACGTCCTCATCTTCTTTGAAGTCTATGAAGTCTGCAGCCAATAGTGTAAAGGAGCCGTCGATACCCCGGCCGCGCTCGCCTCTCCGGACTAACCTGCCCGTGAACTCCCGTCTACCACGACCCAATAGCAGCGCCAACCCGCCGCAGAGCCCCTTGACCATGGCCACTATCGCCGCAAAACTGGCCGCTTCTGAACGCGAGGCTGATGCCGCTCGCGTAAGAGCTAAGCTAAGAGCCGTACGGAGCGGTGGGACGAGGCGCAACGGCGGGCTTCTTCCGCCTGCCATCATAACCTCGAACAATGGCAATAGTTCGCCTCCCGAGAAAGAGAGGACAGAAAAAGGGGGGCTAGCAAGCCCAAAGCCAAGGATCAAGGAGGAAGATAGGGAAAAGGAGTCCACGGACCCCGTGAAACGTGACAGGGAACCGCCTACACCGAAATCTGCCCGGAACCAAGATCGGGCGAACCAACAAAAAGCCGAAGACGATAACATCGACGAGCTCGCGGGGTCTCTAGGTGCTAGAGAACAAGAGCAGCAAGACGTCGAATTAGGCATGAAAGTGACCAAGCGCAGACGCGACCGCGGCGAACGCCGCACGAGCAAGGTCGCCTCGCGCAGGAGAAGCACGCTGAGTCCTTGGGAACTCGAGACGTTGATCCAAGGAACGACGAACTGAAACCCGCAGCACGAAAAGAAAAGCTGCCTAGATTAGATTCGGATTACTCTACTCACTGACTGACTCATTTACATTCTCAACTATACGTTACTTAACCTACCTTACGAACCTTACTATACTACTTATCTTTTGACGGCCGCGAAGGGGGGAAATCGGGGAGAGGAAAGGGGTTAGGACGATGGGATGAAAGGAGGGCGGGATATTTAAACGTTGGGAGAAATGACGATAACGGAATGACACGAAACGTATTTTTTTGGAATGCCTTTTCCCTTCCCCGGGAGGCATATTGTTTACCCAAAAAGAGAAACAAGGAGGCAAATCCCTAAGAGAAGCTCGAAAAGCTGCAAGGCGACGGCGACGAACGATGACGGCGCCGGGAGTTTAATGAGGAATTCGGTGGTCCTTTTTTTTTTTTTTTCTTTTGTCTCTAGCTACCCAGGCATGGATGGAGTAGTGGATTGCTTTTTAAGTTACGATACGTTATGACATGAAAAAGAACTACCTTACCTTACCTTACCTACTCTTCTACACTTTCTACACCTTTTGTATAGCTTAGTTTAGTCCTGTTCAGTTCTATTTTCCTTCCCCAGGGAGGGACGGGATTAGGATTAGGCGAACTACGGCACCACGGCACGTCAGGCACCATACACCAAGCAGAGCAGCAATGCTGGCTGGTGGATCTATTTACTTTGTTCTATACCATTTACGCAATGAAGATCTCTCGTTCACATTTAAGAAAAGTCAGAATAGAATCATGAATTATGAATTATGTATTATGGCAGGTGTTAACTACCGCGATCATGCTTTGCTAGATCTATGTTTCCGACCTCCAGGGATCGTTGGTAGAGACAAGCGCAAACCTTGACATCCTGCTGCTATGCTCGTCGTGGGAAGTACCAGTTGTCCGCCTATGAACCGGAACTCCTTGCACATAAACTCTAAAGAATCCGAGGGAAGTGAGCATCTCAAGTGGGACGGTGAAGTAGACCAACCTAGCCTTGTGCCAGCGACGAGAAGAAATGGAATTTCCGCAATGTCGTCCATTTTATCCGAGTACGTGGACATACAGGAATCAAAAAGGCCATATCCACTGAACGAATATTAGAAAACGGATGGGTCGAAGTATGGGAGAGCGGTAGTATTTCGGCACTGGTCTGGGTGGTATGCGGGTATGTGAGGCGGTAGACCGGTGATGATCTGTGCCCCAAATTTGCGAGAAGCCCAGACACTAAGGTCTACCTTAGGCAGTGCCGGCCGACAGTAGATCGTCTTGACACCTCTCTGGATGAGCTTCGCTAGTAAGGTGTCAGGGAACGGCTCATTGGACACGTCCACAGTGGATAAGTTGGGGAAACGGCTAGCTATTTCGAGCACAACATCCTCCAGTAATCTGTGTTCATGAAGACCATCTCGCGCGAATCCCGTCAAGCTGAAATAGGTGACACTGTCGCTTCTAAGCCAAGTAGGGATTGTAGGAACTCGTGAGTTTCCAAAGAAGTCCGAGGCAGGCAACGGGTCGAAATGTACTTCTCGTAAAGTACCGGATTCCAGGCCACCCCTAACAAAAAACTCGAACATGCATCCACTAGGCGGTTTTGAGGAATTCAGTACTGACAGTTTCTCCATATTTTGAAAATAAGGGCGAGAATCCTGGGGAAGAGTACCGTCTAAAAGTAGGCCAAGAATTCTTATCCCAGGGGGCATTTCCAGATGGAACTCGCGCAATTGCTCGTGAACATGTGCGAATGGATTAGGACCGCCAAATTGCATGCGTATCCTTACGGATATGCTTTGTAGTCTTCGCCAGCCACACATCATCGGCATGAGGTCCCAAGTAAAAGGATCGATCCAGGCTTCTTCTAGATTAGGAGCCAATTCAATAAGGCGGCTCTGTATATAGTTAGGATTATAAATATCAGCAGGGTGATTGTGCAAACTTACGATATTAGTCGGTGACAAAGCATCAATTACATTTGAACCCAAAAGACGAATAACCTTTAACTTTTCTAGCTTTGGCCAGTCACGGAGCCAATGTTCATGTTCGTTCTTTGGAAATCTAAAGACAGAGAGCTCTTCTAGGGAAGCAGAAGAAGACTCGAGCAATTGCCGTAAAAGCCTATGTGAGGGTTGTACTCCGTGACCTAAATAGACACTTTTAAGTTTAGGCTTTTTTGTCGTCTCCGGCAACGCTCCTAAATCAAGAACTGCATGTGGTTCTCTTAGCTTCAGAACCTTGAGGTCCTGGAAGAAGCGGAAGAGCCGCTCAAGTTTACCGATTTTTAAGAACTGGGCGCAACCATCAACGGACAGCTCTGTAATACTTCGACCCGCATAATTCCAGTTGGATGCGAAACTTGCGAAGATTCTTGGCGAAGATGGTTGTCTGAGCCGGGTGAATGTGTACTCCTGGACCTTCCACAGGTCGCTAAGGGATTTTGTAGTCAAGACAGTCTTCCAAGTCTTAGAGACACATAAGCAGCGACTAGTTCACGGGTTAATAAACAATATGTGTTGATTTATTATACGAGAACAACTTACCATTGTGTCCTAGTGTTTAGAAACCTGAATATTATCCCCACAAGCTCGATGGGAAGTTCGGTCATAGGATCGAATGAAGCTAAGGGGAGCACCTTGTCCTTCTGGGCGTGCAGCTTCTACGCGCAATAATTAGCTGAGGTTGGTGGAATTCGATATACACACTTACGGATAAGAGAGGATGGTTTGGGTTCTTTCGCTTGACGAGCTCTATGCCTTGCTTATAATTGTGATAAGCAGTAGTCTGCTGGTTCTTCAGTCTAAGAACCTTTCCCAAGCGCAGATAGCTCTAGATATAGAGGTCAGTATCAAAATCCATTAATCTGGAGGGGAATAAGATAATCAAACCTTTGGCTCTCTTGGGGAAAGATTGACCATCTTCAAGGAGAACTCGAGCGCTTCATCAAGCCTAGCCTGCGCCTCATAAGTAGCAATAATGGAGTCGAGCATATCTAGATGGAGTCGGCTATTGCATCGTTGGGAGGCTGACAGCTTTGTCAGAGCCCCTTTCAGGTCCTTCTTCTTAATTCCTAACAAGATATCATTGTCAATACGCGGCTGATTCTGGACGGAAACGCCACAGTTGCACATATCCATAGCCTAGAAAGGTAAGCACGTGTCAAGTAGAGGGTAATCAATGAGTAGTTTACCTTTAGGAAAGCCTTCTCAGCAAGATCGTACTGCTGGGCCTTGTAAAACTTCTGGCCTTTTTGAAATAAGGCAGCAGCCCTATCCGCACCTCGGTTCGTAACAGCAGCCATCGTTACAGATTATCACCAAAATGATCGCGGTTCATGTGAAATAAGTGAGACGGCATATGACGTTACAGGGTTGCCGCTGATGAATTGATAGTGTTAATCATGTAGTAAAGCACGAATAGTCGAATTTACTCCTCAAGGAACGACATCTTGTAGCGTTGGCAAAATTCGAGTATTAAGGTGGTGTTGGCGTTGCATGGAAGTTGAGGAAGTAGAAAATCAATATTGAATCAACGCGGTTGCAAAACAGTTAGACGCGTAAAGTGCAACGGTAGGGCAGTGATTTAGTTGATTAAGGTTTGGCGGGGTAGCGGGGTTGCCTACTTGCATATTCAGGTACATACATGTACCTAATGCATTGTTTGGTTCATCTAGCAGGTACTACAGATGGATAGGTACTTTCAGATAATACCTACCTAAGTAACGGAAAGAATAGACCTGGATATACGAGTTGACTGATTATTTCTATGTATGTACATGAAATTATTGCATGATTTCCTCAGACTACATAATATCCAATTTCCAAGTTTCAAGTTGGAAGCTATCATACTTGCAAGTTTTCAAGTACTTATATCGTTTATCTTGTAGTATCAGTACAATTGCCATGTCTTGAATGGATCTTCCGGGACAGATACTTTAGGATAGATGTCTAGTTGCTAGATAAATTGAAAGGTCTAATCAGGTTATTATCATACCCTTCTATGTATAGGTATACCAAAGGAACTTTTTCACCATATCAAGTGCAACCTATAAAAAGTAAATTACATAGTAAGTGCTATGGGTGTAGAATTTTCAAAGGGAAAGTGGTACCATACCACGTCCTTGAAATAACAATTCATTCATGCTATTCCTGTTCAATTAAAGGCGTGCCATAGTACCGACCTACTATAGTAGTCAACGTATGAATATATCGTAACCCCCTAGGTAGCACACTTACCTAGTGTCTAACCCTTAGAGGAACATTGACGATAGAAAAGGAGTGCCTAAGCTGAGTCCATGCCATGTCTATATACGGTAAGTACCACAAACACCCCCGGCCGAAAGATCCGTTGTGACACGAACAATGCGGGGGCGGAATGCGGAACTTAAAGTCATGATCTATCTAGCCGTACCAGGCCAGGCCGTACCTACCATACTAGTGTTTGAAAGAGCCCAAACGAGATTAGGTAGGCAGATTAGATTTCCGAGGTCCCAAAGTTCCAAGGTTCCAAGGTTCCAAGGTTCCATGCTTGTGGCACGACGCCGCCAAGTCCTCCAATTTGGTTCCCCTCTCACTTCAACCCTGTTTTTATTATTTCATTATCTGACATTTCAGATATTTTAGAAATTGATCCGTTGGTACTACGCGGCACAATGTAATGACTTACATTATCCTACGGCCCCGGACGGGAACTCCCTTCTTTTCTTCGCCGCGGCGGATATATATACCTGATTATACCTGGTAGTGTTATCACAGGAGGAGGCGCTGTTATACCGAAGGAGCCGTAGAGCAAACTGCCACCACGGGGCTCAGGATGGCCATCCCTACATCTCTTTTTTATCTCTCTTCCTCTCCCGCTTTAGTGTCTTCCTGGCACCTATCCCTATCGAATTCGCCCAACGAAGAGGCGCAGAACCCCGTATTCTTGATCATCTCACCCCGGGCCTAGTTCCGGGGTGGCACGGGTGGGAAAGGCAGGCGGAGAAATAATAGATATCAATCTATCCCAAACCCGGTCCTCCCTTCCTCTATCCCCCACCTTTTTGCTTGTCTCTTCTCCGTACCCCGTAGATAATTTTTATCTCCTTCGTACGACTTCAGAGTCCCCGCTTTCTTATTTTTATATACCCGATAGACCATCCCCATCCTGCCCCGTCGCTAATCTTGCTATGTTGCGCAGCTCACGTTGCGAGCTCTCCCTCTTTCAGCCCAGCATCGGCCAGGCCAGACGACGTAATAAGGCATACACCGTACAGCAAGGGCAGTGAAGGACGGCGACGATGATATGACTTTAGGTCACCGCGGGCCGACGTGGTCTATTTCCAGCATCCTCGCTCTGCGTTGTCCTTCTGTCGTGAGGGGTTATAGCTTACTCTGCTTCCACCCCCCTTACCCCCATCAGCAATCGTAATGACGAAGAGCGCTGCCCCTTGCAGGATCGTTAAGCCTCTGAGTGTGTACCCGCATTCGGTACGGGGATCCTTCACGGAGAACCTGAGCTGTCTTGGATCTAACAGTGACGATCCAGTAAGACCTACTTACGTGATCTGGCCGGATTGACGTTGGATGGCCATGGGTCCATCATAAACTAGAGGGGTAACGGACAGGTAGATAATGGGGATTTCATGTTACAGGTGTTATGGATGTAATCATGCAGTTGAAAATATTTGGATCCTTAGTAATTTCCTACGCTTATCTGCCTGTAGCACTTGTAGACATGGGCCGACAATTTCCAAACCCGCTTCTCGGTTCACAGAATGTTAGATAGGTAGGTTTTTCAGCTGAGAGCCGAGAAAACTTGGAGCTTCGCCTTGCATGTTAAGCGATGGGAGCCACATATTGTGCTCCCAGGGCCCGCGTCTACAGCGTCAGAGGCGCCTAATGACAGCCCCCAAAAGCCACGTGGAACAGCTGCGGTAGAACCGGACACTGCCAGATGCCACACCACCAACTAAGACACGCAGGACACAGTAAGTCTTGCCGTTGCAGGAAATGAGTCGCACGACGATGATTGGTAGTGATTGGTAGTGATTGATGCTGGTGGATGGCTCGGCTCTCGGACCGGTCGGCATCCATCTATCATTTCCTGGTGCATCGCTGCTACATCGTACATCGTGCATCGTACTTAATCCAATTTATGTAAGGCCCTACCGGTGGTGCGTGTGTGGGTTACGTATGCAGTCATTCATACATATCCATTCCTATATCGACCTATTAAGATTTACGGGTGAGTAGTAGCAAGTAGATCGGAGGAGTTGGGTCTGTTGGAATTGCATGTCTTGGATGTCTTGGATTCGTAAGGGCTATCCCTTGGGAGAAAGTCAACCTTACGAACCCAAGTTGTCCAAAAATGGAAAAGGCGTGGAAAAGAGTAGCAGGGGAATCGGCTGTTTTCTAGAAAAGAACGGGAAGTTACTAAACTACATCCGTCATACCTACCTGTATGTAAGCTGGAGGTAACTAAGGTAACTACTACCTAGGTAAAGGTACCTCACCTTACGTGTTATTTTTAGCTACCATCCATGTACCCAAAGCCTAAAAACATAATAGGTAACCAATCATCGTCCGCAACTCTTCACCAGTCCGGCATCACCATTCTATCGGCCCGTGAGCCCCACCAAAGCTGATAGCGGGGCTTTTTATTTTTTCTATTGTTATGATTTTTTGTTGTTTCTCACGAAAAGGCTGGGGGGTGTGGACCTTTTTCAGAATAGTTCCAATGTTGTCTTAGGTACATGAGATGTGTGGATGGGATCAGTGTACATGACGTTATTCGACATTCAACCAACCCATCTGCCTATATACCTATCTATAGGTAGGGCTGGTAGGGGTTTGAGCGTTGCAACTCGTAATGGGCACCACAAGGTATCAGTTTGGAGTCCGTGATGCGTCACGCACCCACCCGATTTCATCGAGGGATACCCACTAGATTTCCATCTTCGGCCGGCATGTCGATGGGGTTACAAGCGCGCTCTGTTCCTGTTTCCTGGGTCCAACTCGGACCTGTCGTTCGACCAAAATACGCGAGGTGACTGGTTCGGCAGTGTGGTGTGGTAGTGCTCACGCAGGCACGTTTAACTTGTCTTACTAGTGCCGGGGGCTACGCTTAACCTATCAGCGGAGCAAGATGCTGATTCGTCCTGCATCCGTACATGCACGTTCACGGTCCCCCTAGGTTCGATAGGGTAATTGCGTATGTGCACGCTCCAAGGGGGAGGTTGGGTACCCACGATCCGGATGGGTGGCCTCACCACCTGCGAGGCTGGCAAGGCTACAATCCACTGTGGCGTCTTGGGGGCCATTTTGCAACTACGTTTCAGTATACCAAGATTAATAAAAGTTTCTATCACACTCTCGTTTCACGTATTGTCCACTGGTTGGACCGGAGGGTCGGCATGATTCATTCTAGGCATACTTGGTCTCTTCGGGATTGTGTAGGAGTGCGGAAGTTATCGAATGAGTAATTGTATTGCGCAAATATAGAGTCCTACGCTGCGATGGAAATTATCTTATAAATATATTCTGTGATTATTGACGCATGTCGGATTTATAGTAGTAATCCCAAAACCTTAGGTTGCCACTAATGGTGAGCAAGTGCTTAGAAATCAGAAGTTGATTATTCATCTAGGTGTAATTGTCATAACATGCACACACGATATTCCCCGTAGTTGGGGCCGAATTCTAGAAGGTGGGTAATTCTCAGCTAATCAATGTCAATTGCTTTCTATCGAGTGTCCATTGCGTGATCAATGTGTATCTTCCCCAGACTTTGCAGGGCATCCTCCGCTCTATGCTCGCTGGGAGTTCTAATCTAGATAGTGTTTTTTTAAGTGCACCTTCGTGACCAGACGAAGAGCAAAAGGCTGCTTCCTGTTGGTGTTGTAGGAGTGGACGATGAGGATCAGGTCGACCATCGGGCTGTGCCAGGCAGACCACGGAGTCCGACCAAATCCTACCAACTAGGGTAAATCCAGTTTACCTGTCCCTCCAACAGCCCAAAACCTAGCTCAGCTAGTTGCAGCTCTTTAAGAAAGGAAACAGGTTAGAAATACATGATCCGACTGCTGCCCGAGCGTCATTACATTGTCGTTGTTGTTACACCTGACCTGCAGGAACGTGTGAAACCTAGAACAGTGAGATAGGAGAAGAGTGCAGCCCCAAAGAAAACGAACCAGAAGGAAATGATGCGCAACTCAAGAAAGCAAGGAAATGGAAGTTGGAGTTTGAGTACCGAGATCACATAATCCCCTCCAGAGAAAATCAGCACTCAAATCCCCTTCCCTCCCTCCAAAATTAGATGATCCCTCCTAGAAAAAAAAACGCCTGGTATATTCCCGAACGTCCGTAGATGCGTAACCCAAAACCATGGAATGAGAGAAAACAGAAGCTGTTCGAGCCGGCCTTTTTGATCCAGTTACTTCCGCGTCACTTAACGTTTCTCGTGAGATGTTGATTCGATCCATGCCGTACCGTGACGTTAAGATAACATGAGTCGGAAACCACATTAACCTCATCTGTTTTGTGTATCCTCCGATTCCCAATGCAAGAATTGTTCCCTCGCCGACGCTATGCTAAATCAATGTACAAGAGAGAGAAAAATGGAAAGTTGAGAAGCGTTGAAGGAGAGCAGTGGCGTCCAGCCCGTGAAGTTCGAAAAGCCGTGGTTTGTTTTTCTCCATGGTATGCTAGGAAACATCAGATAAGTGCAACTGCCGAGTATGGGGGTAACCGGAAAACGGAGCTCCGTCGCCGTTTGACGGCATTAAAGATGACATGTCATATCCTGTTCCGTCTGAGTCTTCGATAACTTGATGTGTGACATAATGGCATCCATAAAAATCGCTCAGTGCCGAATCGAACGACAAGCCGCCAAGAGACCCAATGGCTTCATTATAGGGCGGGGGGAGCCGACGTTGACATTATGCGGTCGTGGCCTACGAACAGCAACGATAGCTGAGAGGGCCGACGGGACGGCGACCACCTTTTCGGTTTAGGTCTGAAAGAGTACAGGTATGAAACCCAGTCCTCGAATTCGAACTTCAATAGCGGCGGAGAATGCCACGCACAGCAGCCCATTACCGAAGACAACACTTTTCATCGACGGTGACTGTAGGAGCCATCTCGGGACTGGTTGCTATAGTACCCCGAGTCGGAATATGACTGGCCTCCGGCATATGAGCCGTAGCTGCTCGCTTGTGCGTGCTTCTGGCAAGCATATCCCACCAGGATCGTTCGGGTCGTGATGTGATGCCCCGACTGACCGTATGCTGGGCAACGGTCGACGGCATGCTGGTAGTAGAGGCAGTGGCAAGCCGAGTATCGTTCGATTAGTTGATAGCACATTTTGAAGGTTTAATGTCTCGGGATGGTAGGGATGTAAGTCAATGGCTTCAGGACGAGGGCAGGGGACAGTAATTGTATGCCTAGATTGGCAAGGTATGCGTGGGATCGTGCAGGTATGCGGTCTCGTGTGTGATGGTCGTGATCCAGTGTGATCCGGAGTGAACGGTATGAATGTTCAAGGTGTGAAGATGTGAAGCAATGGAAGAAGTCAAGACGGATTGGGAATCAGTGGCAAAACGAAATCTTATAAAATAAAAAGGCCGACCTAGAGAACACGAAAGGAAAGGACCGGGAAGTGAATGTGTTCAGGTGACTGATGAGTCGACAGGAGTCCTGCTGCGACTTAGGGCGAGAAGAGGCATCGTAGCCTTATAGGGTTTTTGCAGCCTGGCCAGGTTGCGCGTGCCTCTCATTGAGGGACAGGGAAGGGACAAGGAAAGTCACCAAGTGACGACAGAAGCTTACTCGAATACCGGCTTGACTAAGTCCGTATCTTGCATGCAACTTACATGCAGGTCAACGGGACGTAGTCTGAAAAAGAGATCCATGATGGGTACATGGGAAAAAGGCGGCGCAGGGGGTGGTGAAGGGGGGGCGGCAGCTGCCTTGCCATGATGAGTAAATGCGCAGCCAGCATGTTTAGGTATACGGGATGTAGTCTATGGATGAGAGGGCGAGGGTGCGGGCGAGGGTTGGAAAGGTGAAGAAGGTATCCGTATTGGAATAGAATAGGAAATAAGAAATAAGAATAGGTAGAAAGAGGTATAGGTATGGCGGAAGAGACCCGCCGGCCACACTAGCGCAGGCGGGCGATGGAGAGTACCTGGTCTGCATCCTCTACCTCTGCTTCGTTTTTCAGGCAGTCAGGTGAAGAAGTGACGGAAAGTGGAGTTAGTTTGACTGCATCTCTGCTAGTGTCTAAGCCGGGGTGGACATCGGATTGGTAGCAGAAGAAGTAATTATGGTAGCAATGGTAGTATGTATAGTATGTATAACATGTGTAATATGTGTACATGAACGTCGTTGGGAATCTCTGCAGTCATGGTTGTGATCGTAAATAGTTGTATGTAAATGGCCATTGTCGTCGTCGTGTATGGTGGTGGGTTGGTTTGTTTGTTTGTGTTTCTGTGCTACAACAGAATAGAAAATAGATCGAATTATTTTTTTCCCCTTCGTCATTCGGATTCGGATCAAATTATCGACCACTCTTCTTCTCGATTGGAAATGGGAATTCGGCCATGGACCGACCTACCAAACTTCGTAGGTTCCCTGCAGGGCTGATCCATTTAGAAGTATGTACGTACTTTGTACCCTAGCTGCAGATTGCTCCCTGCCTGGCAGGCAAGGATGGATACCCCCAAGACCTCGTACCGTTCAGGTTGCAGCGAAGCTGACAGGCCATGTATCCGAGAGTACCTGACAGAACTCATGTTTCTATACATACCGTCAGGAAAAGGCAGTGTTGCTACACAGATCTCGAGAGGCCGTAGTATACTACTCCAATGATATCAGAACCTGACACTCCGGGAACCTTGGATATCGTTTTTTATAACTTGCGGCATGTGAACCCTTAATTTTGCTCAGGTAGGTATCGCCGTGTTGCAACCTGTTAGCAAGATGCTTGGCAAAGGTAGCGATAAACCCCGTAGACGCCCTACCGTCCGGCTAACAATCCGGCACTCATACTACTGCGCCTTTTCACAGCAACCGGCAATCACGGATTCAAAGATGGGACTGTATTGCTCATACCTGCTATGTAGGTAATGACGAGTATTTCAAGATGTTTCAAAAATTTGGGGGTCGATCCCGGGGCTTCCTAGGCTTTCTGTGTGCGTTGTTAGCAGTCAATGGCCAGTGCAGTGCTTACATGGGTAGGTGTTGTTTGTTAGAAACAACGGTGATTATTTTCTTATTCCATGTGCTTACGACTGTCCAGCGTTTACAATAGACGGTCTGTTTAGTATGACATTTCCAAATGTTGAGTTGTTTTCTTCTTAAAAAAACGATGTAATAAGTATTGATAAATTAAGGACTATCACTGCTATTTACTTCTTACGTTGTTTTAAAGTCCTTAAAATGATTTAGAGTTAAGAATTGAGTTTGAGCTTCTATTTTAGGGCCCATGGATGTAAGGTTTGAACTTTCGCGGCCCGAACCTAGAGTCACGCTTTTGATAATTGTCAAATATTTTCTTATTTGATATGCACTGATGTCAAATCATGTACGAAGAGGAATTCGCTTGTTCTTTAGAGATGATGGATTTCAAATACTTGAGAATAAGCCGAACTTCGACTCGAAATTGCGAGAACTTGCCTCCTACCCCCGACCCTTCCCGGGAGCATCGGCGTAGACAGTGATAGGTGTGGTCCGGCTTTGATGGAAGCGCGAGCTATAGTTTAGTCAGTGTCCTGATTAAAAACCAAGGCATGACCTCACTTACCGTTGTATTGACGACACCGCTATCGACCTGTCGGGTGGCTTGGGTCGGCTTTTAGGATCGAAATTGCATGGGTTCCATGGGATAGGTAAACGGATTTAATCATCGCCGCATGGTGTTAACAGCCGGTCCGGCCTACCCTTCCGCCATTCTCTCTATTGCCGATTTACTCAACCAAGGGTGGTCAGCAGAACATTTCAATCTACAATGTCATAGTGTAGTATTTCATCATCATCATCATCATTATTATGACTATTTTACTAACATACAACATCTAGAGTAAAGTGCTTAGAAGGAGTTCGTTAAAGACACTTAGCGCCAATTTGCTGGACAAGAAGCATGGCCAAACGTATGATATTGAACTATTAGACGGCTCCGCGTAACTTCCCGCCGGCCGATTTGTGCCTATCAAGCTATCAAGCGCTATTGTAGGACAGTAGAGGAAGGCGTACCTTGCATAGGTCAATTCCCTATTACAAGCAGCTTCTCCTATTCTATTCGTCTCTGGCACCGCTCCTATGCAGCGTAACCCAGTAGATAGTCCGGGGCTGCACGCGACAGTCGCATCTCACTGTAAGTACCCCAAAGTATGTATGGTGTGCGTGGTTATGTGTGACGATTGGTTATCGTACGGCTTGCACTTCTGCTAGCCCATGCATGTCTTGTAAGGTACTAACTTACCTTATACCCACGTGCATACAGAAGTATATAGAATACATTAAGAAACCGGAGCCGGATGCGGAATCGCGGTTCACATCACTAATCACTACCTTTCCCTAGTAGGCACCTATTCTGCTATCGTGGGTGAGGTCGCCAGGATGATGACGGAATTACCCTACCCGGAGCCTTGGAGACGGCGCGGTGGTCCTGACAGATTGACAGATACCCGGCTTGACACACCCATGCAAATTGGTGAGATCGAAGCACATGATAATATCCGTGGATAACCTACCCAGTAAGAATGAATTGAATTATACATCCGCTACGGCCAACAATAAGGACACATTCGGCCTGGGCGCCACAGCGAAGCATGACAACTTCAATAATTCACATATTCTAAAAGATACAACTAGTTACAATGGACAAAAGGAACTCTTCGAGTCATTCATACCGAAATATGAGTAATGTCTATGCTATAGCGACGAATTACTTCATCCGTGAATCTGTTGGATAACAATCGCATTAATACGCTGTTAAAGGGGGCGCAGCGGTTCAACTGCATACATCTCTACGTAAATTCGTAAGGCCACCCAATAGGACTTAATCAATTCTGAAATCATCATGAGTTTTTGCTTCATTCCTTTATTACCATGCAGACTAAAAGAAAAGTTGCATTAAAAAATGCATGCTGCAGATCTCCTTGCAGAGGTAATTCTGCCCTGAAACAGAGGGAACATTAGATGGATGTCAGCGAGTCCCGAATCTCGATACTTCCCGAGGTCCTGATCGACGTGGCTGCAACCTTTCCACCGTACTGGGTCAACAGGGAGACCTACCAGGGCCTTTCCACTAGCCGCGAAGGCCTAGGGCTACCTGACACCCCTTAGATACACGCCTACACGCCTACCTGGTAGGCTGCTACCTACCTAGGTACCTACCACAGGTGGCTGGTCTCCAGCTCTCCCTCTATGTAGGACCGTTAGGACTAAAATGGATCTCCTACGCCTACCTAGGTGTAGAAGGGCACTAAAAATCATCCACAGCTCTCCTCACCGAGTTTGCTTGGGTGGGTGAACCTTTGGACACTACTAAATATACCTAAAAGCCCTTAAAGCATTAGTTCCAAGCTTGGCACAGATGATCCTTGAAGCAATTCCCAAGGCGGCGCAAGGCATTTGTCAAGGTGAGTGTTACGAGACGTCGGCGTGACTATGTGACTCAGGTTATTATCCTTTGATAATTATTAATTCATCGTCGATATCTCCCTGCTCTTAGGTCCTAAGACTACTTAGAGGATTGGCAAACGACGCACAACACATCCGCTCGTGTGCAATTAGGTAACAAGATCTCAACGGGGGGCACTTCTAAGTGCTTGCCAACCGATTTGTCTCAGATCGTCGTTGAATATCCCGTAGAGCGTCAGTGATCAATCGCCTATCTCAATCCTTCGAGGTCAAGGCCGATTGTAGCTGTCAGCCTGTTCCTGAGCAGTCAGCCTTGCGGACGGGTCAAATGCGTCAAAATGGGTCGAACGGGGCCGAGTCATAAATGAGGCATGGCCATACTCCGTACGTCCCACGATTTTGTGGGGGATTCTCGCTGTCGTTTCGCACGTCGCCCAATCGCCTCTTCTCCGTGTCTTGTTTACATACTTCGGTGGATTCATTCTTACTTTTCTTTTCTCGTCTTTCCCGGCTTTTTCTTACCCATGTCCGTGACAGAAAAGACATCGCTGCGGTACCTGCTACCGGGTAGGTAATGTAGGTTTAGTATCGCGGTGAGTCTTCCTCGTCTTCTGCAAGTGTGGCATCGCCTGACTCTAACGTTCGTGGCTGCGCCCCTGGAAAGTGGCTGTCTGATAGGCCAAAAACGCCGCCCGATTCTCATTAGCGGGTTTTTGTCGACGACCTGAGGAATCAAGTGATGAAATGCTAACCGGGATAAGACGGGCGCCCTTGCGGAAAGTTCCCCATTACAACTACATGCTGCTTCAGACCAAGATAAACCCAGCAAATCCTCCATCATCGCTCCACCGGTTCGACGGCATCGCCGGCGGAGTCATTAACAAATAACTGATTACCCTATCTACCTATCTACTTATCCTACTGACACGGCAAGCTCGGGAGCTTCACTAACATTTCGAGAACAACTCGCAGACTAAACCCCCCAACGTTCAGGCAGCAATATGCATAACCAGCATCACTCTCACTTGGAATCGTGAAGTCGGTCATTACCTAACATCTACACATAACATCTACATCATAGCTTACCTTGTCCGGCTACATTACGTACACCTCAATCTTACACGTGTATTTGTGCGGGAATCTGATGTCCCACCCCCGAATGCCAGGGCGTTTTGACCGGGGCATGATTACATGATGCACGCCGTTCTCATTAGGGATAGCGGCCGAGAATAACAGCGGGTTCGTTCTTAGATCGACTCTTCGCTGCGAGGCTACATATCAGCACCACGACCATCTAAGAATGTCTAAGAGTTGTTTTAACCGTGTCTTCGATCAATGTTGCTATATCTAGTTAGATTGTCAATTCCTACGGGCTCTAGTATCGCGGGGCTCTGCCAGGCCACGGTGGGATTCCAAATCGCGTCAGCCTCAGCGGCTTCGACCGGTTGATCAGTGCGGTGCTATACTAAATCGATCAATTTATCGATTGATCATATCGTCATGTCAGATTCTATACCCCAAGGAAGCTATATCGATAATATGATGTCCCGGAAGTTAGCGACGTTGGCGTCCGGGGTAGAGTCGCCAGCGCCACAAACTCTTCCATGTTCTTCCCATGTCCTTCTCACCGTAATCTTACTTACCTATACTCGCCTGGGTAACTAGTGCTCGACACCGCTCTGATATAGAAATTCGACGAGGCTCACCGTTGTTCTTTTCAGGGGTTCATCAGCTGGGCTGGGGCTTGGTGATTTACTGACTCCACTGTATCTGATCGAAGTTCTTGGGTCTGACATCCCAAGGTTTGGAATCGACTGGTCTCGATCGTCATAATTGACCTGTTTCATGTAGTCCTACGGCTATTCAGTAACGGGCGGCCTGAGAAACAGTAGCCGCAAAGTGGGATAAATCGATATCTGGCCAATGCCATCCATGTTTCTTTCATGTTTCTTCGAGAACTAGTACATGCTTGTTTCGTCTGAAGAGTCACCCTTGGAGGGGACGGCCAATGGGATTATTAGCGCCTTAGATCGTGCTAACGAACAGGTAAGCACTTGCGATTCACGATGTCTTATTGTCAATTGATAATTAGAAATCATCCTAAGTGTATGAGACCCGAGATCTATTAACCGGGAGCAGTATCTGATCCTAAGCATCACAGAATTTCACAGCAACTTTTCTACTGCATTTCTGTTACTTTCTTAAACCGCAACTGCTACGCAATGTGCTTCAATTCTAAGTACAGAGATGACCTCCAAGTATAGTCAGTGTATCTTCACTAGACATGACTCAATGGAACCCTTTTCTAGATACTACTGCCGTGTTACCAACAGCAGCTCACTAGACCTCGAACTGCCTTTCGCCATCACCAGTCTAAGTAATCGTCCCATTCACAATCACAGCCAACTCCACAATGGGTGCATGGTTGGCTTAGTTCATGCGTACTACGAAAGTCGAAAGGTAACACATAGAAAGGAAGCTGATTCAGATCGCAGCACAACGCGCACGCTCATGACAAGCAGATACGGCGTCCGATGAAGGTGAAGCGGCCTCGTATCATGACACCAAACACTACCTTGTTAAAGCGAGAAATCAGCCTCGTCAGTATGAAGGTGTCTCTTCCGAGCCTCAACGTCGATTAGGTGCGGCTCTCGCGTCTAGCTGTCCTCCCATCTACGACGGGCGGGTACAGACCGCGCGTCGTTGGAACCTTGGGAAACCTTAGTGCCTCTCGGACGAGTGCAGCAGCGCGGACATGGGCCTCTCGGTGTGCTGCATACCTAGGCAAAGACAAGCCAGATCCGCGCTGCAACATCTGCATAGGCACCTATTTAATATATTGTCCCTGTGCCTGCCCCTCCATATTCCAGCCCTAAATCCAGTGATACAACCCATTGCAGATTGCCCTACGTATGCGGCAGGATTGATGTGCTGGTGCAACCCAGGTCCCAATCTATAGCTGCATGCAGGATCGGGTCGGTATCCATTAGCAGGTAGCATAGCATACTTAGGGCTGGCTACACCTGGATCTAACCTATGCCGAGAAAATCTGCATGAAAAAAAGAGATGGATGACTAGCCACGCCGAGTGGCGGATCTAACGGCGCAGACAATAGGCAACGAGGATGCGTATCGGCAGGTGTAAGCATACCAAGACCGATCCCGAAATCGTCTTTCGATGCCCGACTGCGGCAAAGCAAAGCAAAGCAGACCACCTGCTTTTGCCGAAATGGAACAACCCGTCGATTGAGTGTTTTTAACTCTCTTTTGCCTAACTTACTATACCTACACACACTTCGCAAATGGCCCTGTAGGAGCCGTAGCATAGCCCATGAGTCCAATCATACGACGTACGTTCGCCCACTAGGGGTCGACGGCGCCCTTCTACTATCATGAACTACAAATTGAGCAGAGGTGGCAGTATGTGCGTGTGCCGCTTACACACGTAACGCAGGTCAAGACTCCGAATCATGGTCTCGTGAACGCATATAGTACATACCTATATGTTACATATCTTACCTAAACAACATACCGAGAATTCGGGAATTCGCCACTCCGTACAATAGTGCCTACCGTCCAAATAGTCGAGTAATAAGTAGTATACAATCAGATACATCCGTTTACATCCTCAGCTTGTGTGCCTTCCCATTTACCCGGCTGCGGTGTCGTGTTCATCTAACCAGAGGCAAAATTGGAGATATTAGAAACACAGCTGCCGCCTCTCTACCTCACTGAAGAACCTGAGCCTCGAGTACCGGGAATTCGGGTCACGGTGTGTGAGTGTGAGTGGGAGTGAGTGATACGTCAAGCGTACAGCACATCGATGCTACCTACCATAGGTAAGTCGGTAGATGGTTCTGGCCCTAGAAAGAAAGAGGTAGCCGGCAAAGAGCCGGCTGCAAAGCCTCGAAAGCAGTCTCTATTAGCATTAGAATAGTCGTATATGAATAACTTCGGCGTAATGTACACTTGGGGAGGCAAGATACAACGGATTGTTAATTAAAGGACTCAGGATAGAGCTGAAACTATGAAACTTCCAGGAGCGTCTCGCCGTGGCGATTGAGATAAGATCTGCTTATGTACTTCCCAACGCCGCGGCGGCGGCTCACGCACATCAGCTACCATATTTACCGACCAAAGCGAGAGCGAGAACACAGCATGCTGAGGTACGTCCACCTAGGTGTGTTGTATAATGTATCCATATGCGTCCACGCATGAGAATGGCCAAAAGCCTCTACCGAATTAAAGGTGTTATCCGGCGATACAACGCAGCGAATATATCCAATGGATATGTCGTGCCAGCATCGCCATCATATACCTACTTGCCTGCCCATCCCTGATTGCCCCCTTTTAGGATATCGCGTAGAGCATGTGAAAAGTACAGCCTACCTAGGTACGTAAGGACGGCTGCATGCAGGTCAACGGCTCTCGCCAGCTTATCCGACATGCGGGTATAGGGCTCGTGTAACTATAATAGTCCGGTTCGACAGGTCAGATTCGCTTTCTGATTACCTACATGCAAAATTTCTTCATCGGATCTCACGCGGCGAGCGTCGAAACGGTGGCCGGCGAGATACGACAGAGTCAGACGTTAGAATAGTATGAACAGCCATCCTCCTTCGGCCCTTCGTCAAGTGCTGTCATTGCTACTGCGGGCAGTCTCCGCGTTCGACTTGTCTCCAATCTCGTCCCTCTTCGCCAGTTCACGTCAGCTGAGCTAGATGAAACATCAATGGGTAGGATTCATCACTGAAAGTGCGCCAAGGCGGGCAAGCAGGCAGGCAGGCCTTCAGATTCACCGAGGAAACCCACCAAAAGATGGTCCTAAAACTAGAGAAGATGGAGTTTGATACGTTTTGATATTGAGCAAGGTGGCTGCCTCTCTACGTCGCATAACCTCGCTGTCTACGTCTTCCCCCTCCGCTCTATCGTGATTCTGCTCTTGCTTGATCTCGCCACGTTTCCCAATGGCTGCACCATGGAGAGTGCCTAGTGCCAACAGCAACAGCTCTTTTGTTTCCGAACACCCGCCAGAATAAAGTATCGTCGAGAATTTCTCATAGCCGGGTTATCTTGGTATCTGCATTTGCGGCTCGAGCCTCGGTCATTATAAAGTAATATAGTACATTCATTCGAAGAAGGAAAAAATGTTCATGTCCCCAGCTAAAGGCTCCTCTCGATTCCGTTTAACATAATTGGGATAAGTTTGGGTTTGAAGTAACATATATGTCTGCTTGGCCGCTACATTCGGGATGATGATACGAGTCTGGAGGCTTGGCTGACGTATATAGTGAAGCAACACTAAACAAAAGGATGAGTAGTAGTGTGGTGTAGTCATTCGATCTAATCATGCTTAGCAGGATCGCTCTTCAGAATTGAACACATCGAAGCATCCACGATACTCCGCCATCGTCCGAAACGGGCCAATAAACCCAGAGGCAGGTTTACTCGCGCCGTGGTATGCTACCGGAAATAAATACCCAAAATCATCTCATAAGCCATGCTGGGAAGCTCGACGGAGCTCCCATGCGAAAATTAATCATTTAAGCTCGTCGACTCATAGCAACATTAGCCCCTGCGGAGGCCAAATCCTGTTTGCCACTAGCACTGCGGCCGGCCACGCGAGGTAGGTTGCTGCCACCTGTCGTTGCGGACGTCCCTGCGCTACTTCGCTTCGTACCCGCGGTACTGGCGAGACCCGTAAAGGCAGACGTTCGTCTCGCACCTCCTTGTTTCAAAGGACTACCATTGGTCTCCCTGGGGCGCAGGGACGGGCCGCTCTTGCCACCTGCTGGGGGCTCTGGTAGAGGTCGCGGAGCTGATATGGTGTTGTGGCGCTTGACCGGCGAAGACTCACGTGTTCTAGGGACGGGGACTGAGGTCTTCTGGCCCGTGATGAATTCGTGGCGAATGGCTTCCTCAGGCTTGAGACGACGATCTGGATCCCACCGCAGACATCGGGCGAGGAAGTCGAGGAACGGCTCGTCGTCGCATTTGATAGCTTGTTGAAGCGTTTTAGAGGACGGCCGACGCCTCCTGCCCTTGGAGGACACAGTCAAACGAGGTTTGCCCATGGAATCAAAGAAAAGCTTCTTCCTTGTGCTCTTTTCAATGAGATGCTTCTCAGGTGGACCAAATACTTCCATGATACAGGCCAGTTGTTCTTGCTCATTCTCTCCGGGGAAAATAGGGACACCGGTGTATAGTTCAGCCAAGATACAGCCCAAACTCCACATATCGATTGGTAAGCCGTAAGTCATTCCCAGAATGACCTCCGGGGATCGATAAAACCGTGACTGGATATAAGTATAAACTTTCTCGTTTTCAAAACAACTTGAACCGAAGTCGATGACCTTGATCTCAGAATGCATCGGATGCCGAACCAAAATGTTCTCTGGTTTGAGATCACAATGGATCACCTTATGCTGTTTAAGTAGATTAAGCGAGCTGAGCATTTGCTTCGTGAACCTTCGGATTAGTTTAAGAGAAAACCCGCGGAATGCGTTGGACTTGATAAACTCATAAAGGTTCATATCGAGGAGCTCAGTTGATATGCAGAGATGTCCTCGGAAATAGAAACTATGAGTAAAGTTGACCATGCTGTGTTTATTGTGAGGGTCCTAGAAGTCATAATTAGCAAAACTATCGGCTAGGCAGATAATCACCTAGTTGCTTACCCATTCGCGAAGCTTTTGCAGAATGTTGACTTCGACAAGAGCTTGCTGGTGGAACCTCTTCTTGTTTCGGATGATCTTTACGGCAACGAGCACGCCGGTTTTATGGTCTATACACCTCACCACCTGGCCAAAACTGCCTTTCCCGAGCACATCAACGATCTCGTAGCGATAAGCGAGATGATCACCTGTGACGATCGTATAGTCACCGCGCTCATCGTCGTAACCGAAGTTTGGTAGTTTCGAGTTCAAATCGCCTACAACCTTGCTGGCGTGCTGAGTTCCGCAAAAATAGACGTCGCTATAATCGACAATCTCGCCCTTTTCGTAGATGTTCAATATGGCTATTCGAATAGCTTCGTGAGGTCCTACACGTTCCTTAGGGGTTGCCCTTCTACGGAGCGCATCTAGTGTTCGGGCTGCCATTTCCGTCTCCTTCCTTCTCAAAGCTAACTTCTTCATCTCCTCCTCGGCAATGAGATCATCCTTATCCAGATCGGCAGTATAAGGGTCATGGCGTTTAATCGAGGCAGCCGATGGTCTTGGCCGCAGCATCTTCTGCATAGATGAATTCCGAGGTTGTGTGGAAGTCTCGATCATCGAGTTATTACCAACATCTTCCTTCGAGCTCTTCTGCGTAAACATAGTGTTCAAGCTAGACGCGGAACTCTTCCTGCGCCTGGTTTCTAGGTACGTTCCTGCACTGGGCTTGGTGGCATGGCTTGGACTAGAAGACTTCACTGAATTGATGTTCATTGATGCAGAGACTGGTATCCGTGGAGGCGGCATGCTGTCTTGCCGGGCAAGTTTCTCAGCAGCTTTATCAACAGAGCTGTTGGAAGCGTGATGGCTACTTTTCGAGTTACTCCTCTTCCAGGACAAGCTCAATTTCCTCCGCAAATTGCTCATTGAGGATGGCGTTGGAGGTTCTTCAGGACTCTGCTCAGCCGGCGGAGTCTTATTAGTTGGCTTGGCCAGTTTCGGCGCACGAGGACCAGATGGTTTTTGCTGAGGTCTTGTATCGATAGTCGTGTCAATTGCAGCCGTGTTGTTGGTATCCCCAATAGTTCTAGACTTTGTTAATTGATTACCAAAGGGATTGCTACCTTTAGGAACGGATGACGATAGAAAAGGCGATCCGGAAACTTTGGCAGCTTGCTTGTGAACTACTGAACTGATCGGCGATTCAGACGAGCTTGTTCCATTCTCTCCAGTAGGACTTTCAACTCGGCTGTGATGAATAGAGCTACTGCTGCGGAGGACCGTCTTTTCGGGATCTCTATCCGCGCGCCCCCTAAAAAAGAATGTACTCTTCGACGCAGTCATAGGCGTTGTTGGCGTTTTAGCAATAGTCCTTGACAGTGGCGGACTCAATTTACCACTATCCTCGCCTTGATCCCTTAGAGCCGCGATCTTTGCCTCTGTAGGCATGCTTAATGGACCTACACTCAATGGCGGAAGTCGCAGGGGCTGTAAATTCTTCTTGGATTGGGATCCGTTGATTTTCTGCTCGATATCAGAGGTAGGACCGGCTAACGTCTTCCGCGGGGCACGTTTTCGTTCACTAGGTTTTCGTGATGCTTTCTTCGTAGGCTCCTGGGATGGTGTACCGGAGGGCGTACCCGTAGAATTGCTATGAATACTACTAGAATCAAACGTGTAATTCGACTTCCGTTTCTCCAGGAACGAAAGTTCTGCCGGCGAGTCCTTAGGCGACCCATAAACCTTGGGAATCGCAGGCACAGGCGGCACATCTTCCTCATCTTCGCCAGTGGGAGGGTTGTGGATGTTCAGCGCTTTGGGAGCGGGAAGCCTTGACGTTGGACCTACTTGGGAGAGGGTACGTTGTATTGAACCGGTTGAGGTTCGTTGTGTGTTGAAACTAGTCGTTGAACCAACAGACAATCCTGAGCTATAGGATTTCCTATTAGTGACTTCTGGGGTGGTTCTTAGAGATGAAGGAGTGGATGTTTTTCGAGGAATCATGGAAGGTGAGCGTGATTGAGGGCGAACATCAGCAGGCGGAAGCGGCGCATTTGATATCTGCGGCATATTCTGAGTAGGATGTATCGACATACGCTTCATCCTTTGCGCGTCAGTGGGTGAGATGGTCCTAGCACCAAGCCCGGTGGCATGAGAGGTGTGAGCGCCAGGCATTACAGACATCCTTCTCGCAGAATTAGGTGTAGAGCCTTTGCCGCTCGCCCTGGGTGACCTTGGAAACGCAGTGGATGTACGATTTTGATCTGGAGCGAGACTGGTGCTACTGCTGTTGATAGTAGAGAAGTTTGCTGATATCCTAGGCGCGGGCTGTATCGAACGTGCCTTCGAAGCTCGCGAGCCTTGAAATGACGGCCTGCCATCCCCAGTTTGCCCAGTAGAAACATCCATCGAGGTTCGAGCAGAGTCAGTGCCGCCCTTGTCAGAAAGGTTCGATATCAGACTCGGTCGCCGCCTCCGAACCCCAGTTCCGTAGTCAGCATCAATAAGCCCCGGGCCAATCGATTTCCTCGGGGGCTTTCCAATATTGGTATTTGAAACCGGGGGATAATGGCTTTGACGTCGATTCCTCATCGCAGCAGGCGCAGTCGGCGCATCGGTTATACTAGAAGACACGGACACGGTAGACCCGTTGCTAACCTGTCGACTTGATGTGCTGGGTCTTCTCAATATGGAGCCCGATCTTGACGGTCTAGTACCTGCATTGGGAGTGGGATTCGGCTGGGCCCCCGAGCGGGCGGTGCCACTACTGCCAGCACCTGAAGGCTGTCCACCCATCGCGTCCAATGGCTTCTCGTCAAGAATACTCCCCTGGCCAGACGGTGAAGGAAACTGGGTCAGTTTAAAATCGGTAGAAGCTGTCTCGAGGCTACTTTGAAGATCATCGAAGCTAACAGAAGGCAGGAATTCGAAAGAGGCTGTGGTATTGTCGTCTATGTCACTCGGGGCCCCATTCCGACCAAAGGAAAACAGAGAATGGTTGTTGGACGACGATGCATGAAGCATTGGCTCGTCGTGGCTTCTGTTGACCGGGTTGATGTTCTCCTTGGACCTGAACCGAAACAAATAGTGTTAGTGGTTATTACAGATCAGCTCAATAATGATATAAGCGTGTCTTGTATTTTCGGTGATTGAGATGATGCGAAACAATCGGAAAAACGCACGATCGAGTCGGGGACTGCGCGGCTGGTCTCGGGCCAGCAGGAGCCTTATGATCCCTAATCATAAGGATTTGTCCGGGCAGATTGACGTAGATGGAATTGGCAATGGGTAGGAGAATAAGATCGACGGGCTGGAAGATGGTTTGCGACAGATGATATCCCAAGGGAACCCCAAATTGCGAAGGCGAGAGAGAGCGGAAATCCCCTGGACCTAGACCTAGACCTGGTTTATGGATCTAAAGCGCTCGCGATCAATTTCTCAGTCCGGCTAAGGAGCTGAGGGCGTCGATACTGCTACCGCATTCCGGGACGTAACGAAGAAAAAGCAGACTAAGAAAAATTAGAGCAACAAAGTCGGCCGTAAGAAGAAGAAGGAAAGACGATGGAGCAAAATGTTATTGTTGACCGACAGTGGTTGCTGTCAAATGGGAGGATCACGAAAAAGGGTTGGTGGATTGTTTTCATTAAGGGAAAGAAAATAAGAGGTCGACTAGGGGCCGATCCACTTCGTTTTCCCGTACCGGCCAAGTGAGTTTACCTAAGGTTGGTAGCTCCAAGTAGCCAAACCTCCCACTATTAGACACGTTTAGGCCACCCGCCGTTCATCAAAAGCCTGCCCTGGGTGTCCCTAATAAGGTTGGGCTGTCAGGGGACTATGGGGGTTAATTGCTGTTGATTGGTACGTATCGGCCTGCCTAAGGGTACTTTATTTATTAGTACATGTGCAAAACGAAGGCGCATGTGGATGGCGAATCTGGCAAAGTGTACCTACCGGCGGTCACTTTCAATCCGAATGACAGGCAAGAGCCAGAGCGCCCATGTGGGATAGGTACATACATACATAGGTATGTATCCGATAATGGCGTATAGTAGAGAGGGATAGCGCCATAACGCAACCCCTAAAGTCCTTGTCCCAATATCAATTCCAATTACGAGTTCAACACGTACCTATATCGAGCGGTATATGCAAATATGATGCATATACACATACGCCTACATACATGGTACATTCGTGTCATTCAAGCGTCTCTACCTACACATGTGCACTTGAGCGTTTTGCTTGACGTACCGTTACACAAATGATTATGAATGGTCTGTGCGAATAAATCTAATCTCATCAATCCATCCTGTCCATCCCACTTACATAAGCATATCCAGTTTACTACATAAGACAATACATTGAGACATGTCAATGCTCATACGTACGAACCTTCAGATTTGCTATTTAAGAGCGAATAAGCATGGCAGGCAGACAGGTGAAGAGAAGTCCTAAGGCTGTGTATTGAAGAAACGTTGAACAGTCAAATGGTAGTATCACAAATTCGGAGGTTTTATTTTCTCATTTGATGAGAGATCTGCGGTGGACTCGATAAGAGTTCTACGTACCAATCTTTTCTTTCTCTCCCGATATTATTTGTTACCTACGGATTGGCTGACATTGACTTGAAGAGTTTCGTCTAATTCCCCCCCCAGACCAGGTATGTTCCCTGATTCCACGCGTATCCCAGCGGTGGTAACTAAGGTGTAAGTCATTAAAGTGAGATGGGCGAGATGGTTGCCGGGTGAATCGTGATTGATGAAGGGACGTTAATCCTACTTTATTTGTCCCCGATGCCCCCCGTCTAACAGAGTTGGATCCAATTCGGTACTGTTGTTTTGCGTTGCAACTATGTGTTTGTCTTCGGTAGCTGTAAACAACCACGCAGCCAGGGTCACCTTAGTCTACCTTGATCCGCGTATGAATACCGCCCAAAGGTAGCCGACTCTTAAAAGCACTCATTGCCTTCGACTTTCTCCTCGTCCCATCCATACCGCATGCCATGCCAACATGTCTCAACAGGTATGGTGTTTGCCAATAAGGCACCTGGATATTAAGTAAATCGGTGCCACTGTAGTACAAAGACGCACGAGCGATTTGCATCACCAACACGCGCGGAGCGGCATGTAAGATTTAGTGCATGCCATGCCATACATATTAGTACGTACTTCGGCTTCGACTTCGGCCGCCTTTTGTTGATGCAGCTAGCCTTTAAGTGGGTGGCCAACAACCGCATGGCCTGCATGAACATGCTCGTGGGGCCGGGCCTATCAGCCTATGAAAATCGCGACTGGCTCCTCCTACCCCCTCTGCCCCTTTCTGATTTTGGATCAGGAACGAAAGAAATGGGAGCTGCCGCATACCCGATGGGGAATCGGCCTGAATTGACTGGTCGAAGAAACTTGAAGGAAAGGGGTTGAGCGGTTCCAGAATTGTGACAAAGTGGAACATCACCAACCTGACACATCCAGCCCTAGATATATCATTCCTTCTACACCTTTACTAGTGTTTATGTTTTCTTAATAGTATAACTTATTCCCGTTAAGCACCTCGTGGCGTTAAGTGTCATGCAAAACAGCCATGTGAATTATTCATTTTCCACTCTATATTTGCGCAAACCAACGATCCCATGCCCATTAAGTATTACCGAATTTATCATGCCCTTTAAAATCATGGGCCCTAATATGTTTGTATCTTTGCCTGTCGCCTGTGCGTATCAACCCAACGGACATTTGTTATTTTAGGCCGGAATACTAGTGGGTGATAATTACGCATGCTTCTACGAATTGTAGGATCATACAATATATCTTATTTTAAACCCCTTTCTAGCTGCAGTAGTTGAACCCGCCCGCTGATTTCGATATATATGGCCTAGGCTCGCACCATCTTTTTGACCACTGTGCCGCGCATTACCTCGTGAGGCTTCGAATTCGTATCAATTAGTAATTTGTGTGGCCTCCAAAATACCTATATTGATTGACACCTTGGTATGCGCTTGGAACTATACCAGGGAAAGACGTCAGATTAAAGGACCCGATGAGGAAGGCACGTTAAGATTGACATTGATAGTATCGTAATTGTTTATTTCGAGATATCCTATCAATTTGTGGAGTTAATAACCTAGGCTAGACGCTCTGTTATTCTCGGCACCACATCGATTCCTAATATGCGCGACGCTGGAGCTCTTTAGTTGTAAGGCTTTGTGCCTGCCCAACAAACTGTCCTTTCGCGGAGACAACGAAGTATCATGCATCTTCTGGGTTGCGCGCTTGAGGCTATCCTAACGAGGTTTTTATGCGATTCCTTATTTCTTCCGATCACTTCGCTTGCCCGGCCTTGATCATAGACACAACAAAGCTGTTGTCGGAACATGTCTTTCCTAGCAAGACACCAAGCTATGGAAAACCAGGGCGCTGGGTTCCCGGCATAGTGTCGTGTCGTGTAAGAGTGGAGTGGCTTTTGTCACTGAACCATCATAGCAACCTATTATAAAAATAATCTCCAGACTCCCAACCACGCCAGTCCCAACGAAGTGGCCGCGATGCCCATTCTACGACTGCGCATACCGAATATGGACTTGCTCGCTAAGATCCTCGCACGATTCTTCTCGAGTTGCTGCCGGCCAGAAAAGTAGCTATAAGCCGCTAAACCGAGAAATGCGCCGCCTCCTATATTCGTTTGTGTTTGCTTGTCAGTCGTTTGATTCAGATGGATGTAATCAGTTGTCTCTATAGCTGCGTTCGCTGACTGACCTACAATTCTGCACGGGGTGCAGTCGTCACCCCGATCTTGTTTAAGGACATCATGTATGCTCTCTGGCTTGTCCAGGATGTCGACGGACGGAACGTTGCTCTTACTCATGGTAGAAATTAGTGTATAATTGCGAGAAGCCAAGCATATACGAAAATACGAAAATGTTGCGCAGTCTTTGACCTTTTCAAAAATTACTAACGCTGTCGAGTTGTTTGGTCCGTGCGCACCTAGAAGGAGAAGGCACTGATGTACTGCGATTGCTAGGTACCTTACCCCCATGTACTTCGTCCGATTTGTACGACGATCTTCGGGGCCGTAAAACTGGGGACCTATCGGCTCTTGCTTAACCTTTTCAATAACGGTCGGGCCCGTAAGCGAATAAGCTTAAAAACTTGAAATAACTTAACGCTATTAGGATTTGGGTTAAATTCAAACTGAGTCATGGCTGTACTTGAGCTGGTTTACAGCTACATATAAGTGAGAAGGGACCAAAGTGCGAGTCATATAATAATATACTTCATAGGTAATATACTTTATCGATCCCGTTCACATGTACTGACTGGACTGTTTCCTTATATAATCACCTATTATCCTCAGTTCATGCGATAATACAACAAACTGACAACACGCCCTCGATGTGGCTACATGAAGGATCTCAAACGTGGCGTTCACGATGATGTAATGACGGGTTCGGAGGAACACACGTGTAACAAGTGTTAAATGTAGCTGCCTTAAGATTCCAACTGTAACCAACTTTTATTAATTTTCGTCTTGGTATTATCAAAGCTTGAAGCTACTGCTCGATGCTGCCTTAGCGGCCTTCGCCTTGTTACCCTCCATATCCACAATCTCTCCTTTCTTATTGATGACCTTGACACCACCCATCTTGAGATCACCGAGCGTTTGTTTCTGTGCCTGAGCCTTCGCACTCTGGGGCTTCTTATTTTCGGCACCGCCAGTCTTCCGTAGCCTCTCCTTTTCTCTCCTACGCCGTCTAATCTTGTCTTCTCGGCTCATCTCTTGTTTAGCAACGGGCAATCCACTCTTGGCAACCACCTCGCCCTTTTCAGCCGTGTCCTTGCTAGCCTTGTAGATCTCTTGCGGTGCTAATGTATGGTCACCACCGCTGACGCCTTGCGCGGTCGTGGGTTGAGCGTCTTCCATGCTAATCGTCGCCACGTCCGAGACAACCGTAAGCGAGGGTGCAGTAGGCTTTGGCTTGTAGTGCCAGCTAGTAAGAGCGTCAAGGCTTGCGCTGACTTCTTTCCACATCTGCTCAATCTCTTTCTCTTCCTTTTGAAGCTTCTCGTCGGCCTTGCTCACGTAGGAGTCTGGATTTGTAGTCTTGACGTGTTCCTCTTCATAGATCTCCGCAAGCGATTGCTTAGCTTTGGTATCATCAAGATCGACAAGTCCTCGTCTGGTATTTGAAGAGAACTCGGATGCATCGGGGCGCCGTTTAATGACCTCGTCAAATTCTTGCGCTAGGATACGGCGTTTGATCATGTCCTCGATGCTCTCGCTAACTTCTGCGGTAATGACTGGTACAGGTTTGCCGACGTGCTCGAAATCGAGGTCTTCCTCCAGCAGAGAGTTCATTGGTCGGTCAGCGGCTTGGGCTTCGCCAGATAATACCCATTCCCTCTTGGCCACATTTGCAGCTTCGAGCTTTCTGATCTCTTCTGCTAGTTTGACTTGTCTTCTTTCGTGTGCAGATCTCCTAGATTTAGGATCACCTGCGGATACATCAGAAAGAGCATCTTCCGAGTCTTCTCGCTCTGATTCGTCTTCAAATAGATCTCGCCGAACGTCAGCCATGGCCCGCTCGACATCATCACCATTTACTTCCATCGGACGAGGTTCCTTATATTTTCTAGGTTTGCCGTTTCTAGTCCCTTTTCGTTGTGGAGGCGCGAAGAAATCTTTGTAATAGATCTCATTAGCATTGAAATCATCACCTCCATCCATGCCGTCGATCCCTTCTTCATTATCGTCCTCGCTATCTCCCTCTGGTGCATCTAGATCCATGTCGCCAAAGGTAGGTCCGCCTTCTTCATCTTCGTCTTCGTCTTCCATGTCGGAAGCCATCTCGTCCTCGGTGCCCTTGATAGGCTTACTGGAATGTTTCTCGTCGGTAGATGGCTTGACGGCAAACGGATCGGTGTGCCAATCTACCTCGTCGTCGTCACTCGCGTTGTCGACATCTGGGTCACCTCGGGCATCCGCATCCTCAAACCGCTGAGTTTGTTTGTTGAAATCATCGATAGAGAAAAAGCCGTCGTTGAGACCATTCGGATCCTCGATTAGCTCTTGAGAAGGCTCTTCAGGTTCTTCCTCATCGTCAATGTCGTCATCTTCCTCATCAGTGTCATCAAGGTCCTCTTCGACCCCATTCATAGATAGCTCGGCATCATCTTCAAGATCTTCCTCGTCTAAATCTTCTTCACCATTAATAACTTGCTCAGCTTCATCTGAGCTCTCAAGCTCCGAAGCCGAATCGTCATCGACAGAGCCAGCCTCGGAGATGTCGTCATCCGACTCAAAAGCATCGGAGTGTGCATTCCCATTGATACCGTTCACCCGAACCTCGTTTTGCTCCTCCAGTTCCTGAAGCACACTTTTTGAATCTTGCAATGTACTTGCAATAATTCTTCTAGCCTGCTGCCAAACCTGGCCGCTTTCAAATCCATCTATATGAACTTTCCTAATTTTTAGGACTTCGCCTCTGCCTAGCCCAGCCTCGGCTCGCTTTCGTTTTTTACTCTCTTCTCTCAGGCGCTGTTGCTGTTCGTCACATAATTGTCCGGCATATGCATCTAGCGTCGCTTTAGCAAGCTGAAGCGAAGCGTTTGGGATCGAGGGAGCGGGTTGTAAGAAATTGTGTCGATTGCCAGACTTTATGGCTTCGAAGAGTTCGAGCATCTCCACGGCGCTGGACGGCTTTGAGGAATCGGCGAAGGCAGATAAAAATCCTACTGATGGCGCATGTGTTAATGTGTGAGAAGTTGAGGTCATGGAGGACGTGGTGCTAGCAGGTCCTGCCATTGCTCGTTACTCAGGCCGAGGAAGGAGAAGGTAGCCAGATAGAAATAGTTCTGAAGATCACTTGGGCAGTCGTTTGCTGCATTGGAGAAAAAAATTGGCTTCAGAAAATTTCCTAGGTTCAAGGATGAGCAAAGACCCCCACAATATCTAACTTTGAGACTACCTCGTCTTATCGATAGGATTTTGAGCAAATAAGATTATTGTTGCCCCGTAATTTTGTCTCTGCCCCTCTGACGGCATCGCATCGGATCTTAGTATCGATTTTTAAATGTTGCCAATCTTGTTAGGTACTTGCTAAACCTCACTACGCCATATCCCGACGATGCTTGTCGCAGCTCCTCCACCATGAACGGCGTAATAGAGGCGCTGCACATCTACGATGAGCATAAGTCAGTCCTCAAGAGTCGCCGTTGGATTTATTTCAAACTAATAGTCGATTTAGTCGCGCGATCCTCTCTCATACCTACGCCTCTCGCCCACTTTCCGCGAATCATCTTCTACCGCTTTATCTCGAACACCCAACTCCGAGACCCAACCTGATCTACCTACCAAATACTAACCCGCCGACACTTGTATTTAGCCTTACGCATGCGAATCTACTTTACCTAGCCACCTCTTCCTCGGAAATTGAACCTCTCCTTGTCCTTGAATTTCTCCACCGCATCATCGATGCCCTCGAAGAGTTCCTTGGCGCGCCGGTCTTAGCGCACAAGATCGAAGCAAACTACGATGTCGTTGCTCAACTACTTACTGAGATGTGCGATGCCGGCACCATTAGCACCACCGAACCGAACGCCCTAAGAGACGTGGTGGAAGTGGAAGGTCTTCTAGGGAAACTACTGGGTAGCATTAATCTACCTGGCAAATCCCCAACCCTTCCTAGTACGGCGTCCCTCATGGCCCAGAATGTTCCCGCGCTACCTTGGAGACGAGCGAACGTGCGACATACGTCGAACGAACTCTATGCCGACGTCGTGGAGACCCTAACGGTTACTCTTGCACCGTCTGGCAGACCTATTGCTGCGTTTGCCAATGGAACCATCGCGTTTACGTCTAAGGTATCCGGGATACCAGACATACTTTTGAACCTCACAGGGCCATCCGGGAAGCACAATTTGAAAAGCGTAATGGAGCTTCCGGTGTTTCATCCATGCGTACGGCTACAGAAATGGAGGGATAATCCGGGAGAACTCAGCTTTATACCTCCGGATGGACGTTTTATTCTTGCAGGCTACGAAGTGGATTTGTTGCCTTTCACTAATGGGAAGAGCGGAAATTTGAGCTCGAATAGTCTCAGGCTGCCGGTAAATATAGAGGTTAAGACGGGGTTGGGGTCAACCGGTTCCGATTTCGAGGTGCGACTTAACATTAACAGGAATTTCGGGTCAGCTAATTCTTCAATATCTGGATCTTCCAGCAGGGGAGGTGCAGGCGGAAGAGGTTTTGGCGGGCCGCATTCTGGTTCAGCCGCCGCGCCATCATTACAAGACCTTATAGTTTCGGTACCGTTACCTTCTGAGGTTAGAAACCTCTTAGACATACGACCGAGCAAAGGAGACGCCAGTTTCAACCCGGGGGATAAAGTACTGGAATGGGTTATACCGACCAAGGAGCTTGCATCTGGGTCATCGTACTACGGCCTTCGGTGCACAGTGCAAGGTCCTCTGGCTGAAGATCAAGAGGACCCAGATCCCAATGGATTTGGCTTTGGTAGGGACTACACTTACGACGAGCCGTACCAAAGCAGTGCGGATTTGAAGGCTAAAAAGAACGAAGGAAGCTCCGAGGATGAGAAGGATGCGAAGAAGATTGCCCAGAATAAGATTCTGATGCCAAGCTCTGCATCCGTCAGTTTTTCGGTTAAGGGGTGGTTATCAAGTGGAATCAAGGTCGAAAGCATCCAGATCGACCCGAGAAAAAGTCGGGGGATCGGTGAGGGAGTAAAGCCATATAAAGGGGTCAAATACCTCACTATCAGTAAAGGGGGCGTCGAGATTAGATGTTGAACGCTGCGTTTACGTTTTACGCACAGCGGACGTTACATTCGGCGTTGGAGTACCTACATGTACCTAGGTATGCATTGCATAATTGGCGTTATGGCACACTGGCTGGAGCTGCTGGAGCTACGGATATCACCATACATAGATCAACATGGCAAGAGCTAGCAATTGCAAGATTATACGGCCTCCTAGATGTCAATTCAAGCCAATTCAAGTACATAATTACAACCGACAAAGACCCGATAAGGATAAAATGTCCTATTTCCGCACCGGTGTCATCTCTAACGGTTACGCTTGGATATGTACATGGGTACCTCCCGTCCTAGTCCGGGGAAAGATGTGGGGGAAACCTTGAGCATCTGCTGACAAGGGCGAGGGCGGGCCGAGGTAGCTACCCTTACCTACCAAGAGTCATCGAAACTTCTACCTTTCACCTTTTTGCAAACTTCCAATCCTTTAATCCGAAATCTCCTTTATGTTCAACCTATCTTATCCCACTATCCAAACATTCAATAGAAAGCCCGATCGATGACCGTGAGAATTGACCTTCGCAGCGCAAACGTAGCTAGTCTACACATTTTACAGCGATGAGCTCGCTCTTTACTACGATGCGCCGATCTGCCCGCAACGTTTGCGCGGTATGTCGCCGGCTCGGCTCTGTCGACTTTCAAGCTATTACGTCAACCCCGATATCTAGAAGTGGACGTCGGAATTATGCTTCGACGAAAGGAAGGCGGCCGAGGACAGCCATCTTCTTTCCAGGTCAGCGGATTCCAATGGACTACTCCGACACTCGAACTGACTAGCTACTGCTACTACAGGCCAAGGAGTTCAGAAAGTTGGAATGCTTACGCCTTGGCTAGAAGCCTTCCCGCGCACGGCCGCGCGTATCATGGATGAGATAGACAGCTGCATGGGGTATAAGCTATCTGACATAATACAAGATGGGCCAAGTCGGGTGTTAACCGCAACGCCTAATGCTCAGCCGGCGATCATGGCGACCTCGATTCTCATCCTGCGTATACTCGAGAGCGAGTTCGAGTTTGACGTTTCCAAACGAGTAGACGTATCTCTTGGACATTCGTTGGGTGAATTCGCAGCTCTGGTAGCGGCTGGGGTGCTGGAATTCGAGGATGCTTTGTACATGGTCCGTCGGCGCGCAGAGGCTATGGCGGAGGCTACTCGTCTGGCCAAGGAGAAATACGGCGGCGAGTATGGCATGGTAGCTATTGTTACCGAATCCGAATACCTGAGCTCCCTCATCGAGGCCATAGACGAGTTTGTGGGGTACCGCAGTGCGGGCGCAAGGAGTGAAAGTGCCGAGTCGATGAAGCCGATCGACCAAGTGCTCATAGCAAACGTGAACAGCAAAAATCAAATCGTGCTAAGCGGGAGCGTGCAGCGAATAAAGGAGTTGGTAGCACACGTTCGCCAATTCCTTGGTCATGACCCAAGAGCGGTCCGATTAAATAGCGACAGTCCGTTCCACAGCCCCATTATGAGACCGGCCGTCAACGTGATGCGGGAGCTCGTCTCTGGCAAAAGTAGAGTGAAAGGCTGCGAAGACAAAGATATCATTACCTTCCCAGGCCGACTAGAGTGTATTAGTAACGTGACCGCCCGACCGTTCGGAAGTGCGGCGGAAGTCAAAGAGCTCCTAGCACGACAATGCTTAGAGACGGTGAGGTGGTGGGACAGCATCAAATATCTAGACCAAGAACAGAAGGTTAGAAGGTGGGTAGGTATCGGCCCCGGAAAAGTGGGAAGGAATCTAGTAGGTAAGGAAGTTGGTATGCGCGGGACGGACTCGGTTAAGGGCGGCGGCGTTTGGGCTATCACGGATCCGATAGAGATTGAAGACGTTTTGAAAGGTTTAGAAAAAACAGAGTTTCTGCAGGAGGATGAGGAATAAGTCCTTCGCGATACTGTTCCGGAAATCTGCTGGCTGGTCATACAGACTCAGAGGGGTCGGAATAGCGGGTTGCAGATTCAGGAGGATACGATGCTAGCTTTGGTGTTATAGAAATAGCGTCTTTACAATGCTTGAATATTGTCTAAATAAAATAATAATTAGACATTTATAATGTTATACCCATCCGACACTTGATCATCAGCAACTACTAGACAGGTAGATTTTAAGGCTTAGCTGGACCCCTGATTCACCTGGCGCTGAATAGTGGGGCAAGGCAACTCGAAGCTCACTCACTATCGATAGAGCTTCAACCTTCAACTTTCGCTTCACCAGTTATTTTAACCCAAGCTTCCATCATCCGCTTCTACCAAATCGACACGCGCGTGACGTAAAACTAATAGCGCATGCAACCATGGCGACCGCGATACCTTCTATAGCCTGCCTAGGCGTCATAGGACGAAATGTACGTTCGTATCTTTCCTCCCCCTTTTCGTCTTTACGTAACTTCCCATTCGCACACCCCGATCCCCATGACCTCTTTTTCTCGCACTTCGCACTCGCGCTTCCCACCTCCACACCAAACAAAACCCGCAAACCTCCAAACTATCGCGCCCCGGCTAACAAAGAAAAACAAAACCCGCAGAATAACCCCCTCCACATAACCATCTTCCCCTCCTACGACGTCGCGACCAACAAACGCGCCCCGCTGCGCACGCCCCTCCAGTTCTCCCTCCTCCTCAGCAGCACCCTCGACGTCTTCGAGGCCCGCCGCCGCGCCTCCTCCTCTACTTCACAATCCGGCGGCTCGGGCGGCGGTGGCGCGGGCGCCGCGGCCCCCGTCGTGACGGGTGACTTCGGGCTCCTGCACGCCGTCGACGAGCGCCTGGCCGCGTACGGCTTCGAGACGAACACGGGCGTGAAATTCGTCGCCGTGGTGGACATGCGGGGGCGCTTCGCCGCCACCGGGCCCGGCGGAACCGGTTTCGGCGCTGGTGGCGTCGGGGTAGGAGGAGGAGGAGGAGGATTAGGGGGGACCGGAGATCGCGCGATGAGTTTGGGCGTGGGCGCAGGTGTGAGGGGCGGCGTCGGGCTCCGCGAGCAGGAGCTCAGGGTGGTGTTTCGCGCGATGCAGACCGCGTACGTGCGCTTGCTGCAGAACCCGTTCTACGACCCTGATGAGCATGCGCCGCTGATGCCGGCGGGTGGGAGTGGTGGTGGGAGCGGTGGGAAGAGGATCACGAGTCGTAAGTTCGCGGAGGAGATGCGCCGGATTGGGGAGGGGTGGGCGCCGGGAGTGACGAGTTTGTAGAGGGGAAAGGAGAAGACGCAGGTTGGGAGAATGTGTGGAGGTTGAGAATAAGAAAGTAAGGGCGGCTGATGGGAAGAATTAGAGAGACTTGATTTACTATGCATACGTAGATGGCGTCACGGACTAGCATAGAGCACGGAGTCTAGGTGTTTATATCCACGGAAATGCCATGTTATGTTTACGTTCAGAAAGTTTTGCTTGCGCAATAGTGTACTTGTTCTACCTATCTAGCTATAGTACAGGGCATCACATCCTTATTAGACACTCCTTTACTGGTGGTCTTCCTTTGAGAAAGCCTTTCTCAATTGCTCGATTCGCAGGCGCTGTAGGCCAGCCGGCTCTTCGATCTCTACTGATTCTCCCATAAAAGCGTCAGATTTCCGGAAGCTTTCCATGCTTGGCGGCAGCCGAGGTTTTGAAGGTGGCGAGTGTTCCCAATGTCGTGCTTCTACTGGCAGCGGCTGCCACCAGTCTCCCGTGCGAGCATGCCATCGGGCTCCGCAGAGCTCCCATAGACGGCTCGTTGCCCGCTTGTACGCGAACCGCTCGTCTTCTCCGGTAAATGCGCTTGTGTTGCTAAAGTCTACTTTAGACTTTTGTTCTACGCCAAAATCGGAGTCCTGGTCTGGGTCGTAATCCGTGTTATTCGAGTCGGCATACGATGAAATGTTAGGTCTAAATGGCGACATCGAATCTTGATAGGCTTCGGCAATGGTCTCGGAATGGATGGCATCGTCGTTAACCCTCTCAACCTTCTCGCCTCCTTGGGTGTTTGGTTTCACGGGTGACGGGACAACCTTAGTTTCCGGGAAGAAGAGGTCGTCTGGGCCGGCTTCGGCCCGCACGACTAGCTTGCAGCGAGCTTCATAAAGGGCGTCCAGTAGAGTGATGAGACGTCTGGCCTCATTCTTCTTAAGAATTGATAGGGTTGGGATACCATCGATAATGAATGTATGGAAGGTGGAGGCCATTGTAATGTAATCTGCTGGTCCAAATGAGGATACCAGATCGGTAAAATCCCACCAGACATTCCCGTCATACTGCTGTCGGATTGTGATAGTTCGACCATAAACAGTCAATGTAGAGGGCCCCCAACGAATTTCCTTGCCACTAGGTGAGGCCAAGTCCTTCAATGTCTTCATCCATCGGGCTTGATCTACTTCACCAATGATGAAATAGTTTTTCGGTGTTGCAACTGAAACACCTGATTCATGAATCCCTTGAGGATCTACGTTAAAGCCAGAAGTCGCTTGAGTCGTGGCACTCATTGAATCATCGGACGCAGCATCCTCTGCAATGACTTTGGTGTGCTGGCTTAACGATTCGCCAGCTTCGCGACGTCTCCAGTCTTTACCGCCTTCGATACTCCAGAACTCACATCTTGCCTTCAAAACTTCAAGGAAGGATGCGAAGTCGCTGGTAGATCCGAATAATTCTCCTTTGTCCCGGGTCTTTCGGAGTCCTAAGGCTCGACTCAGTAGACCACTAGTTGTAGGGGGAACGTAGTCGATGCCTGTAGCCTTTTCTAATTCTTCCGGCATACGATTCGAAGAAGCAATTAGAACACCCCCAAGCTGGAAGAAAGCGATGAACAGATTACTGAGAATTTTGCTCGCTGCCTTATCAGGGAACTGAAATTCATCCAGGAATAGAATGGGTGATTTCTCGACCATATCCTTGGCCATCCATAACAATGAATACTCCTGATCACCGCTGTCTAGTTGTTGATATGACTTTCTATAACGCTCAAGTTGGGAGAGCGTGTATAGCATGAAGGTATTAAAATGCCATCTCTTCTTTCGACTTGTAGGCAAGCCCTCAGCCAGGAGATCGAGAAGCATCGACTTGCCGGTACCTACCTCACCAGAAAGAAATAGACCCCGGGGAGAATTGATTTGAATTGCTTCTTCATGACTTGTTAGAACCTTGATCAAGGCTAGTGTATCTTTTCGTTCGTTGCGTTCAAAAAACCGAGCGAAAAGAGGATTGCGCCAAATTGGATGACTCTCGACTGCGAGAGTGCACGATTCATCTCCATCCTTCTTCTTAGTGCGGTCCAAGGCATCGGTAATTTCCTTCAGCCTTGTACGATAATCAGACGAAGGTGAATAGTCTTTGAGCCGATGATAGATTTTCCGAAGGTGAATTGCCAACCTATGCTGAGCAGCATCAGGCGAGCAGGTTCCAGCTGCAAGCAATGATTGATACTTCACTAGAGGGTCGGTGATCGTAACCGAACCGATTCCGCGTCTCATTCTTAGCCCTTATTTGTTAATCGATCCTCCTACGAACTGAAACTATGATATAAGGGCTTATGTGAGTGAATGTTCATAGGGCAGTTTGACCGGATTACCTAGCCAACGGGGGATGAGACGGGAGAACCACAAAGAATGGCAAACCTCAGATTCTTAGCAGGGTGCAGGATCACCGCGAAATAGACCACGTCCTAAGTTACCAGATTTCTTGATGTTCGATATGTAATGGTAGATAGACATTTCAAGAAGGTTAGCCGCAGAATGTATGCTCCCAAAATGGTAGGGAAAATGAGGAGGGAGAAATGGAATAAAAGTCCCGAGTAAATATACAATGAAGATCTAGATAATGCAAAATACAAATAGTCAAAAGTAAAAAATCGAGAACCGAAGGATAAGTCGTTGACACGATAGTCACGATGTGAAAATGGTAGATCGGAGAATAGGTCAAACGTTGAGGTCATCGTCGAGTCGAGGCTCAAGGTAAGAGGCTACCCCGGATTTGTTAACTCAAGTTGATTAGTTGCAGTTGAGCCAACGCACGGGGCAGGTGACAAAGCTGCAAAGCACTTGACCCGCTCTGCCCGTTTTGTCCGTCCACAAGCGGCAAGCACACAACGCAGATCCCACGCGGAAGGGTCCTCTTGTTTCCAAAACGGCATAGTCTCAGCTATTGTGAGCCGCCCTTGCGATGAACTATAAATTTCTATGTACCTATCATAATAAATTTAGGTACCTTCCCTCAGATACAGCTGCCTAGTGAATGTTGGAGATGCTTGGAGTCACTCAGTCGCTCTTGTCTACCCTTGTAAAATGCCTGGCCCTGGCTACGTAGCTCCAGTAAAAGTTCCAAGGTTCTAACCCAATTCCAATGAGGAACTAGGGCCTTGTTGTGTCTTTTTGCTTGTGTTTTTTTTTTCTTCCTTTCTTCAACAGGTACCCAGTCAAGGTCAACAGGACCCAATCAATTACAGCCAAACATTGTCGGCCTCGTCATTCTTTCGCGAGCGAATACCTTCACCAGTCAATCCTTCATTTTCTTCACCTCGTCACCATCTTACACCTTCTATTAACCATTTTATCCACGTCAACATCCATCAATTTCTGAATCTCCTCACGATGAGCAGATATTTTCCGCATCAATCGACGCATCGATAATAACGATTTCGCCTTTCCTCTAGAAGAAAACGAAATCGATTGCATCGTTAATCCGACCGTGTACCCCTAAAATCCCATACCGCATTTCCTCGCATCATGTTTTCGGCTTCGCTTAGGGACGGCGTCGAAAACGCATCTCCCGCTCCGACGATTACTCGCGGTAGACGACGTCAACGTCCCTTAAGCTCGGAAAACTCACCGCAGCAACCAAAAGCGAAGCGACAGAGGGTACCATTGAATGAGCAGACCTTCGTAAATCCGACTACCGCACCGGAGACATACGAAGTCAAGTCCACGAGGACTTCTCTAGTCGAGCTGAAGCAAGATGGAATTGAGGAATCACCCGCATCGAAGCAGGAGCTGAGTTTTCGATCAAAGAAAGCTCGACCTAGTGAACGTTTTAGCAAGGGAGATGGTAGTACACTTCTGGTAAGTGTCCTTGTGCTCTAGGTCAAAAATTCTCGAATATGTCGAGTCTCGAAATACTAACGCGGTTTGTTTATCGCAGTCGACCAACATCGCGTTCGATGTCAGAAAACTTCCAGCCCTCCCTGACCGATTAAAGCTGGACGCCACGAGTACGTTACCGTTCTATTGTTTACCGCTGGTAAATATATCCTTTCTGTCGCTAACCTTAACCTAAATATACAGGTCTCCAGCATGGCTCGGCCGATAGCTCTACGGGCTATGCCTTAAGCCTCTCTCACACGCATGCCATCGTATGGCCTTACGCGACGCCTACCCAGTCTCCCGAATCTTTCACATTCACGCTACCCTACCCCTCGAAACACTCGACAGACCCCCTACCCCAGGGCGCGCTCGTTCCCCCATCCGCTTCTTCCTCCGAACCAGGCCTCGTCGTGGTTATGCCTACTAGTGGCAAGGTTACCTACTGGGAATCGATATCGAGTGCGACAACGCTGGACTTCATGCAACAACAACGAAATGGCATCGAAGGATCTATTCAGGGGATATTCTCCGGAGAGGCAGTCATTCAGATAATCCACGCCGAATCGGCAGCTGGCTTTATTCTTGCCTTCAGCAGTGGGCGCATGGCTTATCTGAGTGTACGGGATGCCCATGGCCGTCCAAAAGTCTCGACGCTGTTCTTGCGCACCAACCTTGGCCCAGCTAGCAGCGGGTTCTTTGGTAGCATTCGACATGCGCTTTCGCACTCCGCTCTCCAAGGCGACATTGCTGCCGTACGCTCGGAGCGATCTTCCAAGCAGGGCGAATGTACCGTCGTCGCTGCTACGTCAAAGGGTCGACTTCACTCGTGGAGGGTCCATCGTGGAGGCCACCATGACCTTCTAGCTGAGGTGGATGCTCGCAGCACCATCATCGAGGCCCTCCAGCGGATAGACAAGACAAACGCTAGGCTTCCTGCCGAATCGCTGAAGATCCTTGACTTCTGTTTCGTGCCTCGAGGCCTAGAACGCAAATACAGCGACATGAATCGGCTGCTTGACTCACCGGAGTCCGAGGATCAGCAACACATTCTGCTCCTCGCATCGTTATCTAGCAAGCAATCATGGCGTTATACGCTTGTTGAAGTTGTAATATCTACCAGTCTTTCGCCAGACAACCCGATAGACATTGGCATGGTTAGGCCTATATCCGCCTATTCCACCCCTCCAGATGCACACGCTCTTGCTAAGCCCCGACTCTATCTTCCGCGACCGAATATTATCGCCTTCCTTGTATTTGACCACGCCGCCGTCGTAGCCTCGATCGCCCTACCACCTTTCTCACCTGAATCCCAGATCCTCGAGGATAACCATCTCCTACCTGCGTCTTTCGAGGATGTTGTCGACTTACGTACAGACCCTACACTTGAGATTGTCGGTTCTGGAATCGAAGAGCCTAGGTCTTATGGTTTCGGAGCCGCCGACGGGAGAACGCCCCGCATTAGGCCTAAGAACCCGGCTGCTGTGTTGATGGTTCGAGGCGCAGGTACTTTACGTATTGCTTTGACAGATGTGGAACGATTCGCAAGCGATAAGCCTCCGGAGGTAACTGCTAAGGCGAAGCTGGAGCAAGCCGTGTTCTTCGGAGTAAAGGAAGATAGTCCTCTCGTGTTTAATATACAGCACGGTCTCCGCTTCACGGATGCAGAATATGGCGCCGCCGCTCTAGAGTTGAGCCGAGAAATCCTCACTTCCGCTGGCAAGCATTTTTCGTCTTTAGCCGCACGGGTCGACACCAATATTAAAGAACGCGTGCAGTATCTGGAGAAGATTATGTCGCAAATAGCGAGCCTAGGAGTTAATCTCGACCGTGTTACGAAATGGCAACTTCTTTGGAATGCGGAGAAGCTACATGTTGCTAATGTCCTCTGGCATAAGCACGAAGACTTCACAAATCTCCGACCGACGAGTTCCAAGAAGAGCATCGTGGCTGAAATCGTCGAGTACATCCGATCCGAAGAGAAATCGGAACCGAACATCGCGAAAGGCGAAGTCGATGAGTTACGCCACTGGTTCATTCGTGATGTCGACCGCATGGAAATATTCATCGCCTGGGCTTACGAAGTTATAAAACATAACTCTAAGGCTAATCTAGACCAAGCATCGCTAACATGCCTAATATATGAGGCAGCAGAGATTTACAATAGCGCGATCCGGGGTGCCTTCACATTCCGCGTGAACAATCTCGAACTTTACGGTCTGGCTGGCGAAAAGCTAGAGCACGGGATTCTCGCCAACAATTATAATGGACTCCCAACGCCCTGGACGTGTCATCCCTTCATCGCTAACAATGTGAAGCGACAGGTAGAGCTCTCTACCGAATGGGTTAAACAGCATTGGACATCAGAGTCTGACAGCCAGAACGTGTTAATCCAAAGGACTCGTGAGCTTCTGCCACAGATGACTGAAATCTACCTCACTGTCGTTCAAGAATTATCCCGATCGTACCTTTCTAGCGACGACCCCAAGAAAGCTATCGATGGCCAGAAATATGAAGCTATCTATGAACAGGATCGTCATGATAAAATTGTTCTTCTTGCCCAGACAGAAAATTGGGAGGCCGGAATTAGCATCGCTGAGAATCACGAATCTCTTCCCGCCCTCGCAGAGATATTGACCCGCGAAATTGACGGGTTGCGTCATCAACTTGAGACCGGCCTTACTCCGGAGCGGGCCGCGAAGATAGAGTCGAAGATCACCGCGAAAGAGGAGCGGGTTCAAGAGTACTTTAGGAGTTACGGGAAAGAATTCGCTTTCCCTTTTTACGAGTATCTCTTCACTACTTATGGGGTAGATGCGCTCCTTGAGTATGACAGCGACAAGAAGTTCAAGACGATGTATCTACGAACGAAACCGGAACTGGCTAAAGTCTCTTGGATCAACGATATTATCGGTGAAGAGGACATTGACCATGCCGCTGACACGCTTCTTGATCTTGGCTTAGCGCGTGAACAGCAAGTCTGGAACAAAAAGATCGAGTTGAGTCTTGGTAAGCTAGCCAGGATGGCTGAGTCGTCTAGACCTTCTAGCAAGGCGTCTATGAGCATCCAAGAAGCCAGCGTCAGTGGTACTACCGAGGATGCACGAGTAGACGCCATCGACAAGGAACTCACGATTATTGGTGTCCAAGACGACCTTTATAACACCCAAATCCGTCCAGTGATCAGTGTGGCACTGGAAGGAGAGGAGTTAAGCTTGGTCCAAGAGACATTCGCGCTTAAGATCCCTAAGAAGTATAAGATCTTGTCGCAAATATTTGAGGATTCTTTACGACGACTCCTGGATCATGAGGCTTTGGACCCACTCACGCTAATCGACATCCTCACTTTAATTACTCTACCACCGGAGACAAGGGAGCACATGCCTGATCAGTTCTTCCAAGCTATTCTTGTAGCCCATAATGGCCTAATCGGCGCGGACCGCGTACAAGCTGAGCGGCTCATATGGCGACGGTGTTTCCTAAGAGAAGATTGGATGCAAATCAACAACACTAGCCTCAAGAATGACAATGACATCGTAGAGGTCCTTGGTCAGACTGACCTTTTCCAGTTCTACTGCACGCTCTACGCAAATCGTAAGTAAAGGTGACTAAGATACATGATTAGGGGTTGATACTAACGAGAAACAGAACAAAACGGTGGCGACAAGACCAATTATCGGCGATTATCACCGTCGGAAGTTGCCGGGGTATATACCGAAACCCTTGACCGACGATTTGAGAAGATGGAGAAGAGCTACCGAGAAAAGGTACTTGAAGTGATGAGATGGGAAGATTCGAACCTCCTAAAGCACATCGAAAAGCATCGGTTGGAGCAGTGGGCTAAGGAGACGCGGAAGTACGCAGAGGAGGCTGTCGACCAGCAGTACGACGAGTCTACGGCGGCCGGAGCAGCGCTAAGTTCGCCCAAGTCCGGGACCGCGAGGAAGCAAATCAGGGCGTTTGAGGGCACGAACGGACAAAATGGTACACATTAAATACTTGGCATCAAAATTTAAGGTCCTTTCAAGGACGTAATGCACTGGAGGAGCACTGGAGTTGTGAGGTTCATTTCTTGTACGATACTGCATTTTGCTTTGCCTGCGTTATATAATCGCTGTAAGGCATTGGGTCAAAGGAAAAAGTTGGTGAGGATAGGAAGGATCTCCGCGGAGCCATTCCCGGCGTAGACCAGAACAGAATACGATACTTAAGGCTTTTCTACGGGGCGGAGGCAAGATTGCTTTGCTACTACTCAAGACTACGCTTTTTATTATGTAGCCTCTGCTTGGCTGTGCTACCTTTCTATGGTGATGGTAATGTGGTTAGAAGGTTTAGAAAATGTCTGATGTGGCTCGATAATAACTGATGAATACTATAGGGGTATAAATACAATATGCAATGACGTTTAGAGGCTCTATAATGTTCTTTGGTACGACATGGCAAGTAATGAACCAGAATGCGATTAGGATCAGTGTCTTCTCAAAGCTTTGACATGTAATAATGTTAATATTCCAGACTCAATGACTTTACTCCCTTATGACTTCAGTTCCAGTACTATACGGACCCAACCCAGAATGTTTCTAGTGGTTGAAATACTCGCTCCCGCTCCTACCTTTTTGTCAGCATCATTACAAGCCACGCAATCCCCGACTAGACTCACCACGAAGGAACCGTTGCCATGAAATCCGCATTCTACCTTGTATCTAATTTAAGTAACGGCTATCATGTTATACATATGAAACTTGTTGCATAGTAGCTGGAGATCGGAGGGCATCTTGATAATGTATGTTCACGGTAGCAAAGGAAGAATGATTATGGAAATGTCGTAAATAGTCGTCAGTCATCTAATAAAACAAGGGAATACATCAATAATGGGGTATCACTAAGCGTTTCCGTTTTCAACATCATCTTTCCGAAGGACTTGGACCCTCCCGGTTCTCTTACACCTTGCAACGACCACTATCGGATCGCTCTTCAATATCTCCTTCACGATGATATCATCTCGCGACTGGGGACTGACTTGTAGAACATCGACCGCTTCCTCTGAAATAAGCTGAGAAATGGTGTGCCAAATATGACCTTGCTTCGAGAATCTGGTCCGAAGTATAAATACAAACGTGACGACAATGATGCTTATGACGTTGGCGCATGCCATGCCCGCAACGATGGCAAGTCCCGTCCACCGCACGGGCACGGTTACGGAAACAGCCTGAGTTATGCTCACGTTCGCAGGTATGTCCAGTGTAGGCAGGTTAGTGTAGTGCATCGACATGGCCATAATCGTAAAAGCCGCTTGTATGGCTAGCGCAGGTCGATTGGTATACTGTAAGGTGTCCATGAATACCCTCACGTAGTCCACAAAAGGGTTGATGCTCGATACCCCGTAGCTAGCGCTATCCCCATTGATCGTAATGCCAGAAGGAGGATCTGGGATACCAAAGATTCCTGAGGTGATTGCACCATCCAGATAATGAAGGAGCCTAGAATTTATTGTCGTATTGCTAATCGAGTTGATAGTAAGGAGCTGTCTGCCTGACGGGGTCTGTGACTGGAGGTTCACGCTAAGGAGGGTCCGGACGGCAGTTGTATCGATAGTCTCCAGCTTAGGGTCGTAGGGGACTATAGGTTCAACTGTATCGTGAGTAGTAGACATATCCACATAGGACAGGTCCCATAAGAATTCGGAGAAGCAAAGTGACACGTCTAGAGTGATATTGTCACCAACTTGCCACCTGGTCCATTCATCGACCCGGCTGGGATTGTCGGGGATCTTGCTAACATTATTCTTTATAAACGACCAATCGTCGAATGACCCATTATTCCGCGTAACCAGAGACACCATCGATTGGGGTGTGATTGGACTATTGCGACCGTCACTGAAGAATGTAAAATTCTCGGTGTCGATCACGTTTGATATGTCTGGAAAACAGTTATATGTGCCTACCCGACCTGGTATGTCAGACGTAGGCATAGTGCAGTTGAACTGGGAGGGTAGGCATTTTCCGTTGGCGCAGAGAGGCGGTATATCAAGGCCAGCGTTGTTGAACGTAGCTTCGTACGAGATGTTTCCGACCATTGTGAGAACGAATGGTAACGGTTTTGAGCCCGGATCGATCGTCTGAAACTCTCCGCTTAGAACCGGCGCCGCGCAAGCTACTCTAGAGTTGAATCCATAAGCACCACCGCTGTAATGGATGTTTTTCCCTGTATGCCAAATTGAACCATCTTGATCAAGGTAGCAGTGAGAGCAATATTCGTTGGAATGGTTAAACCATAGTAACTAGTAAGCCACTATTATCTCATCGTTGACGAGAGAGCGGTCGCTTGTACTTTTCATATCTTTTGAAGCGCATTTTCAAGGCAGCCGAGCAAGGAGCAACCATTTACCTAGTCATCATGGATGCATCCCTGGTGTATTTCGCCCTTTGATGGCGCATTTGGCCATGGGCGGTTATGTCGTCTCGGCCCCCGATAGCCACGTTTGAAATAGACCATTCTCCATTCCAATGGGGCCCAATATCGAATATGCATATTCCTCGCGGCCGTCGATGCTGAAGGATTGTAGCCCCTGCTGGATACCTCTAGCTGCTCCAGCCCTATTAGCTTGGTTCCCTAGTTGTGCGGTTAACGTTGTATTGGAGAATAGTCTGTCGGACGTCACCAAACGAGCTTAACAGCAACATGTTCGTGAATTAAATGGTGACGCTGGCCAGTACGCATAGCAACCTCTCTCGATATTTTCTCGATATTTATCACACTTGACACTTATCCTTACTTATTTTTCTATATATCTTTTGAACTGTCAAGCTGCCCTGCGAGTTGAACACCTAGCTGCTCTAACCACAGCTTTGACCGACTCTCTGGTAGCTGCTGTATTTCTGAATACGGTGGACGGGTTGATCGTATATGGTTCCACCCTCAGCTATAAGTAATTGAAGCCATTTCGAAGAGGTTTATGAAATAATCTAGCCGGAGCTTAGAATTGTGGTCTGCTTTTATCACTTAGAAAAAGAGGTAGGTATTCCGATAGACGTAAAAGCCACGTATACCATCGGTAAAACATAAGTAAATCCTGTGAATTCAGAATGGCAGAATCTAACACAAGAAAAAAGAAAGCTCTTATCATAACTTTCTATAGCTTGAACTTAATCTGGCCGTTTGGAAAGGGTATTATCTAAGGAAAAGGAGGTAACTGCGAATCTATCAGGACAGCCCTGGTACTACAAAAATAAGAATGACGTCATCCACTCACAAATATTATTCCTTCGCATAAAAAATATCAATTGGGCTGCACGTGAAACCTAGATTGAGGCTCCTAAACGTCCTCCTTAACATGTCGCACAAAGAAAAAGTCTTCGCATTTCATTCCCATTTCATTTCCCGCCCGGGTATAAATTGGTAAACCTATATTGTAATAGCAGATTCTGCAGGCTCCCGGTATCAGCGCAAAGCCAACTCATTACCCAATACTAATTGGTCTAAGATAGTGCCCGCATGTCAGTAACCTATGATAGAACGCTGTGGACGGGACTCCGCAGCGCAAACGTCTACGAAGGCTCATGGCCAGTCTTCACCATCTCTTAGCAGAACGAATTGACAAATCGGGCGCCCGGACCATGTTATCATCGATCTTCCTCCACGATAGACCCGCAACCCGCGCCAACTACGCATTCTCATTCGGTTCGCCTTATGAATTCAAATCGGTAAGTAGGTAGGTACAGATGAACGTCAGGATCACTGGCATCTGCACATCACCTCCGCGGGGTCAGAAATTGGCACGTTCGTCTATTTCAATGCGGCATTGGTACAGTTCTCTAATATAGCCCTACGGCTTTGATATGTAGGTGAGACGTGGTGCCAATCTGAGAGCCTACCTACATAAGCACCTTTGTCAATCAATACTAAGTATCATAGGAGTCTACTCACCGATGCTGTTTGAAGCTTATCTTTATAAGTACCGTAGCTACATATTCAAGTGGAGCCTCTGATACATATTATAGATCGAGAATATGTAAGGTAGAAATGCCCGGATTCAATGTCTATCTTGGTTCTTCCAAGCTTTTCACAAACGAAGCAGTTCCGTCTACTTCCGTAGAGAGTCTTTAGAATTGTGACCCAACCGCTTCTTCAAAATGTCGGAATTATCGTCAACGACATCAACGCTGGATACTCCTCCAAGCCCACCCGATGAATCGACGGCGCTTCTCCCGAAGACGTCCCCGGCAGACGAACAGAGTCGATCCCCGCAGTACTGGGAATGGCTTTCGGAAATCTGGCTCTTGACCAAGGCTGCGATTCCAGTAATTCTCGCCTATACACTCCAGAACAGTCTCCAGACCATTTCTGTCTTAATTGTTGGTCGTCTTTCACCAGAAGCTTTAGCCACGGCGGCCTTCTGTTACAGTGAGTACATCATAACAGTTATTCTATACCGGCTTTATACCGGACCTAGAAAGAAGAGATTTCTAAACTCGCTGGTTGGTCGAGAGTCCACGATATGTACTTCGATATAGATTTCGCCATCCTAAATTAACCTTGAGGCTCTAGAGGAACTACCGCTAATATGAGATGATTGTCTATAGTGTTTGCAATGGCTACAGGCTGGTTGATTGCTATGGGAGGTACAACCGCGCTAGATACTCTCGCCTCGACAAGCTTTACCGGTTCGCAAGATAAACACGATCTTGGGATCCTTTTGCAACGAGGAATTGTCGTATTAACTTTATTTTACTGCGTGGTAGCTGTAATATGGGGTTTCTCTGAGCCCCTCTTCCGAGCGCTTGGGCAAGAAGAGTTTATCTGCGTTGAAGGCAGCAAATTTCTCCACATCTTGATACCGGGCGGACTAGGATATGTGTGGTTTGAATCCATGAAGAAGTATTTGCAAGCGCAAGCAATCTACCAACCTGGCACTTATGTTCTCCTTATCACCTCACCGCTCAACGCCCTGCTCAACTACCTATTCATTTACAAGTTGGACTTGGGTCTCTACGGCGCCCCTTTTGCTACGGGCATTTCGTATTGGATTTCCTTCCTACTTCTCGTTGCATATGCAGCCTTCGTACGCGGTCACGAATGCTGGGGTGGCCTTGCTCCTCGTCGTGCTCTCTCAAACTTGTGGCCGTTCGCGCGCCTTGCCGTCCTTGGAGTTGTTCACGTGGGTACGGAATGGTGGGCGTTCGAGATCGTCGCCCTGGCTGCCGGTAGACTAGGCACTATCACGCTCGCCGCGCAATCTGTCATCATGACGGCTGACCAGGTCATCAACACAGTCCCCTTTGGCCTAGGCGTCGCTACCTCTGCCCGCATAGGCAATCTCCTCGGCGCGCAGAAGCCCCGCGAGGCAGCGCGTGCCGCTCATTGCGCCGCCATCTTGTCGGTAATTCTCGGAACTGTTATTCTTACTATCTTGATGAGCACCAAGGATGTGTTCGGCAGGATTTTCAACGACGATGACCGTGTCGTCCGGCTTGTGTCGGACGTCATGCCGTACGTCGCCTTGTTCCAGATCGCGGATGGACTTAACGGGAGCTGCGGCGGCGTGCTGCGAGGTATGGGTCGGCAATGGGTTGGTGCTCTCGTTAACCTGATTAGCTACTACGGAGGAGCGCTGCCGGCGGGTATTTATCTTGCCTTCAACGGATGGGGCTTACAGGGCCTGTGGGTCGGACAGTGTGTCGCTTTATACCTTGTTGGAATTTTAGAATGGGTGATAGTTGGGCTGAGCAAATGGGACAAGGAGGTTCGTCGGGCGTTGGATAGACTCGACCATGGCGACGTTGCGGATGACGGCGTCCACGGAACGGGGGATATTACTGCTCGAGTTGAAGTATGAGCCGAGCTGCGAAAAGGGGTGAAAGCTATCCCCCAACTATTAGACGAAAACAGTATCGGACCTAGGCCCGATGAGGGCTCATCATCGGAAACAAGTCTGCGATGTATATTTAAGATTTATTTATCCATAGAATCATTGAAAGATACCGAATCTTAAAAAGCAAGAGATATTCAGTTTATTTTAGACTGCATTCCGGGTTATGAGTGAGCATGAGATACTTGGTGGATACCTATCCATTCGTCGTCCACGCCACGCAAAGTATAAAATACGGGTCGACGAGAGAATTAACTTGAGAAGTTCTTATTATGAATACCCTATTGGTATCTCAATTAACTAAAATCCGAATAATCCAGACACAAATGCTCGTTTGCCAAGCGTAATCCATACAATTCCTAATACACTCATCGATTGTTCCGTATTCCTAGTTCAAAGAGCAAAACCATTCCACCAACCACGTTGATGATTCTCCAATACGTCCAGGAAAAGATGAATTTAGGGCTTGCGTGTGACACACAATATTGGGGATTTTGCCCACGGTATATAAGCCGACCCTAACGCCAAACCCATCGTTCGCTTTCACATTCAAGCGTCTGTTCACTCCCCGTGGCCGTACAATCGATAGCCAGCGCATGTAACTCTCGTTCTCTCGTAAGGTCGTAGCACACACCCCACGCCATACCGAGTGATGGTAGCCGTCATTCCGATCAACGGCCTACACGCCTATCTGGGACATGTTAGGCCCGCGAACGGAACCGCCGACGCGCCGAAGCTCCTTCAGCACGAAGAAGAGGCTCGCGGCGAACGAGGCAAAGAGGAACCAGAGGAACACGGTGCTAGCCTGGATTTCGCGGCAGCGTTTCTCGTCGTTGTTGGAGCCGAAGGCGATATAATCGCTGGCTTTATTTGTCTACAGGATAGAGCGTCGTATCAGAAAGGAACGTTGCTTGTGGCTAGATAGACGAGACGATAAGGGGGAGTGACAGCTTACCAGATGAGAGCAGTTCACGGCTTGTAACTTGGCTGAGAGGACGACGGCGGCGATGAAGGTGAATAAGGTGGCGGCGCTGTCGAGACCGAGCGCGGCAACGGGGATAGAAACGGTGGGGACGAAATGCGAGATTATACCGTAGAGGACGGCGAGCCACGACAAGGCGCATACGAACATGGTGAAGTTGACGGCGGACTCGGAGCCGCTGATGTTGCTTGCGATGACATTGCCGATGAGCGCGGTAGTGAGCAAGACGAGAAGGAACTGCAATATGCGAAAGATCGACTTGATCATGGTCTCCATGGTGAAAATATTTGACTTATAACAAGCTAGGTACTCTGTACTGTTCGTATGCTGGAGTCGCAAGTGTTAATTCGATAGTAGTAACTGTAAGCGTTGACGGCGCAAAGACCGGGATCAACAAGATGATGGCGGTAGGTACGTAGCTAGAGGGTCAAATTGCCGGAGAAGACAATCAACGAAGATCTAGACAATGTTTGGGTTAGGTTAGGCTTTTCTTTGTTTCCTCGAGGAATAATAGGACGGTCGATCGTCCAAGTGATGAATGATGGGATTGGACTCGAGAGAGGAGTGAGTGTAACTTAAAGGGAGAAAGACCCGTACTTTAATCGGTTCAAGGTTGTGGAGGGTGTATAATTGGTCGAGAGTAGTTCTTTTTTAAGTGTAAGCTATGGGGTGTCGATGTCGATCAAATGATGCGCATCGATGTTTTCGATGTTGTCGCTAGAATGAATTAAGCAAAAGTCGATATGTCGATGACCTGTTGATCGGCAGTTGCGGGATAGATGGGTATGGTGTATGGTACTTTCCCATATATCTGCATATGTTTGTCGAACTATGACCTCATTGGACCTTCCCTCTCGTTCTAGAAGTAGTGACGTACACAAGGTCTTTGCTCTCAAACTGAACTGACGGATGGAAGTTTAAAGTTTTAACAATTCACTTCTGTGTGGTTTGTGCGTGTGGGCGTTACTTGAATTTATTACTTTGTTACATCTATTTATTATTTATTTCTCACCTTCTACTATATTCTTGGATGATATGATTCGAATCCGGCTTTTCTCCAGGTCATCAACATTTGTCCCCCGTCCTCCTTTGATTCCGAATTCAGGTACCTACATGCAATAAAGAAATTCATGTATCAGCGTCGTACCACCCTGGAAACCGTCCTTTGCGGTTGGCCCGGCAGTGTGCCCACAGCCAATCACGCCATATCTAGGGACTCCACATTACCTGCATACTCCGAAAGAAAACTTGCAAGGTTCCAATGTTGTAAGGTCTTTTGTTAACGATAAGATCTCGAGTTCCAGATGATTGGCTCATGTAGCTCCCTCACGGTTCGTGCTTGCCCCAGCAACCGCCAACCTTGGAACCGCTCAAGGTCCCTGCAGCTTTATTTCGTCTCGACTATGCGATTGCATATTATCAGCCAGTTGACTCTACGCGGGCTTAAAGGCTTGCGACGCGACGCGCTTGTCGCATAAAGCTAAGCCTCGCTGCACACCAGATGCTTACGCACCGAAGTATCTAATTTGCGATGTTCATATTAGGAAATTTACTTCGAAGCACTTGGACTTCTCAGGCAATTTATTATAAATAGGGCCGGACCCCCGAGTTTTATTCCATGTGACGATTTCTTCAAAATCACGTATAGACGTTAACGGTGATAGTTGGTCCAGGTGGACAGGTTAGGAAGTAGTTTAATCGATGCGAAAGACGGCATCTGACGCTAACAATAATACGAACGTTCACCCTTTCTATTGCATACTCGAAACAGGAGGTTTTGACTAACCGTCAATAGACCAATTGATGTCTATATCAGTAGTAGAAGCCTTTTTCGAATCCAACTTCTTAACCGACTCGGCCAATCTAAAAACACACCGGTTAATACATAGTACACGAGGCATGTGGTGGCTATGTTAAAAAAGAGATTCGATGCCTTATAAGCCATGGAGTTTCGATATTGAAAAGGCGACTTTCTAAATATATCGATTTATACGTCATGTTATAGCGTCCCTGGGCAAGTGATGGTTAGCCCCACGTTAATATCGAATCAATTCATGCGAATCGTGAACCGTAGGCTCGGTATCATGACTCTGGTAAGTTTCTAATTCTGAATGACGCGTACGTCACATGCGTGTGTAAGGGTCTCTCTCTCATTCTACAGAAACCAATGAACGTCACAGAGGTTTTCGTCTGTCTGCCTCAGTCGAGATTGAGTGTTTCCTCTTTTTGAGGAAAAGGGGATCTATTGAGCTAGGGACCATATATATATTCAGTGGATGTGTCGTCGCCTATTAGGATGTAGATTAGTAGTAGACTCCATCCTACTATGGTGCTTCCCTGTAGACATTTGTTACTGATATACGTTGGGACTAGAGGTTAAGGATTATGTAGTGTATTACCAATTCACGAATTCCCAGGAGGTTCAAATTCCTACGTACAGGCACTTGGTGATTATTTATAATGTGTCGAGAACTGTTAATCTTTCGAGGAAACCCTTCTGTTGATAATTACTTCAACTCTACTTGGCCATATTATCCCCCACAGTTGTTCTTAAACATTCCCGGAGATGTCGAGGAAAGTTCACTTCCACCTTGAGGAGGTATAGGTACGTTTCTGGCATTTGTACCAGCTATATTTTTTCTAACGAACATAAAATCTAAAATACATATCAGTTTAATTAGTCTATCTGATAATAAGTTTGATAGTCTTAAATGCATTCTATGTTCAATGTCTCAGGTACCTGCTATGTAGGTAGGTACCTTGCATTGCCGGATCGGAAAACTGTCAGGAGCTTTGATTGGATGTTAAGAGATCGAGACCCATCCATGCCAACCCTGAGTTTCCGGTACGTACCCGGAGATCGGCTCACAGTTGCATCACTGTACATGTACTTTGTACACAAAGCTCTTAATTTTTTTCCATCGGAGTTGTCGGTGTTTCTGAGCTCATCGTCGTGTCATCACACCTGTTCTCTAGGACAATAGCATGATATGCCTTTGGCCTACAACCCAATTGAGGAACAAACATAATCGGAGAAAAAAGGATACTTTCTTCTGATCTTGAGGACCTATCGGCAGGTTTAGACAGCTTATTGCGTGTTGTAGGGTTCCTGGCGCGGGTCCGGATATAGGTCTTCCTGCCTCTCCGAAGCTTCTCGACCGAAATCCTCCGGGTCTGTCAGCAACTTTTGCTAATTTCAACTCGCCCATACCACCCGCTCGGCTCGAAGCCAACACCATATTCAGTTAATTCCCGAAAGAGGAGATAATGTCACAAATTTATTCTTCCGCCGTCCAACCCATCTTCGGTTCAACAGGGGCGGGTGTGTTGCGACAAATTGTACCGAACGTAGGAAGGGCGGCATGGAGGCGGGCTTTTGTCTCGAAACCGCAGCAGTCTAGATTCTTCGTAGCTTCGAGGATTGCTACACATACGACACCGCGTCCGACGATATCCAACATTATATCTAATTGCTATAAGGCCTCCCTACGTTCGACCCGACGATCATTTCACAGAACCTCACGATTACGAGATGCCAAGTCTGCTCCGAAAAATTCTACCGCCGAAGAACCACAAGGAATCACGGCAAAATTAAAGAAGTTATCTAGAGAATATGGATGGGCGGCATTGGGTGTCTATCTTGGCTTAACCGTCCTAGACTTCCCTTTTTGCTTCTTACTAGTTCGATCGGTAGGAACGGAGAAGATTGGTTGGTGTTGGCGAGACTTCATTTCGATTGAGGTTGCTGACGCGTCTTAGGTGAAATCGAGCACTACGTGGTCTCAAACGTTTCCAAGTTAATACCGCAATCCGTCCGGAACTGGTGGAAGGAGTACAGAGAGGCTCTAAGAACTGCCAAGAAGGAACAACTAGGCGACGGAGAGACCAGCGAGCATGACGAAGTGGCTGATTGGGGCGTAGAGGAAGCTGAGAAAAGACATAAGGCCGAAGCCAGTAAGTTTTGGCAAGATATCGCTGATTTCGAAAATATGTCTAGGCTAACATAGGTACCAGGTCTTGGAACACAATTAGCTCTCGCCTACGCCATACATAAAAGTTTCATCTTTCTGCGAGTTCCTTTGACTGCCGCGATAACGCCTAAAGTAGTCAAAGTCCTCAGATCATGGGGTTGGAAGATTGGGAAGCGATCTAGCAAACGGTGATAAGTGGCTATCCTTTAGAACTCACGTGGGGATGACTTCGGCCACGAATTTCATGATCCCACCTCTGCCCCGAGCGATGGGTGTCCTTGCATGGGTTGGCGCTCGAGCAAAGGGTTTGTATACTAGGTCAAGAGGGCGTACGATCGACATGAGACCATTAGACTCACTCCACATAGAACATAATCATCAACAGCAATGATTAACATCTGGAATCTACTCTAGACGAGTTACGCGACAAGAACTTGGGTCATTACCTAAGACGCAACGATAGTCATAGTTATAGCAGCAATTAAGTTAGATTCCAAGAATGCCGACGACTCTCGAGTAGACTTTGTTCCATTGTAAGTGATAATCCTTAGTAAAACGATGTGAGATATGTAACGGACACGGGGATTTTCGAGGCTTTTTTAAAGTTTCTGTCTATTTCGAGTCGGTCCTAACGAAAACGGGGATTATCTTGAGCTAGACTATCTACATCAAGGTACGTATGAAGCCTCTTCTACTACCCAATCCACATCCTGCTTTACCCACCATTGATAGCCGCATGCACCGGACTTTGTCTTCCGAGATATTTCATACTATACATATAGTATAATATGTCGGACAAACGGACGGCAGATGATGATAAAGTTTACGATATTGTCTGGAATTTTGAGATTGTCAGGTACATAGTCGGTGCTGGTTATGGTACTCCCCATACTATGTATGAAAGCACTCAGTGGATAATACTCTCTCGGTATTGTCACAGACATAATATTTTTTCAGACTTGGTTTTCGAACTGAAACGTCCTAGATGCCGGGGCCAAAATATCACACGGCTCTACCGGTGTCTGGAATGCCTTCCACCCGGCCGTGTCGCACGCATAGTATGATCATGGTGATCAACGAAAATAAAATAAAGTTTGACGGATCTCCTTTAGTATGCGGCAAGGCCACAGTTATCGCCCACTTTCTTGCTGCTCCTCCTCGCCGTTCTCCACAACATCCACGCCATGGCTTCGCCGGAACGATATAAGTCTTACTATCTTCGACTTCAAGCATCCACTATGATTGAAAGACACGGTTATTCCGATTTTAACCTCGACATAACCACATTTGTTGTTGGTAGATAGCGTGACTCTTCCATTTGGCTACCCCTGACTAGGCAGTGAATCAGAAATATGTCAGTTAACTAGGTATTCTCCAGCACTCGTTCCTTCGGAATAGCACAAGATCCGACTTCTAATTGAAACATTTCAACAACTGCGCAATGGAGATAGAAAATACAAATCAGCCCGCAGGAACTCAAAACAAATCACCGATATATATATAGGACCCTGCCATGATCATGAAAACATTACGTCTGGCCCCTTTGAGCTCCCCGGCTATCAGAGTTCTAGTCGTTCAGCTGATCAAAGGGCTAAATTTATTACAGCCAGCATCCCTGTATGACAACGAATATCGGAACGTATTTGCAGGCCTGGAACTGAGTCGTCTAGTCTGGAATACGCCTGACATCATGGGTCTGGATACAGGGTCCAGCGCCAAGGACTGACACGCTACAACAAGGATCATATTTGTGGAAAGAGCCATAGTTACAGAGGCTATCTGTGTGGAGCTCGCGATAGTAAGCATGTCCCAAGGGAATGGAACAGAGGGTAGGGGGAGACATTCGAGAAAGATTGAACTCACGGATATGGGATACTGTCATGGTAATGAGAACACCTTTGGAGAGTGTTTCTGGCATCTGAGCTGAGTCGATACGTTCGACAGTTAGCCTAGACGACTACTTCCCCTATCTGCTCATTTGCTGGAGGATGATTGCTTTCCAATGGTCTCGACTCATCAGATCACACTGTACTTTATATCTACATGCACCCAGACAATCTTGTTAGCTTAGGACTTGCTATTAAGCACCAATTAGCCGTAAACGTTGGGAACGGAAATAGAAAATGTGGAATATCAAACACGAATAGAACCTAAAGGCAGTACAAAGTTCGACAAAAGAAGGCTAGGCGAGAAAATGGGTCTTTCCTTTCTCCGAGTCCCATTCGGATTGAGGCTAAGAAAGGGGGGTGGTCCTTCTAAAAGTCGTCTGCGCAGGTGTAGCCCCAGCTTCGGGGTCGCTCCGTAAGGTAAGTGTAACTGACTTGCACAGATACGCCACTTACATTAACCTACACAAAGCAGTATTAGGATTCTACTTAGGTTTTCGATCCTCTATCAGAGAAGGTTATACGTTACTCACAAATCTGTACACAACCCCTGGACGACCTTTCCAACCAAGATATAAAAGCAGGACAATCCCCCGCCATTCTCAGTCTTTTCATTGCATAACCAGCCAACGTATTAGCATACATTCATAAGTTTTCACATATCCTCCGAATAATCATCACCACTCTTATCATCGATTAGATGTATCGCTTTCCGAGACGTGAGACTGGGTGTACTATTAAGCCAACCACCGGGTGCACTGCCGAACAATCTACCAGCACGATGACGCAGGCCTACAGTCGTCGTAGGGGTAGCGAGCCCAGAAATAGACGTCGAAGGTCGAGATCAACACAGACCACAAATTGGCCACAGCAACATGCCAAGTCCACCCGAGTGCCAGAAATACTGAATGCCATGAGAGAAGGCCCCGAAGCACTGTGTCAACCGGAACTCAACAAAGTACTCGAACAGGCCCTGCGCGACGTCTGGAACAAGATACTAGACAACCCGCAGACCTACATTATGACGAGGGATGAGTTCGCTCTTTTCAACTTCTTTCAGCACCTGGAACTCAATGAAGAAGTGAAGTTGATAGCCCAAGGAGCAAGATATAACTATTGGAAGAACTTATGGGGGCCGCTAAAAAGCAATGTTATATCCTGATACCCTCTTCGTCATCCACGAGTATTGGATTTTGGCAGAGAAGTGTGCTTAAAGAATGCTGGAAACAGGACAATTCCAGAGACTGCGCAGAGAACATAGACAACGGCTAGCGATACCCCAACTTGCGTTAATGAGCTTCAACAGCGGAGGAAAGGAGAACGGGGCGTAAATGGGGCATGCTCAATGAATCTTGTTACGATAAATCAATTAATAGAGGAAGCGACGTTCAATCAATGATACGATGGATTCTAACAACTACGTTGAGAATTAGGTTAAGTTTGAAAGAAAAAGGTTTGTGGCACACGCCATAAGTTGCCCCTCCTGACGGCGGACGATCGTCCCGTCCCCCTGCCAACGTATCTGTCACCTACTAAGCTCATTATTAACCTTCTTACTTCTAAATTCAATTGAGCCTCTTCAACGCCAAACGCAAGCTGCCTAGATACCTGGCGATATGGATGAGATCTTTTATGAATTATAGCCTCCCACTTTGGGCATCGTGACCTACTTATCCTAACGAGCGAGTACCATGTCATGAGCTACATACCTCGCTCTTCACGCATAGTTTAATGTACATGCTTATGCATTAATATCCTGGTTCATTCATACTGGACACTTCGACATGGCTATTAGGGCCTCTGAGAAGGCAACGCCCAATTTCACGGTTCGGCGTCAAGATCAGCTGAATTGGAACGTCAGGCGATCGATTGCCAATGTCGACGATGGAAATCGATTGAAGTCCAAGCTAGTATTGGCTTTACTGTGCCTACTATCGTTAGTATGGTTGGCAAGAATATACTCGGGTCTTCCTCTCCTAACTTCTTCAACAATAAACCCAGCCAGCCGATCCGAATTGGAATTGTTTCAAGGTTCATCCAATGCACCCAACTCACCTGAAGTATTGGAGTGTTTTCAAGTTTCCCAGCCGGTGTTGAGCCCCGATGGTCTACCTTCAAAGTCGACAGCCAGTGTCGGGCAAAGAGCTGCAAGGGAAGATGACCCCGATAAGTCTTGCTCGGTCTTATTGATGGATCATGTTTTTGGGTTTAGTTATGGCAAGCCTTTCGTCGGTATGTCCAAATTTATCTAAGTTCATATCCGCTGGGCAGTGATCTCTGACAAGTAACAGGAACTTATACGCCACCAGATTGTCCTTTCAATCGAATTATTATGAACTTGACTGTAGTTTCACAGGGTCGCCAATTTGACCGCCTAGCACTGATGTATTTCGGCGATACCGAGGTATGGCGGACTTCAACTGCGGAACCAACTCAACCGCCCGGGATTCGTTGGACCTTCTTAAAGGATATGTCGGAATATTTGTACTTTTGGAAATCTCCCCAGAAGTTGATCTTCGATCTAGGGAACTTGCTGGATGATAAATACACCGGATCATTCAATGCTACCCTGACTGCGACCTTCTTCCTGGCCAATGCCGAAACTGGTAAACCTCCGGCTGACATGATTATCCCTGTATCCGCGAGAAAGGCGGCAGAAAATGGGCCAAGCCATTTCACATTACCGACAGAAAATGCAACAAATACGATGAGCCTTCCCCGAAATGTCAATAGAGCTGTCTTCTCCATATCTGCTAATGGACAGGCCGCCGAGGAGTTCTGGTGGGGCAATGTTCTTCAAAGCGATGTCGACACGTTCAGCCAGACTACGGGGAAGTTGCTCGGTCTGTCACCCTTTCGCGAGGTCCAGTTGCTTATCGACGGCAGCCTCGCGGGGATCCAATGGCCCTTTCCGGTGATATTCACCGGTGGAGTGGTACCTAGCTTGCATCGACCTATCGTGGGTTTACAAGCCTTCGACTTAAGAGAGCATCAAATCGATATTACTCCATTTCTTCCTCTGCTATGCGACGGGGCCGAACACACATTCGCAATCAAAGTTGCCGGGCTGAATGATCGGGATAATGCCAGCACTACGCTGACAGATACCGTCAATGACAGCTGGTATGTCACAGGCAAAATCTTCCTATGGTTAGACGAAGAAGGTTCGGTCACCACCGGTGCTAGCGCCGTAGTGGAGTACGATGAGCCAACCATTTCACTCTCTCACCGTGTCACGCAGAATGCCACTGGTTTCAACGAGACTTTGGCTTTTGAAACATTCGTCGAGAGAACACTGACTGTCAGATCAACTATCAATTCAAAGAGCTACACTGGAGAAAGTACTTGGTCTCAAATCCTTTCGTATTCAAACCGAGCAGTGGTGTCAAACTTTGGATTTACCGAGATTAACAATTTCACCATTACCGGAGTCGATTCTTCGACAGGGTCTAGCACCCCATATAAGACCGTCTATACGTATCCTCTGTACTGTAATCAAACAGTCTCAACGTCCTCGCAGGGTAACCTAACAATAAGTGCGCATTTGATACAAGGGTTCCAGCTTCAGGTTGAAGGCAGTCCCGTCTTCCCAACAGGTCTAGAGGCGTTCGAAGACGTCTCTGCTACTAGAAAGGGCCCGTATGCCGTGTCACATTTGAACACCTACCGCGACGGCACAGCATTCTTCTCTCAGACGGGGGATCGTAAAAGTAGCTTCGGCTATGGTACAACCAACCAGGTTTTCCGCTTCGGTGGTTCTGATAGCAGTGGCACTCACGACACCGATGGTGATATCGACGAGCTCTATTTCCGAAATGTAACAGCAGCAAACGGTACTATATTGTCCGATTCCGAGAGGATAAAGGGCATGGAGACATATAGTTTCAAGCGAAAATGGCAACCTAACAGCCTCCCAGAGGCATCGTTGGCCTTGTTCGCTCATACTTCTGATGTGGCCAGAGGATTTAAAACACCAGCAGGGAAAGGTATCGATTATAATGGGATGTACGAATTACCTTTAGTACAGGTTCAGATTCCATAGGTTCGTTGGGTCTCTCGTTGGGAGCATTATCACTGTGATAGAGGCATAGTATTACTCATTATTAATTGTAAGGGACTCCAACTATCATTATAGGGCTTCATACCTGTCAAAGGCCAACGCCTAAGGCGTGTCCAATCAGTTGCAGCTTTCCCTGTCGGTTTCATATGAATGTGCCTGCTGATTGATTTACGTCTGCATATTGATATCAGTTTGCTAGACTTTCCACCCCACTCCGAGGCAGATATTAGACCAAGTTTGCCAGCTCAGATAAGCCAAAAACCAGGCAAATACGTCGTACATTTCCAATCCCGTTCCTGAAATTAGCGACCCAGTTAATGCGGCAGTCGCCGAGATCATTATGGAAACATGGTCTCATTCCACGTGGCTACATGACTCGCTTGAAAGGGGATATCAGGATCTGGTGAAGGGCCCACACATGGCTAGATATTATCACGGGTGCTATAAAACTTTGATTCGGAACTAATGTAACTAGAACTTAGGTAGTTTGGTGTATGGCCTTACAGGTGCGCTTTCGCTTGTCGGGCTGGATCTTTGGGAGCTTTCCTAGCGCAAAGAGCTCGTTGTCTCTCACAGTGAATATGGGATTCGTCACTTTTTGTGCGTTGCATATGTGAGAAATAATAAGATACGTACTAGTACGATATGGGGTGCACGTCGACTATGCTTGGCCCCCATATGAAGATAATTCAGCTGATTAAGGCCTTTCTCGCGGGGCTATGAATTTCATAAGGTAGATCTAAGCACCTTTCGTTGCTCATCAGTATCCCACTGTTATCGGCCTATCCGAACGGGTGTGACGAAAAACTAGGGGGTCTTGTTAATGATAGAAGCTGTCTAACATAGGCAGGCAATTCAGATTTACTGTGGCATTTCAACCCTTACAAGTACTAGAAAATTCGAGATAATTTGATTCCTGGATTTGGATTGGTAAGGCTTAGTTAGTCAAGTATAATTAGGTCGTCAGAATAAGGACATTTATACCTACCTAGGTATGTGGCCTGGCAGCGACTGGCTACGCCTATCTTTGAACTTTGTTTTCTGCCAACTTTATAAGACCAAAGCATGTTATACTGTTTATGAGCTTATTTCCACGTAAAATTTCAGCTGCTGGGCTTCGTTGCTGGAGCACATTAATATAGATACTCAGATATTTATCTTCTTACCCCTTAAGTCGATGGGACATGTTGAGATGTCTCGACATGCTGATATCGTATTTCGATGAAACCACAAACATATCGAACACACGATCACTAATGAGTTATTCCAAATATTCTAAATAGAGATTCTCTTTGCTCCTTCTAGTGGATATCACATGCTCCCATCCCCATTATCCCATCAACACCTTGACCATACCTTCCAGGTAAGTTACCTACATATGCAAAAGTAAAAACAAAGGAATATATACAAGAATGCAAGCCCCATCGCATCGACCCTAACCCTCAGATGCGAGATGCTGCCCACTCCTGAAACCTAAACGCCACCTATATGCACACCGTGGGTTTCCATGTCCTATGTCACGTAGGAAGCTTCGAGAGTATGTATAAAACAGCCTATCACGCGCCATCATCCGGGATTCCGGCAACCTTTTCTGCCGTTTGAAGATAGTGTTGCTGATCCGCTTCCTTGATGCCCGCGTACCAGATGTTGGCCATCTTCTTGTATCCTTCGTCGGTCGGGTGGGTGCCATCCTTGTTCAAATCAGAGACCTTGGGGCCCGCGTCGCTCTGCATGTCGACCAAGACAAGTCGGTGCTTGGACGCCTGAAAATCCGCTGCTACCGTCTTGAACTGAGCGTTGATTTGCTTGACGCGGTCTTGCACTGCCTTGTTCCCGTTGACTAGAAGGGTGGATAGAATGACAGTGGCTCTAGGAGAATCCTTGTAGATGTCGTTGAGCATGTCCGTCATTCGTTTCCCGGCGTTGGGGATGTCCTTATTCTGGACGGCGTCGTTCGTCCCAACGTTTACGAGGATAAGGTTAGGTTTGTATTTGGGCACGGTGGTGTCCGCCTTGATGTGAACTTGGTCAATTCGGTAGCCTTTCCAGCCCTCGGTGTCGTTGTCCTTCATATCCCCACTTGGATTGTCTCCGACCATGTTGACCTTGTTGCCGTTCGATTCTAGTTGGCTCCGGAGATCTTCACGGTACCCGTTCCCGTCGGTGGAACCGTAGCCGTATGTGATAGAAGCACCTAAGGGCATTATTCGTAAGGGCATGCCATTCCCGAACCCCTTTGCTCGAGCATGGTGTGTGTCTCCTGACACAGTGCCGCCTTCAGTCTTTGGTAAACAGCGTCCTGGATATTGTTAGATTATAACTTGGCGAGATTGGGAAGAGAGGCTAACCATTTGCTACTTGCGAGGTGCATGCCAACAGGCACCATAGCAGGTGCTTAGTAGTCAACATTGGAAGAATGTCGTAAGTGTGAAAGGGTCTGGCTTAGGATAATGAATTTGGGCCGTAATAGATCGTACTATAGGTACCTTTATCAACTATGATACTTGATCGTATGTATGTTGTTTGCTCGTCGCGTGCTACCAAGGATTGATAATGGATCGCGTGGTTCAGACCCCAGGTATGGGGGCGTCCTGCCGCGGTATTTATCATTCTTGAGAACATTCCTTACTCACACGTCTTAAGACGACCACCAATGTCTTTAGGATTTGGTGGAGCCAACCCATGATGACTCCTGGAGTCAGTCCTCTGTTTCTTCATCCAGCCTGACAGCCCACCCCTGCTTCGGATGATAGTGGTAAGCATTGGGTCATCCCAGGAGCGATACAAGGCTGCGCTGAAGCCAGGAAGATCATTGAGGCGTTTACCTCGACAGTAAGATATAGCTCTAGCAAGGTAGAAGAGCCGTCAACGTTTAGCTAGTCCGCTTAGCTGTCTCACATATGGCATTCTGTGCCTTGCAGATCCAATGCAGGGGTTATCTTACACATAGCCACGGGAGGGCTGATTGGTAGGGCGTTGGCAATGCAGAATTGAATTACCGAATATATCGATATTGACGGGCTCATACTTCTATTCCTAGTCACGAATATTCCTCGCTTCCTTGCTTAGGTAGTCTCACCAGTATTTGCATCTGGTCGGCAGGGTATCCTAGGTACGTTCAGAGCTTTGAAATTTTGCAGTTGACCGACTTAATCTCTGGTACCTGGAAACCCCTCGTTGGGGAAAGGAAGAAGCTGAGGACTGGTGACTGTAGGATTGCCATCCTTCGAGTAGTATGTTTAGCGAGTGATGTTATACAGACGTGAAAGTTCAAACAAATCGGATCCGCAGAAAGAAGCCAAAGTTTGCTTCTAATAATAAAGAGGGAAGCTAAAAGCTGTCGAGATGCGGCAAGTTGGGGCGAATTGGCAGGGATGCGTACTTCCTCCTGCACCCTTTTTAGGTTTAGATCCCTGCTTCCCCACGCTGTAATTGGGCTGATTAGAGCTTGACAAGGAAAGATGCAGGTCCCTGTTTAAAAATATAAGCACCTAGCAATTCCCTGGTGGAAGGTTCCCACTTTCTCTGGTATCGAATCAAGTTCTAAGAAGGCCAGATTTCCGATTCTTTCATACCAAACATCTTACCTCCACCTACCAGCCTACCTATTTCGGCAATCAAATTAGGTCATTGACAATTTCAATAATACTACATGGGACGAAATCTCACTCAGCCTTAAATCTCAGCTGCAAGACTTTTCATCTGACATACTCGGCCGATCAATTGACCAACTTGTTGGAACCCGACCTTTCTCGATATTAACCCGAGCAGCCGAGTCACCTTGTATGACTATACGTTGAAGTTATCGCGAGATTGTATGTAGAACAGCTATGTACTTCCTAGGCGCCTAGGTACCTGGGTATCTAGGTATATGCAGGTAGACTTCTCAGCTTCTTGCAAACCATTCACCTTAGATCGAAATCAGTTTGTAAGTCTTATCATACAACCCACACTTACCTATTTAGGAAGAGGAAAAAAGAAAAAAAAGGCAAACACGTCACAGAAAATAGGAGATTGGGACCTCTTATCGAGCAGTTCCGTGATTTGGTATAACTTCTTGTCTCTTTTCTCCAGTTCCCAAAGTTGTTGTTACGCAAATTGTTCATTCGGTGGTTTGATTAAGTGAGATTGAACCTCTGACATCAGCTCCGCCCCTGTCTCTTAATTGGCTGTCGCGATCTTCCTCCGCATAGCCTCACTCTTCTCGCAGATAGCTCGACCGAATAGGCATCACTATTCCGATATTCTCCAAACCTTATGAAATTACTTGATCCCCGAATAAAGAATCACCGCACCTGACCTAACAGCCTCGATATCGAAGGTCTAGCGTCGGCTTTAACTAGATATCTACTATATACTTATCAGCCCATCCAGGGTCACTCAGTGCGTAGAATCCCTCTTGTGCTATTCTAGGAAGAAGCACATATGCCGATCAGTCATTATGATTCACTCCTGCCCAAGGCTATACTGTTCGTTTAATTTCTTTTCTCGCCATATATGTCGTGACAGGGACATATTCAGCTAGAATGATAAGTCTCGAAGTCCTGTCGGTCACTAGACGCATAAACCACGAAAATCTCACGCTTGTAACCACACTGAGTACTGTTGAGTCTTCACGAGCTGCCACGTTAGGCATCAAGTTTCGATAGGACTCTTCTACTTGTGGATGGAGTTAGAATAAGTGACCATCGTATTCGAGCCCACTTACATTGAGAAGTTGATCATTAGTTCAACCGATTTATACCACATAGTACGATAGAAATCTTAGTCCATCAAGCAATACCTAATTAATCCGCCGCATTATTACTACCCTGCAATAGGCTAGAAAGCAGCCGTTGTTTTTGATTTACATATATGTGTTCTAACCCCTAACCCGCCCTGGATCCTATGGATTACTTTCTAATCACGCCATCGTTGGAAGGAAGTTCGCCGACTCTTTCGGCTGTCTCGCTTATGATGCTTCCGCCTGGTCAAGCATTGAGGTATTGATGACATGAGCACTAAAGCTGCAATTGCCGACGCCTTCTCGCTCAAGAAACGAAGGGCTAGACGATGCCTAGTACCTATATGCGGCGTTAGCATCGTTCAATCACCTATGACATAAGTAGACCTGCGTCGTGAAATCATGGTTATCACTACCTAGGTATATTAGTCTCGGATGTAGCTGAAATTCGCTCTAATAATCGGCCTTGCCAGACTCATCAGCGTTGATCTACCCAAATTGAGATTCAATTCCTTTTTGCTTTGTGTACTCAAGCACCTAATCCATAAAGGCAATCATGAACCTCTAGCTAAAAAGGGATCTCAAATATCCGTCAAGGGAGATAGATTGGATCAATATACGATCTGATCTAGAAAGCCCAAATCTCGGCCCTGTATTGCCATCGTAAGGGGTTAGGATTCATCCCTTCCCCAAGTAACACTCATCGAAAGCAGGACCATACGAAACCATTCATCGACAGCCATTGCATCACGGCTTCATAGGAGATGGTCCGAATATGTAGCCCGAACGGAGTGTTAGAAATGAAGCCGGTGCCGACGAAGTTTGCTTGACATAGAATATATGTATTAGTCCTACTCAGAGAGACCAAGGTCCCCTTGGATACTTAGATATGGGTAACAAACAACAACCTCCTTTTGCTGTCATATCACAGTTGGCTCCCGTACCATAATTGAGATCTTGTATGTCTCTTTAAACGTGCCTGTTAACTCCTTGAGGTCAAATGTGAGCTCATCTATCTCTCGAAAGCCCAATTTTTCATACACCGGCTTGCCATCGGGCGTTGCTTCAAGGTACACCTTGAGGCCGCGAGCGTCGGCGAGAGCTAGCATGGGCAACATCATTGCCTTCGCAGCACCCCTCCGGTGATAATTTGGCGACGTGCACAGGAGCGATAGACCTGTATTGCCACTTAGGCGACGGACAGAATAAAGCATGCACTAATCTCATCACTTACCTAGCATGGTCTTCGCATTCTGTTTCTCTGACATATCCTTTAGAGCATTGAAGAAAATAGCACACAGTTCTGGTCGGGCGCCTTCCGGGATATCAATCGTAGGGGGCGTAGCAGCCTCGACAGGCGCGCTGTTCACAGGCATGTCTTCTCCTTGCGCCGCACCTCCCGCACCACGGTCTGCCGTGACGACCTGAGATACGTCGACGGCAGCCACTTCATCTTCAACCCACTCCCCGAAGACTATCTCGTGGCCTCCAGGTATGTCCCACCTAGTAAATGCCACCACCTCGCCGCTCAGTACGTCGGTAATCTTGAAATGTCTAGTGCTCCGATCTGCCATCTTTTTACGGATGCGACGCTTCATCCACGCCACCATAGTCTCCTTATCTTCCGGCCACCAAAAAGTGTTCCGCGGGTCCGTCTGGAACGCGACGTAGTATATCTCGGCCAATGCATCCGCGTCTGCGGCGGTACAGCGGGACATGGAGAAAGCCGGGGAGAGGGACGTCGGTATTGGAAAGGGTAACGCCATTTCTCTCTTTTCGCTTTCAACGCTATCGAATAACTAAGAATGAGCTTGTTTAGAACTGACCGATAAGACAATGGTCTCTGCAATAATTCAGAGCTGGGGAATTAGAATAAATACAGCCTACGATACATTTGACTAATATCGTGAGACGCCAACGGTCTTCCCGAAGAGGAAGTTATCCGTATCCACTGTCCTTAACTCCGATGGCGTTGCCGGTTGGCTAGCTGAGGGTATAGGTAGTGTCTTGCTACAGACCTAGTGCATGTTGCGCTCATTCGTTTCTCGCCGATGACTCCTACCGGCAAGAAATGAATGGCAAAGAACTTAGGAAAAAGCATGATACCATTTTAATCAGTTCAGTAAGACTTAAAAATTACGCAAATGATATGTCTGATGTAGAAGAGCATGACTTCATGCTTGCTTGATAGTTATGATAACACATATCGAGGAGGATATAGAGATAAATGTGTGTAGAAGGATGCTAAAACTAAGTGGCCAAGTAAGAGGCCTACCTACCCGTGTCTATTGGTTCTGAATCCAATCCTTCCTTACGGGTGCCGAGCATCGTCTTTATGTTCGACTAGAACCATAACGATTCCCACAGGCGTCCATATCAAAGCGACGAAATCGATACTACTACTTAGGAATATTTAGCTGCGTCACTAGACAAAACTATGTTCTCACCACTGCGATCATCCAATGAAAACCATGTATGTATGAGATATACCTAGTTGGATCATGTATTAGCGGTATATTTATGCGTGGCCCAGTCATACCACGATGAGCATAGAGCATATGTCATCCAGGATTATGAGACCAGCGTAAGACTCGTAAGTCTAGACGCCTGGGAATAACATTGTAGGCTCTTCGGGAGCAGGTAAGCTCTCGATGGGGTATTGTCCCGTCGTCCAGTACATAGTGAACTCACCGAGTACTCGGGTTATAACCCCCCGAACATCTGCTTGCTGCCATTGGCATCAAAGTTATGGGTGGGCCAATCGAGATTTCATTCTTCGAGAAAGCAATCTTATACCTTCTCACTGACCCAAATCGCACCCCTACACCCTAGTCGTATGACACCGGTTAATAGCCAGTGAGGCTCGGCCTTCTTCGCGTCATTATCGACAGCGTGGTCTAAGTGCTCTAGCTCTTCGTCTCGTATGCGCCGCAAAGTTTTCACAAGACTCTGGAGTTCCTCACCAACTTCGTAGCCTTCTGCTTCCCATTGATCGAACATCTCTAGCAGCGTCCGTATCTGATTGTTGTAGTGACCACCAATCTCAGTCTCTACGGCCTCCGTACAAGCCATTGCGGCCTCGCGCCCCATGACAGCGGTCGACCAGCCCAAGCCTGTCGCCAGGACGGACCAGAGCGGGTAGAGCGCTGTCGGGCGGACGCGGTGTTTGGCTATGAGGGAATTGAAGGTGTCGAAGTGGCCTTCTTCTTGAGCGTACATGTGGGCCATTAAAGGCCGGAGGTGTGGGTGCGCATTTATAAGAGGTGGCGTCTGGGCGGTATAGATCAGGGTCGCAGCTAATTCACCTGCTTGGTTCACACGGAGCTTTAAGAAGCGGCTTCTTAGTACGAGTTATATAACCCAATGGTTAACAAAGGGCCTTACAGCTGATGAGAGAAAATCACGTTGCTCTTTTGTGAGAGGTTTGCGTCTTGGTTTCTGAGCCGGAGCAGATGTCGAGTTTGCTGAGACCGTCGCATTGGATTTTGGAGTTGTGCTTAGGAATCGTCTTCGGACCGGCTGGGTAAAGGTACATGGAGTTGTGAGAGAGTCGTATAAGTATGCTGGTGATAGATTATGGCGCGCTATGTGCGTTTGTATTCGTACCCTCGGTAGAGACATGGTGGGAAGTTGACTCTGGAGTTGGAATTGGTTGTGATTCTACCATTACTGTAACTGACGTTATCTGCTTTGATGGCACGACTAACGATACCTAGTACTAGGTACAGTATACCTGGGTAAGCTAAAAGTGGATTATGTTACATGAAGCTAACCCAAGTAGGTGAAGCCAAAGGGACAGTACTATCCAATAGAAATCACGGAAAGAACAAAAAGCTTACTTAAGGGTCTAGACGTTAATAGAGTTTATCCAATCAATCAACAACAATCTTATCCCGTCTAGCTCGTCTCAATACTTTTACTACGTACCTACAATTTACTTTGAGCAGGCAATGAGGCTGTAAACTCAACGTCCTCAATTCTTTTGACTGACCTCCTTTATCAAATAGGGGATTGCTACCATCTCTCTATCGCTTCATTCTATTTTCTGAATATCATCATTTAGCTTAATTGCCGTTGTCTTTTTGAACCCTGTCAGTGTACCGATATATAGTACGATTCGCCTGCATCGCGCATCCTGTCGCGCATCCATCGCTGTCTCATCGCATTTGCCAAACCGCATCTGACGACCTAATCGTCGTTCCCGAGAACTCGACGCCCAAATAATATAGTGTCACTATGGCTGACCTTGAGGAGGAGATCCTAGCTCTTGTTGGCGGCGACGATGAATCGTCAGACGAGGAACAAGAGACAGGCATCAGTCATTCCGCGTCTAGGTCTCCCGATACCGATGCTAAGAAGCAGACAAAGGACCCGAAGCAGAAGCCTAGCAGAAGGAAACAAGATGAATCAGACGAGGAGGAAGGAGAAGCGTGAGTTTTGTACTTACCTTGTTATCGTCGTCGTTGTCGTTTTTGTTACTGCCGCCACGTCGCTCCTTCCCCATATCAAGCACGCTCTTCCTATTTTTAGTCCACCATCGCTCTCGCCAATGTCCTACACACCTCAGGGCAACTAACGCACTGATTCCCCCGGAAAAATTAATGTCAACCTCTACAACAGCAATACCACCCCCACTTGTTACCTGATTCCTTCACAGTACAAAATATTCACTTCAATACTTAGCCTTTGGCAGCCATCCCCAAAAGTTATTTGTTTGCCTCTCATCAGTTGGGGTTCGCCGATAGCCTTCTTTCCCACTCTCACCTTCTATCTGGCACCAACAACATAACCTACTCTTCTAACACTTCGCCATGCTTTATGACAGTTCTTCGGTTGCCTCCCCGGCTTCGCAGGATTCCGCGCCCATGGATGAATCCGATTCCGATGACGACGTTTTCCAGACGACCAACGCCAACGGAAAAGTAGACGACGATGACGATAACAAGTATCCCGTTGATGGACTCTATGCGAGCGAAACAGAGAAGGAGGAGATTTTAGCCATGCCTGAGCTCGACCGAGAACAATTGCTTTCCCAGCGCCAGGAGCATGTCGACCGCCAGCGGCAAAACACGCTGCTACGTCAGCTACTATTGAAGACGAGAGAGGATGATAGCCAGTCAGACAAGAAGCGCAAAGCGGGTTCCGCCGACCTAGATGACCCTCAGCGGAAGACCTCACGGCAGAGAACGAGAGTCGGTGGATCAAAGGTGGGCGAAACGAGCGCGGGAATCGAGTCCCTCCGCCGTGCCCGAGCCGAGAAGAGCGATCGGCTGCGCCGTAGAGAGGAGGATCGGGAACGTAACAAGAAGTCGTATTCCGCCTCGCGCGATAGTCCCGACCATGACATCGATGGCGACAGCGACGGTGGCTGGGCGGGCGCATCTAGAGACAGACATTCCAAGTCGCGAACCCCGGAAGTTAAGGAGATTCCATTTGCCGACTTGCGTGACGTTGAGCGAATCCGACTAGGTCGCACCCGGTTTGCCCAAGTCTGTTTCTTTCCTGGATTTGACGAAGCCATTACCGGTTGTTACGTTCGTGTTTCGCTTGGTCCGGGTCCCGATGGCGTGGCTGTCTATCGGATGGCCGTAATTAAAGGTATATTTTCATCTTAGATCTACGATCCTGGCGCCTCTGTACTAACAGTAGAATCTTAGGCTTCACGAAAGGCAAACCGTATGCTATGAATAAGCCAAACGGTCAACCTTTTGTCACCGATCAATACATCAAGGCCGCCCACGGCAAATCCGAGAGGGATTGGCCATTCATCATTTGCTCCGATTCCCCATTCACCGATGTATGTTATGGTTCTCCTATTCTATAAACTTGGTTCTAATTTTTTCCCCGCAGGCCGAGTTCAACCGCTACAGAAAGGTCTGCCAGGAAGAAGGCGTCGTTTTTCCCAGAAGACCAACATTAGATGCTAAGATTAACGACATTAATGCCCTCATAAACCATACCTGGACTAACACTGAGGTCAATGCCAAGATTGAACGAGAGCGAGCTCTTCTCAGTAAATTCCAACCCACGGAGCGGAATCGGCTAGTGAAATTAATTGATGAGGCTAAAGAACGTGGAGATGATGCGCGAGTTTCGGAGCTGCAAGACCAGCTAGACTCCCTTGAGACTCCGCGCTTGGCGTTTAAGACAAGCTTGACGCCATCTTCCAAGTCTACAAACTCGGCTCCCTCGCAGCAGGAGCGCTTAGCTGCCTTGAATGCCGAGAATCGCCGGCGCAACGTGGAAGCAGTGCGCAAGGCACAAATGAGCGAGAAGGCGAAAGCGCGCCAGATCGAGGCCCGCATTGCACGAGGAGAAGACGTTGACGGAGACACCTCGCGCCGTCTCAAAACCAAGCCCAAGTTCATGCAGGATATCAACGAGTCCGGCGAGCAAAAGTCGACGCCTACCAATGGCAGCGGTGCATCTACGCCGGCCAACGGAACGCCGAAGCAGACTGCCACTACGAAGTCGGTGGTGCTACCTCATCTACAGAAGCTCCAGGTACAAAACCACCAGACAGGCAAGGATAAGAAGGGGATGCCGCAGATCCATAAGCCAATCGTAGATGATGATATCATCGCATCTCTGGATCTTGATATCGAGGTTGATATCGACTAGACGGCTGAAGGGACGTAACGAGGTGTAAATTACTCTGGCACATATGCAATTTGTGCTTCGGTCTAATTCTTATACCACACATGGACCGAGGAATAGGGCATTGAACCTGCATTACGAGAGCTGCGCTATCGCGAGCTCGTTCACTTAGCTTAGCACGAGGTCCTACTCGATGAGGTAGAAACTTAGCTCCACATATTGCTGGTAGCAAGCAGGAACATCGATGCAATAAACGACCTGAATAAATGGACAAGTGTAGGATCATTGACTGAGACTATTCAGACAATGGATATCATTCCCTACCTACTTATGTGATTAGCCATTTTCATCCTGTGACCTGAGGTTGCCGTAGAATAGACGAGGGTTCTTGGTTGGCCGAATAGTTGGGTACCAAAGAACTGCCAGTTACTTAGGTGAGTAGGGTGAGCTAGCATGGATCGGCTGAGGTTGTGATGGCCACGGAGCTCCATGGAGTTCCACGGCATTCATGGCCGTGCTCTAGTCCTAGCCGTCCAAGTTGACAGGGCACATCGACCACGAAGCTTACTAATATGATGGGATGGTAACCACAAAGTTAATCCCCTTTAATTATGGCGTGATAAACCATGATTTGTAACTATTCGACAACTAAGTCCTTGATTAACAATACTTTTCTATGGGTCTTAGAAAGCATTCTTGACGAGGGCTACTTACTAATCGTGAAATCTGAAATGAATATCTCGAACCACCTGGCATATAGAACGTTTCATCCTCCCTGACAAGTACAAGTTCAGGAGAAGGCATACAAGAGATTTCTTAATACATTTAGAGCCCGCTATAATTTTAAGAGATTATCAACTGCCACGCTCATTCAAGATTCAAGTTAATCCAGATCGCTCCATTCTCTACTTTCTTGTTTTGAACCACGATGCCGGTAAACCGCTACGAGTCTGTTCCCTCTCCTATCTCACTCCTTGGTCAACCTCTCAAGTTCGAGTTCTCGGGAAGAGTAGCGAAAAATCGGTTTTACAAGGCGTCTATGATCGAGTGCCTAGCCACCTGGAGTCCGACGAATCTTGAGGAACGCGGCATCCCGACCAAAGAGCTCATTGAGCTATATCGAAGGCAAGTGCCAAAATAATGGGTAGTAAATATCATAACAATAGCTAATATAGATATTCAGATGGGGAGAGAACGAATGGGGTATCATTGGCACTGGTAGCATTGATATCGAGTTCGATATGGTAGGCTATGTCGGTGATGGTATCATCACCCCTGAATGTCCCCTTTCAGGTCCGCGTTTTGAGGCCTTTAAGGAAGTGGCAGCCGCGGCTAAGGCAAACGGCAGCTTGATCCTCGGGCAGATTAACCATCCTGGGCGCCAGCTGTTTGCTAAGATGAGAAAAGATACGATTTCGGCGTCGGCAATACAGATGCGTATGTGGGCACATGACTATTTCAACAAGAACCGAGAAAATGCCATTATATGCTAATGTGTATACAACACCACAGCACCAAAGACGGGCGCATACGCTGTTCCCCGCGAGGCTACGAAAGATGATATCGCGCGCATCATTGATGGGTTCTCCTACGCTGCCGAATATCTCCAGAAAGCAGGGTTTGACGGCATCGAAATTCATGGAGCACACGGGTATCTGGTTGCCCAATTCCTCTCGGAACTATCGAATCAGCGTACCGACAAGTACGGTGGTAGTCTCGAAAACCGTATGCGCCTCGTGGTTGAGATCGCCGAGGAAATCAGAAGGAGAACAGAGCCAGGTTTCATCCTCGGAATCAAGCTAAATTCTGTCGAATTTCAAGAAAAGGGAATCAAACCGGCAGAAGCCAAGGTCATGTGCGAGAAATTGCAAGAGCTGGGTTTCGATTTCGTCGAGCTCTCGGGCGGCAACCACGAGGAAATCGGCTACGGGAGCACGAAAGAGTCGACGCTGAAGCGAGAGGCTTACTTTCTCGAGTTTGTCCGCGACATTGTGCCGCACCTATCTAAGACGAAGAAATACCTCACCGGAGGGTTTCGTACCGTCGGCGCGATGGTGAAAGCCCTCGAAATCCTGGACGGTGTCGGCCTTGGCCGCCCCGCTACACAGGAGCCGCGTCTACCGAACGATATCCTCGCGGGTAAGGTCACCGGCGCTATTAGGCCGAGAGATGAGATCTTGGACGACCTCCCGAATTACTTAGCAGCGGCCGGAGCTCAGATAAAGCAGATTGCCGATGGTCGAGAGCCTGTTAACCTTAGCAACCCTACTGCGGTCGAGAGCCTCCTCAAGGAGCTAGTTAATCATTTTGCAAAAGTCGCGGCCGATGGCGACAAGATGGAATATAGGGGCTTCCCCGACCTGAAGAGTCCGGAGACGAACGCGCGCCCGTACGGTGAGGCTTACTAGATATTCTTGCCATTTCTTGATAATTATAGATGGTGATGGAATCAGGCCAAGACTTTTTCGTTCCCAATTAGTACGCTTTAGGTAGGGGCTTTGTGATGATCCGAGTCATAACTTGTTTAGTAATTCTAGTGGTATGCACATATTCCAACACGAAATACCGTTGCTAAGCCGTTTAATATGATTCAGGTTCCGGCCGCAAGTGTCAACTCACGATGGTTCGGGTATGAGGGTTGATTTTAATGACGAGACGTTACTACTAGCTTGGAATATGAAATTCGAATGTGTAAATAGACGGCTTAGATACATGTAATGTCTGGAGAGGATATCGAGAGTCGATATTGATATACCGAGATATGCATGTACTATAGAAACATGCCATTGAGCCAATTATAACGCCAGCAAATGATGAGATCGGCAATCTAGAAAAGGGGATTGGTCCAAGCTACTTTGCAAATGTGGGACGGCAAAGACAAAACGAATTCGTGATGTCATGGAATAGTGAACAAGCATAGCTTTGACCATTGAGAAGCTTCGGATTACAATTTACCTACCGATAACCCCAGCACTTTCAAGGTTGTGAGAGATGGATTACGACAGTGGCATGGTGCAAAGTACCCTATGTACCTGGATACCTGCAGGTGCCCGCTCGGGGGTGTCAAATCGGAAGGAAGGTAGAGCAATCAGGTATCATTTTGTAGAAGGTTCAAACGGCTCAAACGGTTCAAAGCACTTGCGTTGATGTCAAATCATCATCGACCGCCGACCCCTCACTTACCACTCACACATTTACTTACTACCTAACTTACTTGCAGACAAATCTACTCCTATTCGTTCGTTGCCCATGTCCGTTCCTCTCGCCATATCAACCGATAATTGGTAATACGCTGTAGTCTCTGCTCTTTCCCTTCTCTTTTTTTCTTTAACCTTCAAGGCGTCACCAGAATCGCCTTCTCTTAGCCCACCCTGTTTCATGAATCTCACAAGATCCTTGCCTCAACCTTCTGTAGATCGTATCCTTCTCAGAGCTAGGCCCAAGTCCACTTTAAGATTACAAACATATAAACCATCTAGGTTCATATCGACATCTGCAATTAGAGCCATGCCTCTATTCAAGCTTAAAGATGTCACCTCGCTATCACTGCAACCCGGCGATAAGCAGGAGGTTGAAGTCGAAGGTGTCGAGGGTGGCAAGGTGCTTCTCCTCAACGCCGGCGGCAAGATCCAGGCTCTAGGCGCAAAGTGTACACATTACGGCGCCCCTCTTGCAAAGGGAGTCTTGACCAAAAGTGGAAGATTGACTTGTCCTTGGCACGGAGGTCAGTCCACAGTTGTTTAGCCTACCCTTTTCTCTCCTCCCGGAATTTATATAACTGACCATCGCCTCTACTCCTCGTAGCTTGTTTTAATGGCCAGACCGGTGATATCGAGAACGCCCCTGCGTTAGATGCCTTGCCGGCATTCAAGGCCATTGAGAAGGATGGAGGTATATATATTGAAGGCGAGGAAGCCGTAATCAAAGCAGCGAAACGAAAGCCCAACTTCAAGTGCGCTACCAGCGACTCTACTAACAAGGTAGTTGTGGTTGGCGGCGGTAGTGGAGCGATCGGTGCTGTCGAAGGGTTGAGGGAGAAGGGATTCACGGGACAAATAACCATGATCTCTAATGAAGGCTATTTACCCATTGATCGTACCAAGCTATCCAAGGCCTTGATCACCGACCACACCAAGATCCAATGGAGAGACGATGAGTGGTTCAAATCCGGTTCGGTCGAGGTGGTACACGACGAAGTCGTCGACGTTGACCTTGTTAACAAGGCAGTCATTACTAAGAGCAAGGAGAAATACATCTATACCAAGCTCATCTTAGCAACTGGTGGTTCACCCCGGAATCTGCCTGTGCAAGGATTTAAGGTCCTCGAGAACATATTTCTGTTGAGAACGGTACATGACGCTAAGAAAATCGTCGACGCCATTGGCGACAAGGGCAAAAAGATCGTTATTGTCGGTAGTAGTTTCATTGGTATGGAGGTGGCCAATGCCACGGCCGCCGAAAACGAGGTCACCGTAGTCGGTCAGGAGAGCACACCTCTGGAGAGAGTATTGGGGAAGGAAGTCGGCGCTGGACTGCAAAAGGGGTTAGAAGGCAAAGGTGTCAAGTTCCACATGTCAGCCGGTGTAGACAAAGCCGAACCATCTAGCTCGAACCCATCCAAGGTTGGCTCGGTGCATCTAAAGGATGGTACAAAACTTGAGGCTGACTTGGTCGTGTTGGGAGTCGGTGTGGCCCCCTCGACGGGATATCTTAAAGACAACAAGGTGATCCGACTGGAGGGAGATGGGTCCCTGAAGACGGATGACAACTTCCTCGTGGTTGGACTCAAGGACGTCTACGCCATCGGTGACATTGCTTCGTATCCCTACCATGGTCCAGGCGGCCAGGGCAATTACACGCGTATCGAACATTGGAACGTGGCGCAGAATCAGGGGCGAGTGGTGGCGCATCACATTATAAACCCGTCTCTGAAGTCGGATTTTTTCACTCCGATCTTTTGGTCTGCCTTGACAGGTCAGCTCCGATACTGCGGCAACACGGTAAATGGATGGGATGAGCTGGTCTTGCAAGGCAACCCAGGCGAAGGGAAGTTTGTGGCATATTATTGCAAGGGTGAGACTGTGGTAGCGGTGGCTAGTATGGGTGTAGATCCGGCAATGTCTCAATCGGCGGAGCTCATGAAGTCAGGTGGTATGCCGTCGAAGACAGAGCTCAAAGGTGGGCTGGACATCCTCAGTGTTTCGCTGTCGGCTTAGGTGGGAGGATCCATTAATGAAGCTCGTACACGGGATGCGATTTGTGTGCCTGAGTTAGCGTCAGGTACGAGTCAGTGGAGTTATTGTCTTGATCGACTCGATTCAGGGACCAGACTGCCAGATTTATGTAAGCAAGCAGGCAAGCAAGCACAAATGAAAGTCGCGGCTGTTTCTCCTTTTTCCTTTAGAGACGAATCGCCCGCCTTTTTGAAGTTTACACCATAGTTGTGTGCCGTGGTTCGCGATGCTGGGCCTGGTGCGTATGATAAATTGATTGGCTTACGGGTGCGTCATCGCACATGACTGTTCGACATCCCGGTCAGGTCTTGCGCAAATGCACCCCGCCTATCAATAAATGGCCAAGACGAACTGCACAATCAAACACGGTAACGCCGGTGATTTGTCCATGTGATTGGAGTCCCAACCTCTTCTTCAACGAGGGGCGGTATTGGCGTATGCTCTGCCAGATAGGTATATATCCCATGCCTATTCATTTACCCTCTGCCGTACACACTTTCATAATCAGGTGTCTTAGACATCACGATGGGTGAACAAGAATTACCAAGGTATTAATCTTATATAATTACAATATCCATTATCATATGACAAACCGGTACCCAAGAGTCAACTGGTGCTAGCACCGAGAATACAGGGGTGCTAGGGTACTTCAGGTACTTAGATATATCCATTTTATGGAGGTACCTAAGTATACTGCCTCCTTCCCATTACTACGAAATACCTACTACATACTGCGTACAATACGCTACATGTACAGCTATATACCTAGACAAGGCCCCCACCTGATCTAATCGTCTCTCCACTTCGAACTTTACAGCAATCGACGACGCGAGAATCAACCTTGATAACTTACTAAATTCAACTTCCGAATTTTCTTGTCTAATTCTTGTTCAAAAAAATTCCTCTCCTTTCGTTTTCCTTTATTTCTCTTGACGCCCTTTTTACGGGATTGTACATACTGGAGAGACAGTTATTAGACAGTCTTAATCCTTTCTTTTGCTTTCCAGACGGACGCGCCGAACGGCACATTTCGCTAACGTCGATCCACTCAAACTTCGACCAACGTCTGCCACTGTGTTCTCCCTTGGCAGGATACGGCAGAATACGAACGACGAAGAGGAAGTTCTCCTAATCCTTAAACTTCCCGGCAAATATCCATATCCATACCTCGCACTCCAGCATGCTGATCTCCCAGCTGTGCATGCGCAACGAAGTGACCGTTAGCCGTCGTTATGGCTGACCCTCTTCACCCCGCTACGGCTGTTTCCGGCAGCCGTGATGATGACGATCTTTCCGCGACATGTCACGAACCGGGACCTATGAAGTGTTGTTGTGGTTCTGTGGAGTGTGTCTTTCTGAGACACAATTGCTCTGTCCTCGCTAGCGTCGAGAAGGATGTCCACACGGCTGCGAGAATGGGCCAGGTACGTTTTCCTTGTTATTCCGTTCTTCCGTTATCTCGTTGGTCACCTCTGTAATGTGATCACGAAGCTGTGGCCACTGCCCAGGTGCCTAGGCATGCCGGGCTTAAGCCACCTAATGTCGCCAACAGCTCCCTCGAGTGAGGAGTCACGTCCACCTTAAGCTCACCTAGCTCTCTTTTAACCCACCAGCTTCCTATTCTTGTCTGCTCTTCCCCACTATGAGCTCTGGGGTGAATCAGCTGGATATACTATCTTGGGAATGTGTCTTTCTTTCGTTGCAATATATCGTTTCCGTCATTACTGCGCAATCTACATTCCACAACATTCTCTTAATAACAACATTTTTCATCATCATGATGGGGGTCTCTAACTCTCTAACTTTCGCGTTGCAGGCCCTGCTCGCCCGCCACGAAGCTTACATGGCCGATGCTGAGCGGGATCGCACTGAGCTTACCGCCAGGATTGAACAGTTGGAAGTCGATAACAAGGAGCTCGAGGCTAGGAATGCGAGGACGATCGAGGAGAATAGGAACCTGCTGGATCAGCTTGAGACGCTGAACACTACCGTCGTCGATTCTGAAGGCCGTATTACATCGCTCGAAGCTACTTTGCTCTCCTCACAACAGGCAGTCCGGCGCCTAGAAGGAGAAACGGCGCGTGCTGCCGCGCTAGAACGTCAGCTTGCGGCTTTAGAGCAAGAGCAGGCGGAGCTGCAAAGTTGCCTGAGCATGTCTCGGGAAGAGGCTCGATCTGCTGTATCAAGATGGAAGCGAGCTGAACGAGGTATTAATGATTTGCAGGAGCAACTAGAACGGATGGAGAAGGAAGCGAAGGAAGAAAGAGAATACCATGTCGAAGTGATGGGGCGCATAGAGAGACAGCGTGAAATGGAGAAGGAGTTGAACACTGCCGCCGGTCGACTAAAGGGGGCGGCCGCAGCCAAATCAATGGATCGTGGCCCCGGTATCGGGAGCAACGCGGTGTCGCATTTCGTCCGCGATCTTCTACAGGATAACGCTAATCTTCAATATGGTATCGCCGAACTGCGGGAGATGTTGATGAATTCCAATGATGAGATCCAGGCCCTACAGAACCAACTCATGTACCACCAGCCGTTGGGAGACGACCAGAACAGTGCTACCTCGACGCTGAGGGAGGAGCTCGAGTCCGAAAAACCCCAATCCGATGAGAAGAAGACACCTAAAACTCCCAAAGAGCTCCACATCCACCATCATTACCATTTGCCGAAATCGAAGCAAGAAGCAAAGAAGTCACGGAAGAAACGGCAATCACTCACACCTGGAACATTCACGCCGCCTGGAAATTTTGTGCCGAGTACACCTCCTAGCGAGCTGATACGGCATCAGTTCGGATCGCATGCGCATAGAGATTCTTTGCTATCTAATTACTGGTCTGCGTCTGATTTTACGCCCTCCTCGGTTCCTAGTTCACCTCGGTCAAATCGTCGGAATTCCCTATTTGATCATCCAATGGAATCTTTCCCCTGCTCGCCTACAACTAGTCTCGACCCAACGTCACCTACGTGGCATGCTAGTCATCAGAAGCAGCTTTCGAATATATCGTCTCGAGGTTTTCAACCATCAACAAACCCGGTCTTCATACAACCTACTCTCACGCACAGCCACGCGATTATCGAAGAATCTGATGACGAAGATAGTCCACCAGACCTAACTTCAGCGACAGACGAATCCTTCGCAGACGAGACGGCGTCCTTGAAAGATCAGGATGCGGCTAATGGGGATTTGTCGCTTGCTGGCGACACAGACAGTCATCGGATGCCGCTAGTTCGATTGCGCAGACCAGCGTCACACGAATCAGTAATATCGTTAACAGGGGGGCTTGACATTCACACGCTAAAATCTCGGCCTAGTCAGCTTACCATTGGCCAAATAGGTTCTACCTCTTCCGTCACGGGCAGTAGCATTGTCACAGCGCGGCCTATACTGTCCCGCGATAACGCGAAACGAAGCAGCGTAATGCTACGAGAGAGCTATGGGTCATCACCAGTGGAGAGTCTAAATTCTATTTCAGACTCGTCCATGCGAGGCCTTGGACCGTCGAAACTTGGTAGATGGGCCGGCTGGCGGCCTTGGGGTGGAGGAGCAAACTCCAACGCAGGCACTACATCGAGCAAGACTATTAAAGAGAGGAATAGTCAACAGTCACTTGGGCGCCCTCCGGGTATCAACCAGCCTGGTGCAATACCTGGTTTTTCAGAATATGTAGCTGCGGCGCAACGGAGAATACCGCCAGCCAAGATCCAGCCGGACAGTGTAGATCGCGACGCTCTGAGAGAAGGTCTTGGCGAAGGCGAGACTAGCATATAAGCGTTAGGTTGCCCTTCAGCCCCAACATAGTCACAGGATGATCGGAGCATACATGGGCTACGATAAACATTCCTATCTTCTTTTTTGTTTAACTATTGTACAGTACAACACTTGCCTGCTCCAGGATTTGGGATTGCGGAGCACTGGTTTTCGACCTTGATGGAACGCACATGGTTCGTGCGTGGCAGAAGAGGCATTATACAGAGCAACTTGCTGTTGGAACAACCCAGACAACGCGGGGAAACCGGTTAGTCAATATACCCCATAATAGGAAGTCGCCAGCAAAGAAGCACAGGACGGAGAACGCGGATATGATACCCTCCAAGACAGCTAGTCTACTTGCTAGCTCTTGATATTTATTTCTTTCCTTTGTTCATATTACTTGATATTGGGATTGCCTGTTACCAAATATTGGTAGATGTCATGCGGCCGTAGTCCTACACTATTGATATACTGTACAAGATGTGGGACACTTATCAATAATAGGATAGGCAGCCTAGGTACAATATATATGCAAGCATACATACCTACATACATACATACATAGAAGAGAATGTAAAAGTAGAATATTTTTATTTCATGTATGGTCGACCGTACGACCGTTGCTCGTCTTTACTTTGCATATCCGCAACTTTGGGTTGGCAGCGCAGTATATCGAAGGCTATGACGCAAAGCTCTACGGGACTGCTTAAAATTAGATCAACCGTGACGCGTGCCGTAGCATCTGGATAATGTAATTGGCTGGTAACTACCAAGCCTTGTCCGGCATGAAGGCCCCCTTGACCAGTCCATCCCAAAATGAGAGAACGGATAAGAGACAACACCCGATCCGGCTCATTAGAATCATTTTGCCATTTTCATTTTTTTTTACCTTCGGGAGCAAAGAGAGCTATAGCTACGTAAATATATAGTGCTTAGGTAACCTAGGTATCTCGAACATGAGCCAGAGCGCAGTCTTCCCATCCGTGCCGAATATAACATGCTCAAGCGCATACCTACTAGTAATGATTAAACGAGACAACTCCAGACCTCTATATAATGTAGGGCAGATAAAATACATATGGAATAGTCAAATGAAAGATGATCACTCCTGCCCGCCCTTTACTCTTTAGCCTGTCCTCCGTACGTAGGGACCTGTAAAGTTTGATTTGGAGACGCAGGGGATGATAAGGATATTTAGTCACTGTGAATTTATGTTAGTTGGATATTCCCCGCCAACTCAATGAGGGGAAACGCATGTTTGAACGTACTAGATTTCCTTGGGCGCCAGCAAGTCAGCCTGGTATAGCCAGTGGTTATCCTTCTCCTCAGCTTCAAGCCAGTCGTACGGGAATTGAACAAGGGTCCCCTGGATCATACCACACAACTCATCAGCCTCCTCACGGCCGAGAAGCTCGTACGGAAAGACAGGTCCGCGTCGACTACCCTTAGTAGTGGCTCGTCGGCGACGTCTCGTCGAGTTATGATTGTAGGGATTGGTCGTGGTTCCGGATTCTGGTGCTGATTTCTCACATGACGAGAAAGTTGCCCTCCGGTCTCGTTTTTCACTCTGAGGATCCAAATGCGCCGTGTCGACTTGGCCATCGTACGCCGGAAACGGAGTATCTCCGGCAGGCTGTACAGGCGATGGTGGTTCGACGGAATTCTTTGTACGAACCTTCTCTGTCTCGATGCCGAGGTCAGGCCTCGCGTCCTCTGACGCATGGCCGCCTTCGGACATTGGAACCTTTTCATTCAGGGCACCCGTGCTTCCGTTAGATATCACAACCTTTGGATTGCCTTCATTGCGCTGGTCAACGCGAAGCTTCTCAGAAACTTCAGGAGCTCCTTGTGCCGCAGCGGGCGCTGCGATGCCTGCTGCCACTCCACCAAGATGGCTCATTTGAGGGCTGATTTCAGACTCGTCATTCCTAGAACCTGCCATACTCTCTTTGAATCGACGCGCATAGTCCTCAAATTCGTTGTATTCCTTCCATGTGGTTACATCACTGTCGGGCATACATCTAAAAACTCGGCGGTACAACTTCGTGTTATTCGACGCAACTCTTGTCCAGATATCATCCCAAAATGCAGGGTTAACTGGATCGCGCATACAGTCCTTGTCGACTCGAGTAGGGACGATATCTGCGACTAGGGGGTTCAGCGGCTCATTCGTAGGCTTCCCGGACTCGTCTAGGCGCATTGGGGGGCCCCCTATATCGGTATCGTCCAGCACTGGTAATGGTGGAAGTTGTCCGTGGTGTGGTAGCTGGGATCTAGGTGATGGGTCTAGCTGGGCCGGGGGAAGCTCTTCATTGCCCTTACCAAGATCACGTTGAGACGAACCTTTAGAAGAGCCGTCGGGATGCGGTTCGCCGGATTTGGTACCAAGCCTATGATTAGAGGGGCCAGCCCTGTGGAGAAGGACTTCGTGTCCATTTATGACAGCGGAATCATTACCCTGATCAATCCCCTTGGCTTGCGCTGCTTTCCAGTGGTCCGGGCCGTAGCCCTCAACATCCCTATCATGTTTCTCGTTCCCATGTACTCGAAGATCACGTTCTGGTGACCTGTTTCTCGAACTTGACGAGGATGACGACGAGGATGAAGAAGAAGACGGGCGATCACGTTCTTCAATGGCAACATCATGGTTAAAGCTTGTCGCTCGGTGAAATGCGCTCGGACCTGCATGCGCCAATTCCTCCGCAGGCGGACTCTCATCATCGTCCCCATACATTTGACCCATCTCAGCTTCAAAACGTGCTTCCGCACTGAGCTCCGCTTGTCTCTCCTCTTCTGTTATTTCATCTACGTCTAATCCGAGATGCTCCCTCATCAATCTCATGCGAAGAGTGTGAGCAAATCGACCGACTCGGTAAGTCTCACCTGCCATCGTCGACCACATCATATCGGTATCTCGAACGATGGCGGCGACTTCCGAGTCCCGGTTGCCTAACATTGACCGTTCGTTGATATTAGCCGATCCTATCAGAACAACCCGATCATCGACGATGATAGTTTTAGCATGAATATATAGTTGCTCCGTCACAAGCTGGTTATGGGCGCCGATTCGGCCCCACTGCCTCAAACTGAAGAATGAGATATAATCTTCCGGTTCAATACCTACTGCTTGTAAACGGCCAAAGATCGAATTCGGCCCCCTGCAGATGCTTCGGTACTGAAATTGCATAATTAAACGTACGCTGCTCCCCTCAGCTTGGTCCACTGTGTTCTGGAAGCCAGGCATCAGAGGAATGAGAATGCAACACCGCCACTCCTCGTCTTTCTCATGGGCTCTAATAATACGCTCGACGAGAGCGTCGCCGATTCGATTTACCACTCTTGTGTTCAGTGTCTCGGTGCTCGTGATGAAGAACTGGTTTTCCATGTAAACGAAATGCTCAGATTCTTCGATAAGCTTCACGTATGCCGACTGGATACTATGCTCTCTCAAGTCTTTTGGGTATCCCAGGGACCAATCACCTGCCGAACGCAGGATCTGGACTTCACACGTCCCAGAAAGACCGAGAGCCTCGAGATCTACCGGATTGGCATCGGGGGGAGGAAGCAAGAAAGGTGTCGGCCGAGTGGGCTTCCTTTCACGTCGTAAGTAATTCCATCGCTGCACAAAATGACGGGTAAGATCGCGCGCTGGCTGGCCAACAACTTGCATGGCAATATCATGCCAAGGCATCCTCGGGACCTTGCTCCGATCGTACATCTCCTCGTAGGGCTCATTGAGCTTGAAGAAATCTAGGACACGCGGGTTCGAGTAGTCCTTGCCCGGGAAAAGTTGACAGTGCTCTGCATCACGGGGACGGTCCCCATCCGGCTCCATACCTGTTGGTCGATCGTCCGTGATTGGGTGTTGCGGGTTATCCCAACGGCCAAAACAGAGGTCAATGCCACCAAGGAAGGCCACATCGTGGTCGACGATGCAGACTTTTTCGTGGTGTGCGTAGAAAAACTGGTTCTTCTTCAATTGATTTGGCGACCTCAAGACCAGAATGTTATCGTGAAGATTAAGAAGTGAGAACTTCGTGTACTCCGAGTCTATCGGAATGGCTTGTTCCACATTTCGATATATGATGATGAAAACTTTAACACCTTCTTTGGCCTTCCTCTGAAGCAGACGATCCAGCCGCCACTTCTGACTGATGCAGGCTGGTCGCCGCATATATAGCTCAGGGCTTAGCCACCAGTCGTGGATGTAGATGACATCCTGCGCCATGCTTATGGCACGAGAGACGTTCCACATGTAATCTCGCCCATCGACTAACCATTGGGCAAATGCTGCTTTTCGTACAGGAGCGAAGCTATCAAATCTGTGGTGCTCATGCCATTGGGTCTGCTTCAGCATGTCGACGACGGACTCTTCGAACTGGCGTAGCACAGTCTGGTTACGGGAGAATAGCTTGATCTTCCGATCTGCGGAGTATAGCTTCAGGGTGTGGTGTTTCCCACGAGACTCGTCGTCGGTGAGATGGTTATCATCATTGTCGCCGCCCTTTTCTCCCTCGACCTTCAATTTCGCACCAAATCTTTTAAGGGTATTTTTCTTGGATACGACACGGAACAAAGGGTCCACAAGGTAGACATCGTATATATTCATAGTTGCCGGCGACTCGACGACAGCGATATAATTCTGTCTGACAAGAAACCACTTGCGACTGTGCCGCGCTATGACTTTTTGCGGACTAAGCACTCGTCTGAAGTCAATGCCTTTCGTTGACTGAATATGCAAATAGCATTCCTTTCCATGAAAGCTGCCCTCGGCGGCCAGTCGCACACCTAGAGCAGAGAGTTCCAGGAACTTACAGAGACGATTGCTGTCAGCACGAAACATCAGCCAATGCACCATCTCTTGTAGATACTTTTCTAGGGTTTTCCTCTGTCTCTCGATGTATTTCTTCTTCAGAGCAGCAGAATTCTGGACACTAGCCAGTGACGTTTCACCATTATCTCCGAGGCCCGAAGATTGTCGTCGTGGCAAAAATGTGTTGATGCGCGATTTCTTCCTATGGGCGTTCGGGCGTCTATCATTATCGCTAGCCGTGCCTTCGGCAGCAGTCCCTTCTCCGGCGGTACCTTCAGCAACCGTCTCGTCAGCTCTGGTCCCCGGTGGCTTTTCTTCTTCATCGGACTCCTCTAAGTTTTGGTAAGTTCGCAGATAAGGGAATGCCTTTCGCGGGAACCGAGGCTGCTTTGGACGGTTCTTCTGGTTTGTAGTAGTTTGAAGCGTGATGTCGTTCTTCAAAGACAACCTGTACTTCCAATGGATATTCCAAATCTCTCTGACGCTACGGGTGACGGTCCACCTCATCCGGCTCAATCCACTACCGTATTCCAAAGCGATCGTAAATATCGTATGTCTTTCGCTCGTGCTATCTTCCGGGCGGCTATCGACAACCCGTAAATTTAGCTGTTCCAGAAGAACAGGTATACGTTTGTTCCCATGTTCGTCTCTCTGCAACATACTGGCAAGGATGACAACAGCCGGCGTCACAGCTCGTAGTTCCGCCATGAGCTCAGCGGATTTGTAAAAGTCAAATTGGTCTGTCCTTCTTTTCCCTAACATTCGCAGCGTATGCTTTACCTGCTTCCACCTCTGCACGCCAAACGTTGCAGCCCGATCGGCACCCAAGAACGGCCGCCTCGGTGTAGTCAGCCAGTCACCGCCGTCGGACGTCCCACCCGCGCCAAACATCTCAGAGATGCGGCGCCGGTGGCCAGGGGTACGAGGTTGGACATTCTCGACATCTTCAGCCGAGGGATTCCCAGGCCGTGGAGAACCAATCCACGAGCTGCCACGCGTCCACGCAGGCCTTCGACCAGTCAAGTGGTCGCGACCTTCTCCCTCCGACATACCACCACGATGCTCGGCAGGTTCAGGCATTGTCGAACGCCTGACCATCGTGTTTAAGCGGCTTGGTCTCGGAGAGTCCAGATCATCGGGGAGGCGGGGAGAGTTCGGGGCAGTGAACATTTCTAACTGCTTAAGGCGACGTCGCATCCTCCTCCTTTTACTCTTGGGCGCGTCTCTATCATGACTTTCATCAGCACTTGCCTCCACATCGGCATCACTCCCCTCCTCTTCATCTAGGGTATCAGGGACGCGGTAGGATCTGCCTACGACGGGCGAGGCGTTAGCTGAGTGGGATGTCTGTTCAGAAGCGCCTGGAGACTTGGGTGGCTGTATGGCACCCGAGCTACCCAGGGTTGATCTCAGCTTCGAAATCCATCGCTCACCACGAGACCTATTCCTTGGATCCCCTTCATCCCATGAACCATGTCTGACATGTTGTCGAGGAGGATCGACTAAAACATCGGCGCGAGCAAATTGCACACTACGGCGCCCAGGAGAGGTCGGTTCTTCTTGTGCAGTAGCATCTCCTTCCGATCCTTGGAGCTCGGAATTTCTCAGGGGAGATGGAGATCGCAAAGCTGCCGGCTGGCTCAAAAATGAAGATGAGATGGCACTAAGGGGGGAGGCATTATCATGCGGCCGTCCTCCATTCAGATAGTCTGTTGGTTGCTCGGAGTTTGACCTTGCAGAAGAGGGAGAATGGGACGTTGTAGCATCGGGAGGTGGCAGGGGTTCGTTCGAAGCAGGAGATGGGGAGGATGGCGGATGGAGACGTGTATGCGGGAGAGAGGAAGTTCGAGGGTTCCATGTCGTAGAAGAGACCGAATCGTCGTGTTCCAGAGTAGACATATTCCTTGTTAGGTCGGCAGTCTGGTTTTGGAGGACGTGGTATTTGTATTTGTATTGCAGCTTAAGTTCGGTCTAGGTCTACCGATTCGACCGGAAGATCCAAGACGTCCCTGCAATCCGACGATATTCTCTCACTTACATAACATTGCCATTCTCTCCAGGTAAGACGCACCAAGGAAGACAAGGTAGGTAAGTGTTTTAGAGTCTCAATTGTATGTATGTAAGGTTGAAGAGTTTGAACGTCGTAAGATAAAAGGGAGTCGGATACTGGTTAATAATTGCAATAATTAAAGTCAGTCGCGGTTCCCTAGAAGATCTGCTGAGGAAGTAAAGAGCTAACGTTGTTGAGGGACCAATTAGACTAGTTCCCGGTGAACAAGGGCCTACCTAGGTACCCACGTGCATTATCGATAGACGCTATCTTGGTTTAGTTCAAATGTTAATAGAGCCTAGGTGCAACGTACGCAATTTAGAAGTGAGACGTCATTACAAACGAACCCATGGGTCTGACTGCCGTGTAAATTTAGGAAATTTAACCCTCTCTGCCCTTTCTATCCTGTTAATTACTACCTACCTCTTACTATTATTTTTTTTTATCTCGCTTGCAAGAACTTCACATTTTACATTTACATATGATGACAAATACCCCACTAGTACTGCCATTACAAGTCACTTCCCAATACTTGATCCAACAGGTCACGAACCTTTGCACTCTCCCATTGGGCCCTCCTTGTTGGTCCTGTACAGTCGCTTTATGTCAGCCAAGCAAGCACAATATGGATGTACACCGGTAACATCATTGATGCCTGCGAATGGTGAATCCAGAATCTGTGTGCCACCGAGACGAGCAACATGTACATTGGTGTTACATAGTTTTTGGTGCCTCATATGACTCCTTTAGTTATTAGAAAAAGGTATTGTTCCCATCGTGGTCCTACGGTGTCACTCCTCGTTGGAAGGATGTTTCTTCCCAAGGCGACCACCCCAAAGAACCATTGGCAGCTTTAGCTTAGAAGATACGTTATTGGCCTTACAGCCCGGCAGCATAGTAGTATACACGTTGGGATTGGTGGTTGAGGAAATGCCGTCGCGTTTGTTTTTACTTAGAATCATAGGGTGACGGTGTCGACGGTTCTAGATTTAATGTGCGACTGTCGTATCCATGGCAGTAATCAATGAACCACGTCTCAATGATCTTCTTTCTCTTCACAACATAACCATGACGATGATGAAGCGGAAATATCTTGGCTCATTCCAGGCACAAGTTCAAGCAGTAGTCAGACTTCATAATGCAGAGAGCTTCGCAAAGCAATGTGTCGAAAATATTTAGGTGGTTGGTTTAGAAGGAACGTTGAAAAACGTCAAGAAGGTTGAAACACGGTATCACGTCGTTTGACAGTTTTTGAGTATCGCTTTTGACGATAGCATGCGGAGCGAAACATCTCCTCGTGGGAGAGTATCATTGCCAACAATAAGACCCTTCTTCAAAGACTATGCAGTAATGTTCCATGTCACACACATTTAGCTTGAACTTCAACTTATCGTTAGACAAGCTTGTGAAAGTTGATATTGTGAGGTACTGTCACGAGGCGGAACCAAGAGGCCAGGGAAGAACGACGTTGTTGCGCGAAGGGCTCTAACTAATCCCTTCCTGGGGGTGCGGTATACGGTGACTATCAGCTCTCACGGAGGAGGCTTCCGACAGGTACTAACTATCTTGATACCTAGAGGTTGTATATTAAACACAAGTAGTTTCGGGATCCTAAACAATGAGACATCTTGTAAAAAGGCATGATAATATATTATAATTTACGAGTGGTAATCAAGTGTCCAGTTGCAAAATATCGTGGTAATATCGTATATTTAATATGTGACATATCTTTACGTTATACAGTTACTAATATCCATTATTTCACTAGTCCTTAAGCCTCAAGTGGTTTCATGCAAGTAAGCCGCCACGATAAATTATACGGTGTTTAGATATAGCATCTATTATACAACTATCATCTACTTCATTACAAGTTTTAACGACGGAAATATTCCCTCCTTGAGGACCAATGTTTTCGAACCATATCTGCCCCCCTCTTACTTCCCCTTGGTAACAAAATGGCTAATGGTTGAGCTTCCAACGCTACTCTCTCTTCAACGACCCGACCGGAAGGTTGAAAGGAGTTATACCATCGCCCCATAAACCCGCAGTGCCTGCCCAATCTTCTCTGGCGTTAGCATTATCTGTTCCTCTTCGCGGCAAGCATGAATAGCGAAGCGTCACTGGAAGTAGTACTTACAAGCCAAAGCCGCTGTAACAAACCCAGTCGCGCTAGCAGCCTTTAGGCACGCTTCTTGATCTAACATGTATCCGACAGCCAAGAGTATCAAGGTAAAGTCGACGAAGATGAGAGCTCCAAACAATGCCCACGAGCTTCGGACGGTGGCCACGGTAAATATCATACTAATGATAAACCAAGCCCAAACAAACATGGCTATAGCTTGGTCAAACTCGGCTAAGAGTTTGCCTGTGCTAGGATCAGAGTAGGCCGCCATAATGCCGCTCCCGGGGAGGAAAATCAGGGCGTAGGCAAGGTTGAAGGCAGCGTATGAAGTAAACAAGGTAGCTCCCAGCTGGAGAGGGGAATATCAGTACCACATCACACGATATACAAGAGAGCTCTAGTGGCTTGTTGACATACGGTATTTCCGGCGACGAACTCCATGATTCCAGCAATAAACTGGGCGGCCCCCCCGAAGAATACCAAATTGGGGAGTATGATATTAGGTACTTTCAAACCACGTGGTTCAAGACCGAGGAGAGAAATCATCCAAATACTCGTGGCGAAGGAAAGAAGTCCTAGTGGTGCCGGGTTGGCAAAGGCTCGAGGCACATAAGGCATACTAATCTGCTCGCGGGGCGAGATGGTCGCCTGCTTCTCTATGTCGGTCACCCTGCCGTCCGAGATCGACATTGTGAAAGGGGTCGAGATGATGTCTGAGGTACGAATGCAACGAAGAGTAGTTATGCGTCTGCAGCCTCAATGCGGACCAAGGTCAAGCTCTACCACCACCTGCAAGTGCTCTGTTGCTGACAGCGAGGAATATTAGGAACAGGTTGCTCAACGAGATAGAAACTGGAATGCAAGTAATAGGAGAAGCGGAGGTAGATGGATTCGAGAAGGGTAGCATCACTGGCTTATCATTGAATTAAAGACATACTGACACCAGCTAACACTTCATATAATATATCTGACGAGAGCGGCTGTTTTCAGCTAGTTGTTCACTAGGGGGTAGGTATGATAAACCCAGCTCTGTTCGACTGGGAAAGAGTCTAGACCTGGAAGACAGGTATTCCAGTTGCTACCGACTTCCCAAGTCCTCCAGGGTCCAAGCGAGTCTTCCACGGGAACGAATCCTACAAAACTACCTACGCAAGTTGTACTGTCCTAATATCAGGTTTTAGATACGAGGAAGAAGATTTAGTAATTATTTCCCTCTAGTTTTTCTCAGATAAAGTAATATGTCCACTCGAATCTAGAGTAATGGTTTCTCGTAACGTCCCTGGTCCACCGTATGTTTGAGGGCAGATACAACTCTTTTGCGCATTATAGTATATAATAGCCCTCAACTTCCTCGCTTACATCCGCCAGAAGACCTGTGAAAGTTTCTGGAGCCAGATATTATACACGCCACGGACAGAGGTGAAAGAACCGGGTAGTTACTTGAAAAGGATGACCAGGTGTAGAATGTTGGTAAGCACCTTGTTTAGGACCATGTTTTCGCGTGCTCGGAAAGGATAGGGGACATCAATTCGTTCTTTATTTAAGGTTAACTCCCATGCTTCATTGACTTTCTGACTTGCATTTTGATGATTCTTGGCATGTCACGCATCCGTCTCCACGAATCTCATCATTCGTTTTCGCGATGTCGTTGCCGGGGAAGGATGTCCGGAAGGATCTTCCCCCAACCCCCACGGAAATCTGATTTCCAGATACGGCCACAGACCCCTGTTTATTCATCGTACAAATTCTTGTGCCGTAGTAATCCCTACGTCCTGTATTACCTTCTTATTAACTCCGTGAATCTAAATGAGGCCTGGGGCGAAAAGGGATTGTGAGAACGATGAAGGCTTAGGTGAGAATCCTAAATCCTATTAATTATCATTACTGTACTGGTATATACTAGGTACGCAGGTACGTAGGTACTCACCAGGCGCCTAGGTAATCATCATATAGGTACTCAAAACTAGATACGTAGTAAATAGTTAAACTACAGACGTATATAGTAGTCGTACCTAGTCTATACTAGGGACGTTATATAACAGTTCTTAATTAGAGGGTCCTCGACTGCCGTTAGTTCGTAGCTAAAGGGATACAACATAACATATCTCACGTAGAATCCTAGATCCGCTACGGGGAGCCCACATTTCCCAAGGGAGGAGCCGTAAAAAGCTATGTCTCAAAAGGCAAAGAGGGAGTGCCCCCTGGTCTGCCTGTGGAGATTTGTTCGGGGAATACCCTGATACCTAGGTGGGTACGGAGATCAACAACGCTCAGCCCTCATCCCGCTGCATATCATGTCCCTAGCTGGGTTTCTTCCCGTTGCCGCTGATGTATTGTGCCTCCACAGCCATGACATTTTGTTAGAGCCCGTGCTCTGTGTATCTCCCTTCCACTACCTCGGTTGATCGATAGTAAGATTCTTAAATCTTTATCTAGGTTACCCGGATGAGTTATCCACGCCTTATAAATTTCTTCGATTTTACACATATACCCTACAGTAACCGTTTAATCGGTTACGTTTGGAATGTGCCTTTGTTTGCCGCCTTATGTGTGTCACATCCGGACTCGAGACGAACTGTAGTGTATGGAATTGCCTGGGATGGGGACCCTTCTCTCTTTTTTTCCCCCGAAGTAAGCATGAAGCCCGGGATTCCTCTGAGGTAATCGAAAATTTCGTGGTGATAGGAATAATCACGCATGTACGATCCTTTTCAGGTCTTTCGAGATCTGCATAGAACAATGGTACGTAATAAAAGCACTGCAGCCAGTGGCTGCCAGTGTCGATTCAACGTCTGCTTGGCCGCAGCGATCCGACAGCGCAGTGTAACGCATCGAGAAGGAGCTTAACGCAACCCTAGGATTATTTTCCATGTGCACGACAAAAGGATTGCCGTAGGAGGCAATCTTACGGTCGTCCCAATGACCGCGGTCCACCCCCTTCTACCCCTTCTGTGTTCGCAGCTCCAAGCACAAGGGTAAGCCCACCATCAGTCAACCAGTGTGGCGAGCATGATTTCTATGCCCGGCGCCCTTGAAATTTCCATCGCAATTGCGGGCATGGTGTTTCACTCCTTACCGGCTTCGTCTCCACCAGGCCGATACTTCAAACTGCCTACAGCGTAGGCCAGCCGCGCGTCGGTTCGGATTATATCATATTGAGATCGAATCTTCTGCTGAAATAGAATTCCTTTCTTGAATATCGTCTCTGGTTCAGTCGACACATCAGGAAGTTTAACCCCCGCGAGGCCACTGGGCCTAAGCACACAAAAAAAGAACAGCATGTCGGTCCTCGACAGCACGCACGCGCAGAGGCTCACCACCGGGATTGTGGTAACATGCCTTGCGCTGTCGATCATTTCTTTCGGACTTCGAATCTATGCGAGGCGAAAGTCGGCGGCAAACCTGTGGTGGGATGACTATTGGATGTCATTGCCCATGCTCATATGTATAGTTATGAGCACGAGTGACTTCGTCGGGCTCGTGTACGGTTCAGGCCAGCACCAAGCAGATTTGGACGAGCAGACCGTGCAAAGTTTCATGAAGGTGGGAAGGCATCTCGGCTCGTCCTTTCGACGCGCCTAAGACGAGGATCTGCTAACAGCTCGAACGAAATAGAACCTGTACCTCTACGAGATATTCTGGTCGATCGGCGTCTTCAGCGTGAAGGTCGGCATTCTGATGTTCTACTGGAGAGTCTTCCACACGAAAGCGTTTCGCGTATCGGCGATCGCAGTTGGGACGTTCTCCCTCATGATTTTTCTCATCAACTTCTTCACCTTTATTTTCCAGTGCACCCCAATCGAAAGCTTCTGGACAGGGAACCTGGAAGACTGCATCGACCGCAACGCATTCTACCTAGCGTCTGCTATAATCAACGTTGCCGGTGATATTGCCGTGCTGACCCTACCATTACCTGTTGTTTGGCGTCTACATACCTCCAGGAGCAAGAAGTGGTCACTGAGCTTTCTATTCCTTCTTGGCGCTTTGTAAGTTTAATGTATCCCGTGTCTACCATGGTTTTACCCTTCGGCTAAACGTACCGGTCAAGTGTATGCATAGCAAGCATCTTTCGTATTGTTGGAGTGTACGAAATCGATCCCGCCGACTTTACTTTTAGCAACCTTGCCGGAGGTCTTTGGAGTACCGTGGAGGTTGAAATAGGATTTATATGTGCGAATCTTCCAGCTATCCGGCCCATCATCTTTAAGTGGTTCGGACTTGGCAGCTCGGCACCTGGATACGCGTCTGGCAGCGCCGGTCCGAGACAATACGGCATCTCCAGCAAGGGAGCAACCAGATCTGGTCATGTCATTCTTCGAAGCAGAAATCAAGAGTCGGACGTGCTAGATTCGGACACGGAAGCGCTCACGAATACGAGAGCGACAACCGGCGACGCTCAAGGCCAAGCCTTTGGCCTTTCTGAGATCGTCGTTAAAACGGATATTGGCGTCTCGATAGACTCTAAGCAGTCTCAACCCCACGATAAAGAACCAAATCACTTTGTTCGGATAACAGCACCGCGTTCAGGGACGGTTGATTTACCGGGCGCCGGAAAGGATTATTATAACTAGGGTTAAATTTACGGAATACATACTATCATGATACACCATATGTTCTATCTTTGTACATATATAATTTAATAATGTCAAGTATATGTCAACGAACATCTCGAGTTGCTCATCATTAAACGTGTAAGTGTACATAGGCCATGTCCCTATGGGTTGATATTTGTATGGTATTGGTAGGGAGATGGCTCGAAACAACGATTGGAGTCGTTCGTCGTCAACATTGACGAGAAGGTCGGTGCGGCCTTGCCCTCGACAGCCTGTCACTAACGCGCATGTATTTCTCGGAAGCGACCGAATCATGAACCAAGCACGTACCTACCTACGTCTATTCTCTGATCGCCCACCCCTTGCAGAAACAAAAATCAAGTTGTCTGTGCTTTTACGATCTTGACGATTGCCGCTGACGATTTCAGATATGAATACGGAGTAATCAAAAGCAAAACATTTTTCACTAGGGTGCCTGGAAGGATTATTTGCATGATCAACATCCCGGTGAGATTATCGTACCTAGATATTCTCGATACACAGTGCGCTACAAGTTACGTACGGTTATAAGCAGATGAAGCTATGGTATGAGCTTACATGGTACTCGAAGCAGAATTATGTACGTTTTAGCGTTTGAACATTTTTCGCGAAGATCGAAGGATCGAGATGAAAGAGGCTTTAATCTAGAAGTGAAGAGATATGCAAGTTGAACTTCTTATGCAACTTACCTAGAGATATCATGTATGAATGGATCCTCGGTCACGTAAATCCAGGTGAACTAATGGTACCGAGGCATACCATTGCAACCTCTTTGTTTAAGCATCGCACAGGGAACCAGTAGACTCGCATCGGTTATCATTCCATACGCATCTCCTGGCGTGTTTTAGTCTAGCTAGGCTGGCTGAAGAATGGTTCCACTACGGTAGCATTACCGGTGAAAGGCCCCTGTTTATATGCAGCTATTGACCATGGCGACAGATGGCCCCCCCGGTAAAGCCCAACCAGTTGACCGTTCATAAAAATCTTTATCCAGTTCAGACAGTCTAACAATGATCGGTGAAGCTTGACTGAACTACGGGTCATCCACAAGTGTTCCACAATCTACTAGGATGGGTAGTAGTTGTTACTCTGCCGTCTTTATGTCCTCTACAATACACGTTAAGCGTGCTATCGGTATTGCTGTGATGTTACTCTCGTCGTCTTGCCACGAGGTAGCAGCCAGACACGGCGCCAAGGAGTATTAAAAAGCCAGGGTAAGACAGGGAACCGATGACCTACCAGCCAAAAGCGAATGGAATATGACTTGCGACAAGATACAGGAAGAGAAAAGAGGAAAGGGGGGAGAATATATTGGCTCGATTAGGTAACATGTTGCCCGGCGGGCCCGACTCCCTATTCGAGGGCAGAGGGAGAGGGATTATGCCGTCGTATTTCATTTCCAGCTCGTGCACGGCGCAGCCATGCGGGTTTGCGTATGTAGTACCGATGTAGATAGGCTTGCGAAGTCTATTGAAGAGCTGATCCCGCTCCGAACGGTCATGAAGGCCTCGAGAATGTTGTGTCGCATCAACTACGCGGAATTCGGCAGCGGAGAGGCGGGACCCGTCAGTCTCACGTTAGATTTTTCTCGCTCCGTTACATCCCAAACTACACCATTAAAAACTAGTTAACTCCTTTTCCCCAAGGACGTTGAAACGTGAGAGTTTACGCTGGGGATGGGTGTCAGGTATGTGGTGTAAGTAACAACTATCCGTATGTAAGACATCCAGCTAATCGTGACCGACGACGATGTAGCAATTTCCCCAAATTAATGTCACTCTCAATGAGCAAATCCAACAGGGACACCGCGTTAGACATCAAGCTAGATTTCAACAGCTGGAAAAACTCAGCCGATATGAGTTTTTTTGAGATAGACGCAGGTTATGATTGTCATACCTGTTGTATTAGAAGGTTAAGTTACTAGGAGTATGAGTATGTAAATATCCATGGATAGTACACATATACCCCTGAGATCCAGGTCGTAGGCCTCTAGCCATTCCTACCTAGGAAACATGCCGTTTGGAACCAGCTTCGCCTCATAGGTGCATCATCAATGCCACTTTCCTCTATTCCAGCTAGATGTCCCCGTTAGGTAATCGACGGTTCCATCAGATCCTTCCCTACTGTTCGAACTAAAGCAAGGGACTAACGTATTTATTGGCTTTCTAGAAATTAAACATCCATCTGCCCCTTTTATACCACGAAGCTTAACATTACTCAAGCAGCAAACGTACGTTACAACAACATGATGAACATACCTACTAAGGTTTTTGACGAACTCACTAGCAAGTTTGGCAAGCTATGGATAATCGATGATTTAATCAGTGTGCGAGGAAAATATATAGAGTAGGTTTGTATTCTTACCTAGGTAGTTATCAGCGGTACGACCACAACCTTGCCAATGATGAGTATTTCACTGCGCAAGATGGAGATAGACTCGCGGAAGAAGAAGAAAAGAAAAGAAAGGGCACTGTTTGCACCTTCAGATCTATCGTTCGTCATCTGGTTCTATTGAATTATCCAAAACCACTGTTTCTTTCTCACGAGGACATTCTAGCCCCTCTAGTCTCAGGTAAGGGTCTGGAGGGTTTCAATACGTCAGCTTAGTGCCACTTACACGGTCTAGTAACATAGGTATATACAAGCGATATGGGTGCGTAGGCCGGCTTACCCATTCAATGCACAATTATCACTAATCACAGATAAGAAGTGTCGGCCCTGGAGACGATATAGCCAAAGATATACCACGAGATCCTATATGCACCGAAGTTGGAGGCAAAGAGACAAGATGGCGATAATGCTCTCAAATGATGCAAGTCTGTGACTGCTGCTGGGGCGAGAACTCTTGATGAACTTGGCCATCTCTTAGTCGAAGCAGGCGTAAACCTCAGTGTGGTTTTTGGCTTATTAGTTTTCTATTGACTTTCATTCCATGCTACTGAGCTAACCCACGTCGAGAATCCAACTCGGCCATATCAGCTATTCCATCCATCGTCTACCAAGTGGTGATACTTGGGATTCTATCCAACCGTGTGGCAACCTACGTAAACACACGGCTTCCAAAACACTGAATAATGATATATACGAGTCCGTTTGTCTTAAATCACATCCTACTCCCATAATGAGCAACTTGGATGATCCCGCTAGTTCTTTCCACCTGGGAGGCATTTTTTCCTCCTCGCCCCATTGATGATTATTCCTGGAGTAACCGTTCTGATCGGCGAAAGGACTACTCATCTCGACATGAAGCGTACTATCCGCGAGAGTCCGCCCGTGCCTGGTCTTCAAGCTGAAGAGTTTATCGAAACTATCCTCCCTCATATAGGTAAAGTAAACATGATCGCCAATAGGTCCGCACGTACTAGGTTACTTCTTAAAATAGCACCATCACTGGGTGCTGATGTTGAATATCCTGTCACCGACAACAATATCCCGATTTGCGCGGGGGGTCATATACACTCGCTTCGAGGATGTAATGGAATATTCATCTATCAAAGACGATGAAATTGTCAACCACTACATCAGCAAGAATCTGAAGCTCAACATTGAGAAATTGGGTCAATTCATTATGGTGCTCATACGCCAGCGAGCGCGTGTTGGAGTGTCTAAAGTAGATGCCGATTATTTGCTGCGGGTATTGATAATTTACGTACAGTCCAATAGGCACGCAGGCTACTGTAACGAAATCTCGACGAACGCCTCGTAAGCTAGCAACACGAGTAAGGCAACCTGTCGTAAGGAGCGGCGCAAACTGCCTTCGTTCTGTGTCCACTGACCATGGAGGTTAATAGACGAATCCAGATTCTTATTGGAGCGACTGTCGCACTAAGAGCACACCTATCAGGTCAACCCCAGGATAACATCAAGGTAAAACAAGTTGTCTCTCTCGTTCGAGGAAACGATGCACTAACTTCTACCAACGAGTCTAGGGAGATCCGATTATTGAGAGAAGTTGATGGCAGGAGTATACAGGCTGCCAAGGTAGCGGCCCTGGTTGATGACAACCCAGGAGAGTCGACCTTAACACGAGCGAAGCGTCGACCTACAATATTATGCCACCCCGAGCGTTTCCCTAGAACGAGGATTTCTTCCTAGCATCAAGAATGACGGGAATGGAGTTTCGAGAGGCTAGTCCTGGGACATGGATGATAGGAATATGCTCACAGACGGGAGGTCTGAGGCTAGCCGCTGAGGCGAGATTGTCAACTATTATGAAAGTATATAAAGCACGTACGACGGCCAAATGCCGGCTCGGGTTCCGACCTGGGAGGATAGCGACGCTCTCCGTCCATGTCCGCAGGTCCTAGACGCCAACCTGATATCAAAAACACTACAAAATTAGTTCGGTGGCATCATAGCAAAGAGATATCAATATTCATCGATGTAGAAGTTACCGAAGGTGCCGGAGCAGCCGGGGTCTCAACTGGAAAGAAATTCGTAGTATTATAAAAAGTACAGAGAATAGAATCTAGGACGTGTGTGCAATAATGCCAACGTGGCCAAGCTCGAGAGGTGACTCGAGCGATCTTGGAATTCAGAAAAGACTATTCGTCCCGACCTGAACTCCGAGCGGGAATAACTAATCATTACAGTAACCTGGCATCGTATCCGCATCAGAACTCATAACACCCCAATCGTGGCTCTTCGTAAACCCAAGTCATTAGTTCTGAATCCGTCGGGGGCCGTTCTAGGCCTACTCTCCACGACCTCGGTAATTGCCCATCTTCTCGATGGAACTCATGATGCCACTCCGCATACCCATGCCACTACCAGGGCGGGGGATACCACCGTGAGATCCGCCATTCTTGCTTCGCTCATGAGCAATCCCGCCAATCCCGCCGATCCTGCTTTCCGTCGGCTTCTTCACCGAGCCGGGAGCCCTCAGACCCGAAACTCGACTACCGACGCTGCTTCGGAAGTTCTCGGGGCCCGGAGCCGGGTGGGCCTTAGGAATGGACGGCCGGGCCGGAGGCGGTGGCCTCTCCTCTACCTGGGTAGCAAGACTCTGCATTGACATCATTTCTTCGGCTAGCATGACTAGCTCTCCCTTCTCGACGCGCTCCTTTTCGAGGAGTTGGCGGAGCTCGCGATTGTCTACCTTGACACTATTCACGACGGCCTCGAGTTTCTCGATCTCGGCGTTCAGTTCCTTGATTTGTGCTGAATCTTTGACGGCTTGAGCCTTGCGCTCTTCATCTATGATGCTCTGGTTAGGATCGACCCTGGTCATCGTAGCGTCTCGGCCGAGTTTCAGTTTCTCGTTCTCGTCGGCTAGGTCCTCTAACTTGATTTCGAGCTCGCGAACCTTCTTCTCCCAACGATTCTCGTAGCTCTTCTTCAAAGCTGCAACTTTGGTCTCGTGCTTGCTCTTGTAGAGCGCATGTAATTCGCGAGCGACTCGCTCCACCGCAATTTCAACCTCCCGAGATCCGGCGTTCTTAGCTTTGCCAGGCGACCTGTTGGCTCCGGACTCGGATCCCGACTCCGAAGTGGCTTTACCGGCACGCATGCCCGCCATCTTGCTCTCCGCTTCCTGCGCCATCATCTCGGCCGCCTCGCGACGCTTCTCGCTCTCCTCCAGCTTCGACTCGAGCTCCTCGCGCTCCCGCTGGCTCGTACCGATTTCGTCCTTGACCTTGCGGAGTACAGCCTCCATTTCTCGGCCGCGCTTCTCCCAGCCATCCCTCTCCTCGGACAATGTTTCTTTGATAACCCGTATCTCACGGAGTTCTTCCATACACTCGCCCACTCGCTTTTCGGCATCACCTACTGCTGTCTTGAGGGACGAGACCTCAGCCTCCTTGCCGCTAAGCGAAGCTTTGAGACCACTGATCTCGGAGAGGAAGCCTGACTTGAGAGATTCGAGCTCCCGTGGTGTTATAGTAGGAATGCTGCGGGGCGTAGGGAGCGGGGGTATATCGAAGTCGAGCAAGTTGGATTGTTGACGTTGAGGAGTCGCAGCAACGGGATTTCTTGGGGTTCTGCCAGGTGGTTGGTTTCTGCTAGGAGTTTGCTGAACTTGTCTAGAAGATAATCCATTAATCTGCTCCGTAAAGTCCACCAGCAGATTGGTCGTGTTGCCGCATTCGTGCATGACAGGTGGCCTTGGAGTCCTTAAAGGCGACGCTTCTCGGCGACTTCCTGCGGTGGTGGTGGGAGTGGCGTCAACGTTAGCAAGTTTGGTGGGACTGTGCCCAATCCGTGCAAACATAGTCATGTTCGGTACGGCAGAGAAGTTGCTAAATGTGCTAATCATAGTATCGTCTGGACCTGCCGGCTCTTCTTCGATTGGCTGGTCACTGACGGACATGGTCGTGACATCACCCTCGTCATCTTCGCCATCTTCCAATATAGTATCTTCGTCTTCAAAGATCTTGATGGCATTTGCCAAGCCTTCATTTCGACGAAGTGCTTCTTCAATGCTTATCTCTTGTTCCTGTACCGGAGGTGTCTGGACCCCGGGAGACGGTGATGGACTACTGTTGACCTTGACAGGAAAACGCTTCTCTGGTGCTACTTTTCGCGGGCTCTTCATCGGAGAGGGCTTCTTCTGAAAAGATCGAGACTCGGTGTCGCTCTTGTCGTCCTTAGTTATCAGAATCTTAAGAGGTGTGAGCTCGGTACCAGATAATATTCTGGAGTGACGCGACTTCGATGGTGAAACGTTTTCCTGATTGTGACCGGTATTATCTGTATGAGCGTCGGTCGGAGAGTTCAGCTGCGTGCTCGCAGCATCACCATCATTGGTGACGTGTTCGCTCGTCATCTTCGTTGTGTACGAGCTGACTTCGTATTTATCTTGGTGACAATTCGTTGAAGGTGTTGTAAGATTAAGCGCCGCGTTACTAGAGGGGGTGAGTGGTAAAGCCATGAAATGTGCGAAAGAATTGGTCTAACAGATAATGGCGGTCAAATGAATTAATCAACCATGCGACAGTGTAAAAGACTGAAAGGCAGTGGGTAGCTGGTAGTGCAGTTCGAGTGTGCGCGTAGGTGGTTGAAATGCAGGTATGGTGACGATGGTTACGTTGGTTACGTTTGTTACGAGTCAATAGTAAAGCAAAAAATAAAAACCGGGAATTGAGAAATTGAATTCTGAGTTGTGCTTAATTTGATCTTCTTTCGTTGACGGAGCAACACCGGTACACGAACTACGTAATCCCTGTCACGCAAGTTCCTCATTTAGGGCTTAGCGTAGTTATAGTATCGTGCTCAGAGCACGTGATCGCCTTTCACCGTGGCTCATGGGGCTCATGAGGCTCGTGACTTGTACATAACTCGCAAGTGCAAGTGCATTCCAATTTACACATTGGTTGAAGTCAAATATGCCAGACTAAGAAAGCTGCATCCTCCAAGTCTAAGTGAAAAGATCTTTTATACATATAATAATTATTAAGGTGATTGAAGACCCTCAACTACTTCAAGCTGCGTGAGGTACCTACCAGCCATTCCCTATCCTTCCAAGCATTAGATTATCGACATAAAACCCATACGATCACAGACCTAGGGTTTCATAAGGTTATATGTAGCTGTCAGTCCAATCGTATTCGAATTTGGGTTCATCATGGATTATCCTAATCAGAAACCTTGTGATAAGTTACACTTAAACACGCCGAACTTCCAAGCTTTTAGGGGAGCTTGCAAGAGTAATGACATCCAGATATCAATGATGGTACTGATGTCAATCCATCTTAAAAACCTAGATATAGGGACAATAGCTAAAACATATTACGAGAAGCTCCCAAAGTAATCAATCTTAACCCAGTTTCCATAATTTCCCAGGCATATCAACTGTCAACGAAACGGCATCGGGAGCAGAAAGGGGGGCGGAAGTCAAACGGCAACTTATGAAATCTCCGAGCAGCATTAAAAATGACAAGGCATCTCTAGATTCGATTCATTCGAATTAACAGAGTTTCGCAAAGTTAAGAAGACTCCTCGTCGCGAATATGTTAAACTAGCTAGTGAATAGTTTTGACAGGCACTTCATCGATATTGAACCCCGTAGATAGGGATATGTATACTTCTCAACAACGAGAAAATAGTAGAGATATCTGACTATTATAGTTATCGCATGTACAAAAGAATAGTTCCAATTGGAGATAAGATATTCACGGCCACATTTGGCCTTGGTGACGGTGAGTGATGCTTAAAACATGAGTATATGCATGGCTTTTTCTAGTATGAAAGTTATTTCTCACGGTGTACTGTCAGAAGCCTCCTCTATAAGAGCAGATAGCCAGAGGCCTCGCCAGGGCTAGTTAGCAGCCCAGAAGGATCGGGAGTCGACTTGTACGAGGCCACCCTGATGGCAGCTGGCCCTTGGCTATAAACAAATGAAGGTATATATATACCACATCCTCTGGAAGGGAGTAGTCAGAGCTTTTTGCGTAACAACGTCGTTATTCTCTAGCCCTTTGGTTCCGCCTCGTGACAGTGTACAGTTAATGACATGTCCATATAATGAGCAAATACGTTTAGGTTTACTCAGGGGGGTGTTCGTGCCACATCATGACACTGATGGTATGTCTGGGGATGAATTTAGCATCAACGCTATCGAAAAACAGAGAACGTGTAGTACAAAAATAGGTTCAACATGGATTGTACTTGGTTTTATATGGTCAGGTCAAACATATATCAATCAATAACGACCTGTACACACAGTTTATGGACGAAGCTACCTTCTCAACCAACTCAACTCATAACCCGCTTTAGATTACCCCTATTATTTGGAACTACTAGGTATGCGAGAACTCGCTGGCATCCGTATAACCAAAATCCGACTATTTAAAAACATTGCTCTGTAGAGTAATAAAATGGCAAGAACACTTTAGTTACGTTAAACCTTTCATCGCTGAAATAAAACGTCCTAAATCTTCTAACCTTAAATTAAACTACAATTACTTAAAAAACTAGTTGACATGTCAAGCTATTAATATTAAACGTTGTTATAAATAGTCACGAAAACCATACACCTATTAAGATGTGGGATATAAATGGGTTTAAATTTTACATCTACATGGTCTTCTAAGCAAAAAGGCATTGTGGCAGAGCGGTCTAATGCGTATGGTGGGTCAAATATCCCTTTCTCCATGAAAGGCCAACGTCGCTAACCCGTATCTATAGACTCGAACATTACGATTAATCATATCTCCTCGGAGGCGCCCGTTCGAATCGGGCCAATGTCGCACTATTTTTTTGCTACCATCGGCCCTATTCCCAAGCACTAAATATCTGGTCTAGGATAATAAGGTTAAATAAATTGCCCAAGTAGGAGATGAACTTGTCCATAGCTCTTCCCCCCGCCCCTCTGAAATCCACGAGGGATAATTACGTCTATAAATATGTAGGACAGCAGGACGTATATTAATGGAGAAGAGAATATCCACTTCCTAAAATAAACTATCAGCTCATTGCTTATAGCTTAGAAAATGAATACCTATTAGAGGGAATTCGTGTTTGGTTGACAGGCAAAAGCTAATCTTAGACGTATATGAATTGGTTGCCCTCTGTAATTCACTACTACAACTTTTAGCCATTTTCGAGATTCTCCACTCAAGCCGGGTTAGAAGTCTGTTCTGATGATAGGATACGGTAATGGCCTGCTCCAAACCTTCAATTTATGTCCCGGATTCGTCACAGAAACACCTCGAGGCTAAGGTCACCTCTGTCGCTCCTGTGGCTAGGGTCTGGTTTAAAATAATTGAATAATACTTGTCGGCTTTGGCAACTCTGATACCCTTGGTCTTTGACAAATCTTGTTGGAACCTGTTCCGCGTCTGGTCAGTCTACTAAGGTTGATAGTTAAGTTGAACCACGTGAATAATTCATTGCACATTATTATCTCCTGAGAACGGGATATTTACTCACGAAACAATCACGAAAATCCTCTCGCACATAAGGCACTTATCTCAAAATGAGCCAATTCACTCACATGCAAGTATATGAAACCATGTTTTCTCATCCATGGTTTGTTTGTTGGAGCTGAACGCGAATTTGAACAATTGTATTCTATGATGTCAAGACCAGGTACAAGTCTCCTGCAGTCTATTCCAGCTAGGATGCATGGTTATCCCCCGGCTTAGACAAGTGAACGTTTTCGGCTCCGCCCGTTACTGACGAGTTGCGCCATTTTGTAAATCAGAAATTGCTTCAAACATTTATAGACTGACTAATATACTGAAGGTCGCTCAACGAGCATGACTGTGGTCGTATAAGTCCAACGCTAACTATTCGCAAGACCGGTATCTCGAGGTGTTAGGTTACACTTACCTACACTGTACGATGACTCGAAACCATGTATGCGCTGTTTGATAAGATTGGTCAGATTGGTCGGATGTACCGTGGCGGTGAGCGCGAATTACGCTGATGGCTTATTTGGTATTCGACAACTAGTCAATCAGGTCGACCGAAATTTGCTTCCTGCTGCTCGAGGCCGTCTTGGCTAGGCTAACTTACTTTTCATCTATAATTTCAGAGGACGAACTCTGGTGATCGTCCTGCTTTGTGTCCTACAATAAGTGACCGGTAGTTGAAGAGATAGTAGTACTATTATAGTCCGTGTGGTTTTAGAAGTAGCTGAGGTGTCCGACGTTCAATATTCGATGTTGTTGTTGTTGTTGTTGGTGTTGTTGAGAAAGAGGAATCACCCAACAGAACTGTGCATAATAATGATTACATTATGCATGTATTTATCTGGGCAAATCTTCCTATGCATTTATGACATTAGTCTCCTATGTATTTATGCGTATATCACATCGTTTACCTTTGAAGTATCTATACGCAAGGAGTTGGCGATGAATGGGCAGGTTACGGTGCCTAGCTAATGGCTGCAGGCGGTATATTAATTAACCGTCTATAACTCCTAGTGTCACCTTGGCTGGACGAGGTGTAGTATCCACTCGATGCTTACATGTGGGCATAACAAGACGCTGATTTGAATGAGACAATTGATACATTACTCGTTCCTATATCTGCCTCGTACTGTATAAAGTTTTCCTAACGAATTGTATGTACCTCTACATACGTGTGTTAAAAACGAGCTTAAGTATCATATCCAGGCATGCCAACTTACGATAAGACGGGACTAGATCCTAATCCTGGCAACATAATTGGGTACGTCTTAATCTACGCAGGGTCCGGACAGGCATGGGTGCACCTACCTCAACGTACTACGTAGGGTAGGTAGGGCATGTAAGAACTGTACAAGCCCCTCCAAATGCCCCGCGCAGGGACTCGCCAATTCTTGGCTGAAGCTCGAGGTTGCTTCAGCAGAAAAACCATGAGAGAGTGGGGTTAATCCGTAACTTCTAACTTTTCTGAAAATGTTCAGACTTTAGAAATACCTCAAGTAGGATTTCTTTTCCTTCTTTTCCATTCCTCAAACCCTTTTTTTAAGAATCCTCTTCCTCTACTTCGCCCTTCCCTTTTCTTCTCCTTTTCCCTCTTCTGATCTCCAAACCACCAAACCTGCTATTCCCTTCAATAGCTCTCTCTTGATAGTCGTATCAACCCATCCTTCGCCACATCAAAACATCGTCCCACATCTCGATCCTGATAAATACTCGGACAATGTCTACATCCTCTCTCGATCACCTCGCCCTGGGTGGCCGTGTTGAATGGCTCGCGAGTCTTAACACGTCTTCCGCGCCCAACAAGAACGCTCATCGACGAACCTCTATCATCTGCACCATCGGTCCTAAGACCAACTCGGTCGAGAAGATCAATTCCTTGTCAGTCACAATGCATGCTAGTAAAATATATCAAAGGTGTAAGAGCTGACACAATATCGAAATACCTAGGCGAGCATCCGGTCTCAACATCGTGCGCATGGTAAGCCTCCTCAAGTCCCCCGGTTCAGTTGTTGAAGACACTAATTCTTTGTAGAATTTCAGCCATGGAAGCTACGAATATCATCAATCTGTCATCGACAACACTCGGGCCGCCGAAAAGGCCCAAAGCGGTCGCCAAGTTGCCATTGCCCTTGACACCAAAGGCCCTGAGATCCGTACAGGCGATACCGAACGAGGCGAAGACATCCCTATCAAGTCCGGCCACATCCTCAACATTACCACCGACGAGAAATACAAGACCTCGTGCAACTCGGAGCATATGTATAGAGTACTCTCGTGAAGGCCGATATTCCTGTTTAAACTAATCTTCTCCATAGGTACGTCGACTATGCGAACATCACCAAGGTGATCGAGAAGGGGAAGGTAATTTATGTTGACGACGGCGTGCTTGCCTTCGACGTGCTGGATATCAAGGATGACAAGACGGTTCAAGTCCGTTGCCGTAACAATGGATTTATTTCCTCTCGAAAGGGTGTCAACCTTCCCGATACTGATGTCGACCTTCCTGCTTTATCCGAGAAGGACAAGAAAGATCTAAGGTTCGGCGTTCAGAACAATGTCGACATGGTCTTTGCCAGTTTCATTCGACGAGGTGAAGATATTCGTGCCATCCGTGAGGTCCTAGGAGAAGACGGCAAACACATCCAGATCATTGCCAAGGTTAGCATTTGATCATGATATCATACTTTCGGTTAATTGCTAACTCGTTTCCCACCAGATCGAGAACAGACAAGGGTAGGTCTCGACATCATTCATCTTTCCCATACAAATTTATTGTTCTTCGTGCAACAGGACTTAGCTCCGAGTCTGTAAGATACTAATTAAGGTTTTAACGCAGATTGAACAACTTTGATGAGATCCTTAAAGAGACCGACGGTGTCATGGTGGCTCGAGGAGATCTAGGAATCGAGATCCCAGCCTACGAAGTATTCGCCGCGCAAAAGAAATTGATTGCTAAGTGCAACATCGCCGGCAAACCTGTGATCTGCGCAACTCAGATGTTGGAGAGCATGATCACCAACCCTCGCCCCACCAGGGCAGAGATCAGCGATGTTGGCAACGCTGTAACTGATGGCGCAGACTGCGTCATGCTTAGCGGAGAGACCGCCAAGGGATCATACCCGGAGCTGGCCGTCCGTGAGATGAGCAACACATGTCTTGCCGCAGAGAATTCCATCCCCTACGTCAGCCACTATGAGGAGATGGTCTCGCTGACAAAACGTCCTACGAGCGTTGTCGAGGCATGTGCTATGGCCGCAGTGCGAGCGTCGTTGGATTTGAACGCCGGTGCCATCATCGTTCTATCCACTTCCGGAGATTCAGCCCGACTATTATCCAAATACCGGCCGGTTTGCCCAATTTTCATGGTTACTCGTAACGCATCCGCCTCGCGTTATGCACACTTGTACCGTGGTGTTTATCCCTTCTTATTCAACGAGACTAAGCCGAACTACGACAAAGTCAATTGGCAGGAAGACGTAGATCGCCGTATCAAGTGGGCTGTAGAAAGAGCATTAGGGTTAGACCTTCTTAGCAAGACCGATACTATCGTTGTCGTACAAGGCTGGAGAGGTGGCATGGGCAATACAAACACGCAACGAATCGTCAAAGCTGACCCTGAGCACCTTGGATTAGGGATGATGCACTAGAGACAGAATGTTGCCGACGCTCTTAAGGAGCTTATCTGCGCTGTTAAATTTTAAGATGGCAAAAGAATGATATACTTATCATTAGTAAACAGGTAGATTGTTAATAAGTTAATGGTACGATGATAAGAATTTTTCGCAATAATTGAAATGTGTGAAATTGCTTGAGTTGCTTTTGTAAGGCCATGAGGAGGTTTAAGCTTTAATGTTTAAATGCCCGAATTCACGAGGGATATTATATCGTTTAAATTTTTATAAGGGTTTTATTTTATCCCCGATTTCCGAAACAAGTATAAGCTTTTCGAAGTTTAAACTTATTAAAAAAATTTTTAAAATTTCGTTCGGATTTAATTTTATAATTTTAATTAATATTTTTAAAATAATATAAATAAATTTTAATAAAATATATATATATATTTAATTATATATTTTAATTATATTAATATAATAAATATTTTTATTTTATTTTTATTATTTTTAAAATAATAATTAATTTTATTTTTTATTATTTATTTAAATAAAAAGTTTTTATTTTTTATTTTAAATTTTTAATATAATAAATTATTTATTTTAATAAAAAAATTATATAATAATTTTTTTATTAAATTATTATTAAAATTTTATTTTATATTATATATATATATAATTTTTTTAATTTATATTAAAAAAATATTTATTAATTTTATTTTAAAATTTATTATTTTAATAATATTATATTTTAATAAAAATAATATTAACCGCGTAATATAATATAATTTATTTCCGCCGCGTAATAACGTTAAAAAAATACGTTCGAAAAAAATATAATTTAAATATTTTTATAATTATATAAACCGTTATATAATTAATTTTAATTAATTATTTTTTATTTAATTTTCGTTTAAATTTTTTATAATTATAAAATTTTAAAAACTTTTAATTTATTTTATATTAAATTTAATTTATAAAATTTAAAATAAAATTTTAAAAAAAATTATAAAATTAAAATAAAATAATAATTAAATTATAATTATAAAACTTAAAATTATTTTTATTTAATTAATATTTTAAACGTTTAATATTTTTTTTAAAATTTTATTTTAAATTTTATAAATAAAATTTTATATAAAATAAATTAAACGTTTTTAATTAATTATAATTATAAAAAATTTAAATATAAATTAAACGAAAAATAATTAATTAAACGTAAATATAACGTTAAAAAATATTTTATATACCGTTCGAACGTATTAATATTATTTTAATAATATTACGCGGTAAAAATAAATAATATTATATTACGCGGTTAATATTATTTTTTAATAATATAATTTAAATTTAAAACCGCGGTTTTTAATTAATTAAAAATTTTATTAATAAAATATAATTATTAAAAACCGGTATATAATTTATTTTATTTATTCGTATTTAAATAATTTTTTTTAATATAATTTAAAATAATATAATTAATATTAATTTAAAATTTTTAATGAAATAATTTTAATAATATTTATTTTTAATAATTATATTTTTTTAAAAAATATATATTATTTTAAAATTATTAATTTAATATTATTTAAACCGTTATAAATTAAATAATATTTTAAAAAAAATAAATTATTTATAACCGAATTATTTTATATCGTATAATTTAATTAAATAAAACCGAAATAAAATATAATTTAAATTAATTAATTTTTTATAATAAATATTATTATACGGTTTAAAAAAAATTATTATATTTTATTTTTAATAAAATTATTTTAATATAAAATTAAAAATTAAATATATTTAAAATACGCACGGGTAATATTTTAATTTATATTAATTTTATATAATAAATAAAATAACCACGTTAATATTTAAAATTTATTAATAAATTTTTAATTAATTAAAAACCGCGCGTTCGGATTTAAATTATATTATTAAAATATAATATTATTAAAATAATAAATTTTTTTATTTTTAAAACCGAATTATTTTTTAATATATTATAAATTTAAATTATTTTTTAAATTTTTATTAATTTTAAATTTATATTAAATAATTTTTAAGTTTTTATTAAATTAAATTTTTTTTAATTATTAATTAAATTTTAAAAAAGTTTTATTAATAATTTAAAAAAAAATAATATTAATTATATTTTATTTATTAATAAAATTTAAATAATATATTAATAATATATTTAAAATATATATTAATTAAATTAATTATATATAAAGTTAAAATTATATTATATAAATAATAAAAATAAATTAAAATAATTTACTTTAAATTATACGGGTTATAAAGTTTTAACCCGTTAATCGGGACCACGTATTATAATTTTAATATTAATAATTTTTTATTTTTCCTTTTTTTCGCGTTATCACGTGAATCTTTAAGTTATGCGTTAAAATTTTTTTTTAAAACGCGGTATACCACGTTATTTATATTTTTTTTTTTCCTTTTTTTTTTTATTTATAATATTAATTTTAATTTATTTTAATTACTTAAATTAAAAAAAATTAAAGAAATTAAAATATTTCCGCATTATTTTATAAATTTATTTTTTATATAATTAAATTTATATTAACATTATTATTATAATATTATTAATTAATGTTTTAATATTATTTTTATTCCCACGTGTTATAAAATAATTAATAAATATTTTACATTTCATTAATTATTTTATAATTAAATTATTTTAAATATTTTAATAAAATATAAATAATATATTTATATTTATAAAAATTATATTCCTATATTATTTTATTACGTTTATATTATAAAAATAATAATTAATACGTTATTTTAATATTTTAATACCTGTTTAAATATTATTAAAAACGTATAATAAAATTTAAAAAAATATTTATTATAAATAAAACTTAATAAAAAAATAAATAAAAATCATACGGTTTATTAACGTTATAAATTTATAAAAAAAAAAAACGAACGTTTTATAAACGTTACCGAAAATATTTATATTAAATTAAAGAAAGTTATTATTAAAATTCGTTTTTTCCGTAAAATAATTAAAAAGGTTTCCATTTTCTTTAAAATACATGTTAATATACGTTTCATTAATATTTTTAATTAATTTTTTTTTTTTAAGAAATAATTAAACGATGTTATTAATTTTTAAATAAATCGATAATTAATTACTTTAATTCGCCGTTATTTATTAATAATCTTTAAAAATAATAATATAAAATTATTATAATTACGTTTCGGATAATATTTTTTATTTAATATTTATATTAAGTTTAAATTATTTTTTTTTTTTTTTTACTTAACTTTATAATTTTATTATTAAGTAATTAATTTTAATAAAAATTTTTAATGTTTTATTAATGTTTATTTTAATTATTATATCCGTAAAATTATTTTCGCCGTGTATTTACCGGATATTAAAAATCTTTCGACGCTTATATAATTAACGTAATAATATAATGTTTATTATTAATTTTTTTTCTTTCGTCGTTTTAAATTTTATTAAATATTTATATAAAAAAAAAATTAATATATATAATAATTTAAGTTATTAAAAAATTAAATTTTCTTAAAATGAAAATAATTATTATATTAATTATTATAATTATATTTATATTATATATTATCGTATAAATTTTATTTATTAAAACATTTTTTATAATTTATTTACATTTTATTAAACTTTAATATATAAAATTTTTTTTTATAATAAATAATTTATCGTTTATTATTTTATTTATAATAAAAATTTTATAATTAATTTAAAAATTTAAGTTTTTATTATTCGTAAATAAAACGTTAATAAATATAAAAACCTTAATAATTTTTAAATTTAATTTAATAAATCGTAATTTACGTTTAAAATTATTTTATTACCATTTTAATTATTTATTAAATTTCGAAATATTTATTTTATTAAATTTACGGTATTAAACCGGTTTAAATATATTAAATATTATTTTTAATTAATAAATTAAAATTATATACGCGCCGTAAATTTTTTATTAAATATATTATTATACGGTATTATCGGTATTAAATTTAATAAAGTTAATTTTTTTATTTTATTCTTTTTATTATAAATATAAATCGTTATTTTATTTTATAAATAAAATGTAACCGTTAAATATTAACAAGTTTTTTTTTAATAAATATATTTTTAATTTTATTAAATATTTCGTTTTATTTAATTTATCGTTTTTTATTTATTTAAACGTGTTATCGGACATTTTAAACATATTATTTATTTACATTTTAATAAATTTAAATTATTTTATTAAATTTAATATAAGTAAATACGGGTTATATATTAATATAATTATATTTAATTTATTTTTATAATATTTAAAATATATAATTTATTAATATATATTAGTTTTTAATATTTTATATAAAAATTTAACGATAATTATTATTATATTTTTAAGGTATTTATTAATAAGTTTCGGTGGTAATTTAATTAATATTCGTTGTTTAAATAATGTATTAAATTATATATAAACTTATATAATATTATAAATTTATATTAATATATTTTTTTAAATTAAGTTTAATATAAAAATAATAATAATTTATTAATTTAAACATTAAATTATTAATAATTATATTAAAACTATTTTTTTATTTTTATTATTATACTTTTATATAATAAATTATAATTTTTTATATAATAATTTTATTATTTTATTTTTTATTTTTCGTATAATTCGAAAGTTAAATATATAAACGTTACCATGTTTCGTATTATTATATTTTTTAAATATAAATATACTTTTTCCGATAAAGCTTTTAATTTTTTAAAAATTTAAAGCTTTAAATAATTATTTTAATATTATGATTTTATTTTTTTTACGGAGTTTAATTATAAATGTAATATTCGTTATTTTTTTTTATAAAAAATTAATATTATTACTTGCTGCCTTTTTTAGTTTATTCTTATTTTTAAGAAATTGTTTTTATTTTTTTTTAGTTATAAATTATTTAATTTTAAATATATATTTATTCGGTTTTTTTTTCGTTTTAATGTCGAATTTATTATTATTTAAAATATTTATTATTTTATTACGTAAATATAATTTAATAATAATTATATAAAATTTAACCGGTTTTTTATTAATTTCGATAATATATGTTTCGTTATTTCGTGTAATAAATTTATAAGGTTTCGTTTAATTTTTATTCTTT